GTGTGAGGGAGGAGGGCATTGTCAAACGCAGTTCATCAGGAAGTTGCTTGGAGAGTAATTGAGTTCACTGTCCTTGTCACAGACTGCCCGGCGCTCCTCAGAGAGAGCGGATCACAGTCCAGGTCCCTTGATTACACGGAAGGGAGTGGCCCAAGGGGGGTTCATCTTCCCTGAGTCACTTAATGTTAGAGATGAAGACCAGACTCAATATTTCCTTCAAATTTATTTTTATTTTCAATTTTTATTTTTATTTAAAACATTCTGGGAGCTGGAGCGATAGTACAGCAGGTAGAGCATTTGCCTTGCATGCAGCCGACCCGGGTTCTATTTCTTTGCCCCTCTCGGAGAGCTGGGCAAGCTACCCAGAGTATCTCTCCTGCATGGCAAAGCCTGGCAAGCTTCCCATGACATATTCAATATGCCAAAAACAGTAACAAGTCTCACAATTTGTTGTGAGACATTACTGGTGCCCGCTCGAGCAAATCGATGAACAATGGGACAACAGTGTGACAGTGCTATTTAAAACATTTTAAAATTTTTTATGAAAGAACCAGGATTTACGAAGTTATCGATTGCTGAGTTTTAGACAGGTATTATTCTTGCATCAATCCCACCACCAGTGTCCACTTCCCACCACCAGTGTCCACTTCCCTCCACCAGTCCCTTGAGCCTTTCCCGACTGCCACCTGGACAGGCACATTGGAATGTTTGGGTGCCATAATTTGGAGCTTATATTTTCAGTGTTGTTGACTCGAATTTGCACTCTTTTTTTGTTAGACATGATTGCAGCTAAAATCCACACAGAATGAAATGAAAAATGATTTCCACAGAGAAGAGGAAAAGTCAAAGAACAGAGGGAAGGGTAGTGCTTTTGTGGGGTTCCGGGGTGGTTCCAGAGAACATTGCGTGGATTGTGGGAAAGTTGAGTTTTCTTGGTGCTAGTATCCCAAATGTCACCCATAAGGTGAAATAGCTAGTCCTTTCATTCTTAGAGAAAAAGCGCTCTTATTTGTGACTTGGACTTTCTGTGAGGATGTTGAGGGTAGAAGTGGGGCCTCACTGGGGCAATGCTCAGGAATCATTCATTGCAGTGCCCAGGGGTCTTATATAGGGATCTGGCGATGCAATCCAGGTCAGCTGTGTAGAAGGCAAGCACCCTACCCGTTGTACTATCTCTCCAGCCCCCAACAGTTCTTACGACATGTTCTGAGCAACTGTGGGATGATTTTTACTATCGGATAGGAAAAGATTCTCTGTCAAGTGTAGCTCTTCCTTCCTCAGACTGAAAATGGGAGGGTGTTTTCAGTTTGAGCTGTCAAAATTTGATGTTGAATCACTCCTGTATCCCAGGAATGTACTGACGTTTTGAAGAGAGAATCGGAGAGATTGCTAAGTAAATTATCTGCCCTCCTAAATTATGTAACAATGTGGGATAGTGAGGGAAAATAATTGGCTGGGCTTAGAATGAGGCACTTGGGATGGTACCATTCAACCAGCAGGCTTGAACTCTGGCAGAACTGAGAAAATTGTGCGGTGGGAAACCAAATGTGGCAGGAAAGGCAGCCATTCCGGAAGTCCTGGTGCGATGAGTTGGTTGGGGGTGTTGGATTTTCTTCTTACCTGTCTTCATTTCCTTCCCCGGGAAGCCATAGTGTCAGGGGTCAGCTATTGCTAAACTTCTACTTAGAAGTATCTGAGGAATGCAGCAACAAAATTAATTTTCTTCAAATAAGTGGAGAAATCACTGCTTTGCTGTGTACCAGCATGTCTCTTCAGAATTAATTTGGTACCATGAATAAGAGAAGAATGGCTGCTTCGTCCTTCTTTGGGGGGAAAATTGGCAAACAAAGCTGATAGGGACAGGCAATAATTAAATTGTCTCGATAGTGTCTAATATAATTGAGACCAGAAACTTGTAAACAAGTGCTTTGAACAAAGTGTGCTCCTCTTTCTCTCTCTCTCTCTCTCTCTCTCTCTCTCTCTCTCTGGCTCCCTGGCTCCCTGAGGCTTGGAGCTCTTTCTTTACCATATTACAAGAGTTCATCTTGTTATTAATATTAAAGCAGTTAAAAAAAACAAAACAACAAACCTAACTAGGTTTAGGCATGGATGTAGCAAGAAAAATATTCACTTTTGCCTTGCAGCTTTGAAAGGCAAGATTACAGTGACTTAATTTCTCATTCTTATTCCAATTTAAATGAGGATGAGTTGGAAACATTTTATGCAAAATGAACTATTGCAAAAAAAGGGGGGGAGTCTGCCTTATTAAAAACTGGAATTAAAAAAGTCTCATTTTTATGCTTTTCTAAAGGTTGTTGTAATGATCAAGAAGCAATTCAGAAAATACTAAAAAGAGAAAAAAGAGGGGAAAAAGTGAAAATGCTGAAAGCTATGAGCGTGGGTTGTCTAAAAATGTGGAGCAGGCTTTCATGTCTGTTTTCCAGATCAATAGTGTTAATGGAGCGTACTGTAATCAATAGTGTTAATTGAGCATATTGCAATCACAAATAAACAAAACCTCTTTCCTTCGTGTTCTCAAGGACCTTTGAACTTCCATTAGGGCTTTTTTTTTCTTTGGGGGCTAGGGTGCTTCCATGCTGTGCTCGGGGGCCCAAGGAGCTACCCCCAGGGATATTTGGTCAACTTGCTCCTGATAGTTTGGTGTTGCTTGGACCCTCCAATGACGGGGACCACTGGTGCTTCACTGGTACTGTTGGGGTTTCCTCTAGGGCTACCTGTGTCTGGGGTGGACCTCGTGGTGCCCGGGAGAGAGCTGTTGTGCCTCTTTGACCCCTGATAGTCCCAGTCCCATTGGCTTCTGCTACCACAGTCCCCTTGCTGCCTTCCATTGCCCCTTCTCAGCTGTGGGCTCGTATATCTTGAGATGTTTTCAAACCTTTTTCTGCCTTTTGCCTGGCCCAGTCATCTGTCTTTGGAATGACCACAGAAGACATCACTATGAACCGTGTAGCAATGAAAAACGTGTGTGTATATGAGGTAGGGGGGATTATTTTAATAGGCACTGTTTTCCTATAATTTCAGAAGACTTTTATTTTCTAAACATACAACTTTTGGCTGATAAACCAAAATAATTTTTTTCCTAGTATGTGTGAGGTGAGTGGAATGATGAAGCAAGTTTTCCTGTTTAAAAATATCTCAAACGATGCATAATTTTTTCCTGATCAATCTATCTATAGTGACCTCCTCCCATTTACACCTATCATTCTGCTTTGTTTATTTACCTTCTGGAATTTTTTAGAATCCCAAATTATTGTGTGTGTCTGTTACACTTGCTACTGTCTTTCTCTCTATAATATGACAAGATCCTTACTTCCAGCATATATCAGATTCTTGTTAATTGTTTTTATTGTTTAATTTTTAAAATTATTATTATTATTATTATTTGCTTTTTGGATCACGCCCGGTGATGCTCAGGGGTTACTTTTGACTCACACACTCAGGAATTACCACTGGTGGTGCTCGGGGGAACATATGGGATGCTGGGATTTGAGCCCGGGTCGGCTGTGTGCAAGGCAAATGCACTACCCATTGTGCTAGCTCCAGCCCCTGTTTAATTAATTTATATTTTGGGGTTTTGGCCATACGTGATGTGCTCCAGACTTACTCCTGGATATGTGTTCAGTGATCACTCCTTGCTGGTTTGGGGGACCATATGTGGTGGCTGGAATCAAACCCCAGGCTGGCTAGAGCTATATGTCTCCATATAGGGTTAAAGAAAAGCACCCTACCCTCCTGTTGTACCGTCACTCCAGCCCCAACTGTTTTTAAATTATGTATTTGTGCATGTATATATATATACACACATATATATGTACACACAACACATATACACTTGCATGTATTATAAATTAATCCATAATTTGTATAGACTCTAAGTTGTAATTAATGGCTTGGACATCAAGTATTGACTTTTGAAATCATAAAGACACAAATAATTGGTACTAAGTTTAGGTCAGTTACGGGAACTTTTTATTGAATCCAGTATAATGCTTTAATGATTCTAGTTCTAACCATTTTCTGGGGATAAATTTAAAAATAATACTTAAAATTTCATTTCCATGATTTCATACTTCTGAGATTACAGCTTTTTCCTTTATAATTTACTCATGTATTTTCCGAGTGCTGGCTTGGTCTCAGCTACAGTGCAGATGGGTTATGGATACAAAAATTAAAAAGTTCTTTGTGCCAGAGGTACTTAGCATCTTTGCAGGGAATAAAACAAATCAAGAGGGTCCTGAGTTCTGGGTTGCGTGATCAGAATCAATTCTTGGAGTTATGAGTAAGGTTTTGAGGAAGAGACTTTTTTTGCCCTAGTGTACAGCCGGCAGTACTCAGGGGCTATTCCTGACTCTGTGCTCAGGAATGACCCTTAGCTATGCTTAGAGGACCATATGCGGTGCTGGGAATTCAAACCAGAGTTGGTTGCATGCAAGGCAAGTGCCTGACCTCCTGTACAGTCACTCTGGCCCCAGGAAGAAACATTTTAGTTGCGATTAAGTAACTCAAAACTGACATTTATAGAGGTGAAGTGAGACCCAGAGGGGATGAGAATGGGGGTGAGTTTGGAGAAAGCAGAGAAAGTGATTCATGGTGAAAGAAATAAAATGCCGAGAGTCTCACATACAGACCCCATGCATACGGACCTAGTTTTACATGGGAGGTAGAAATACATGTGTGTGTGTGTGTGTGTGTGTGTATGTGTGTGTGAGAGAGTAGAAATGTGTGTACACACACACGTATATAAAATGCAGCTGGGATTGTGATCAGGAGTCAAGATAGGGAGGGATTACAGTGTAATCTGTATCTGGAGAGCAGTGGAAATCACTGGAAGCTTTTCAACAGACAAAAAACATGGTTGGAATTTTAGGGTATGCGTTCCTTTGGCATATTGATGTTAGCACCAGAGACTCCAGTCAAAAGATGTTCTCACCCTATACACACTTTTTTTCTCCTTTGTCGACCCTCTTTCTCCATCTTAGAACAACAAGGTCATACTCTTCCGCCAGCTGCAGCAGATGACCTACAGCCTGATCGAGTGGCGGTCCCAGATCCTTTCTGGAACACTCCCCAAGGATGAGCTGGCAGAACTTAAGAAGAAGGTCACAGCCAAAATTGATCACGGGAACAGGTAAACCAGGGATTACCTTTCACATAGAACTTGGGAAACTAAGATGTAACTTACTGCAAATCTTTGAGTTTGTTGTTGCCAAAGAATGATGCTTTTTGTTCTGTCTTGGAAATATTTAAATTTGTTGGTTAAAAAAAAATAATGCCAATCAGTGTCTTCCATGGCCAGGCCCCAGTGCTTGGGCTCTAATCCCAAGCAGAAAAATCATGAAAAGGAAAGCTAGATCTTGGATGAAAGTGACTGCACTGCTAAGCCAGAAGGGACCAAACATCCCAGACCGTGTTTGCACCCCTGTCAGTCTGTCTTCTCTCTCCATCCTCCCCAATGGAACTGTTGTTTTACAAATTTCTTGGAAGGGTGAAACGTGTTTCCAGTCGATTGATGATTTCTCTGAGAACCCAACTTCTGATGAGCACATTTGTAGGTTCCAGAAAGTGAGGAACTCATGTCTCTCCCCCAGTTCTTTCTATCTTTTAGAAAGATAGACTCCTCCAAGTTGTTTTATGATGATTTATTTTATTAGTTTCATTTCTGAATTTTTCCACTTGTTCATGTGTGATTTTCCCCACTCTCCTTTTTCTTCCTCCATTGTTAGGATATACATGAGACATACTCAAAGGCATCATTCTACCAATTTGAATTTTAGGAACTATCAATTATATTTAGAGGTATCCAGTGTAAACATAGCCTCAATGAATCAGATTCCCTCCCTCCCTTCCTTCCTTCCTTCCTTCCTTCCTTCCTTCCTTCCTTCCTTCCTTCCTTCCATCCTTCGCAGTGCTCAATGCTTACTCCTAGTTCTGTCCTCAGGGATTACTCCTGATAAGCTTTGGTACCAGGTGAGCTGCCAGGTATCAAACCTTGCTTGGCAGGTGTGCAAGGCAAACATCCTACCTGCCGTCCTATCACTCCGGCCCATGTGCTCCTTTCTTAAGGTTAACAATAAACAGCTTCCTTCAGCTACTTGTCCATCCACAGGGCTTTAATCACAGGGAATGCATTGCCAATTATTTAGTGCTGGCGGCTTCCTAAACAGGTCACAAAGGTAGGAAAAGGCAGCTGCCCCTGCCCAGATACTTGCTTCATGTTTTGGGGTCTTGCCATGGTCTCGCATTGGCTTGGAGAGCCTTGGTCTCTGGCAATCTGTTAGCATCCCGCAAACAGCAGGACATGCCTGCTTTCCTGTTCCAGCTCTTTGGAAGCAGCTCAGGAAATAATGTGGCTTTGTCAATGCTTCAGTGACCCCATCTCTGTGCAGCCAGTGAGGCCCTTGCTCCTGAGTCTGGGTGGCCTGTGGGTGTGGCTGCCATAGGAAGGGATTGTTGGATTAAATCATCTGATGGAGATACTATTAAAAAGAAGGAGGGAAAGTAGAAATTTTTGCATCCAAAAAAACTTGGCACATTTTGCTCTTCTCCCTGAGCTTTTGATGCTGTTCGGCTTTCCATTCCCAGATTGCTGGTGTCTGGAATATTCACTGGCACTCAGATGGCAGTTTCCTATTTTCACTAGAGTCCGCAACTAGTTGGAACTAAGCAAAACTTTTCTACTTTTTTTTTTGTGCATGTTGGCATGAAAGCCTAGGTAGGGATTGTGCTGTGCATAGACCATATGGCTTTGGAAAACACTCAGTACTCTACCTTAACAGGGCCAAGTGTTTACTTTGCCAGTTGGTGCAATCAAAGCTAATACTTACAAAGAACATATTGGATATTGGGTATTGCATTATGTGCTTTCTATGCATTATTTCACAAAATTCTCACCACGGTTCTTTACGTGTAGAGAACAGTAATTACTGCTGAGGAAACAAGGCCTTTGAGAAGTTAAAGTGAGTTACTCAAAGTCATCTTGCTAGCAAGTCTTAAAAGCAAGTTTCAAATCCTGGTCTAACAGTGAAGCTCGTGTCATAGTGAGGACTGACTTAATTGTTCTCTGCCGTTAGGCTGAAATTCAGTACTGTTTCCCCAAACCTTTAGGAAAGGTTTGTACCATTCAGAAATAAGTTCACACCCTGAATATGTGTGCCTCCCATCTTTCATAGGTCCTGTGTGAAACAGAGAAGGCTGTAAGAGGCATTGGTTAGGGGCTAGAGCTATAGTCTGATACATAGGCCATTTGCCTGGTGTACAGCTGACCCAAGTTGTTTCCTGGCATCTTCTATGTCCACTGAGTACTTCGAGAAGTGACTTTCTGAGCAGTGTCAGAGTGTGTGGCCTCAAAACAAAACCAGCAAAGAGGCAATGGTTATTAGATAGAGGGATTTGGTTAGAATTCACTCTCGTTTTGCTTTTTCTCTCAAGTTCTCTTGGGACTACATTACTTTGGTAGGTTCTCATACAAGATTGATGAATGTTGTCATAAGCATCTTAGCTTGTTGCTATGTAAAAGGGACAGAAATTGAGAGGAGAAAAGTCATTGACCCGGTCTTACCTGGCTATCCTGCGCCTCCACATTCCAGTCACGCATCCTCAGGGGGTCTTGTCTGGACTCTTGAGTCAAGTCTCTTCCTCTGAGGAGAACTGACTGAACCACGTCTTTCTTTCTAGAATGCTTGGGTTAGATCTGGTAGTGCGTGACGACAATGGGAACATCTTGGACCCGGATGAAACCAGCACCATTGCCCTCTTCAAGGCTCATGAAATAGCCTCAAGAAGGATTGAGGAAAAGATTCAGGAAGAAAAGGTACTGTTCCTCAGATGCGCGGAGTTTTCATCACTGAGTTGCTGGTTTTGCTTTGTTTTCAAATGAGAGCGAGGGAATCATTGAGCACAGAGGTAGAGCATGTGTTTTCCACCCAGGAGACCTGGGTTTGATCCTGGTACTGCAAGGTTCCCTAAGCATTGCCGCTAGGAGCATCCCTGAATGCAGAGCTGGTTATAGCCCCTAAACAGCGCCCACTGTGGCATAAAACTGCACCTGCCATCACTAAAGAGGGAAATATTTGTTTTCTCATTTGAAAAACAGAACAACAACAAAAATGAGGGAGCTATAATCTTCTACCAGAAATATTAAATGTAACAGAGCAAGATGCAGAACTGTGTTTAAAACACTATTTCTTGTGTTTTGAAAAAGACTGAACATACATCTGTGCTTGCATCTGCGTAGACCAGCTCTAAAATAGACAAGAATTTGTTAATTAATGGATTCTGCTGTGAAGGCGGGGTATGAAGGAGGGAGTCTTTTTACGGTGTTCTTTTCCATATTTGTTGCATTTATTATAATTTCAAAAGTAAGTAATATTTATTTTGAGGTAAGATGCCTCAAAAAATTCAGTGGTAATAATTTAAGTAAAAACACAAATGGTAAAGAATGTTTCACCTGGGCCCAGAGTGATAATTCAACAGTTAGGGCATTTGCTTCGTACATAGCTGACCCAGTGTGTCGTATGGTACCCCCATACGGGACATACCATATGGTACCCCCAACCCGCCAGGAGTAAGTCCTGTGCCCTACCCGGTGTGTCACAAAAACAAAAAACAAAACAAGACTATGTCACCCATATTTTTACCACCTAGGTAAAACTATATTGATATTTGGTATATATTCTTTCCCTTTTTTTCTGTTTTGCTGAGTAAATTAAAAGGTTTGTTTTCTATAGCTATTTTTGTTTGTTTGTTTGTTTTGGATGGGGGGGTCACACCTGGCATTGCACAGGGGTTACTCTTGGCTCTGCACACTCAGGAATTACTCCTGTCATTGCTTAGGGGACCATATGGAATGCTGGGAAAAGAATCCAGGTCGGCCACTTGCAAGGCAAACACCCTGTCTGCTGTGCTATTGCTCCAGCCACATTCTTCTTTTTTAAAATCAATCAATTAATTAATTAATTTTATTAGTGAAACACCATGAGGTACAGTTGTAGATTTACAATTTTTTGTGCTTGGGTTTCAATTATACAATGATCAAATACCCATCCCTCCACCAGTGCCCATTTTCTACCACCATGGATAATATCCCTCCCCCCCATCCCACCCTGCCTCTGTGGCAGGGCAATCCCTTGTGTTCTCTCTCTCCTTTTGGGTGTTGTGGTCTGCAAAAGAGGCATTGAGTGGCAAACATGTTCAGTCCATAGTCTACTTTCAACATGCATGTCCCCTCCTGGGAGGATCCTCCAAACACCCTTTATTTGGTGCTCCCTTCTCTCTCTGAGCTGCCTTTTCCCCTAGAATGCCCGGCTGGCCTCTAAGCTATGGAGTAATCCTCCTGGTGTCCAGCCACATTCTTTAGCATTTTTTAAATTTAGTTTTATTAGTTTTTTTTAAATCTAGCACTGTTGTGATAATATTTAGTTGAGTTTCTAAATCAAATAACTAACCTTGCTTGAAAGTGAAACCCTCCAGTGGAATCTCTTATTTACAAAAAAGTTATTCCCCAAATTGGGGGTAATGAACCATGATTTTCTTGCTTTCTATGTAGAGGTCATTCTGAGAGATAAGAACTTTTAAGTTACTGAAACTCTGAGTTATCATCACTTTAATTTTTTTGTTTGTTTATTTTTTGGTTTGGAGGGCTAGGGGGTTGGGTCACACCCAGTGGTGCTCAAGAGGCTGTTTCTGGCTCTGTGCTCAGGAGTGACCCCTGGCAGCACTTAGAGAACCAAATTCCATACTAGGCTTCAAACCAGGATCAGCTGTTTCAGCCTTGTGCAAGGCAGGTGCACTTCTGCACTATCTCCACAGCCTGAGTCATCATTTTGAGATATTATCTGTTGAATTGCTTCGGTTCAAAACCTTGAGCAGGAACCTCTTGATTGTTTGTCCACATACATATCTCTCTCTCTCTCTCTCTCTCTCTCTCTCTTGCTTTTTGGGTCAGACCCGGCGATGCACAGGGGTTACTCCTGGCTCATGCACTCAGGAATTACTCCTGGCGGTGCTCTGGGGACCATATAGATGCTGGGGATCAAACCCGGGTCGGCTGTGAGCAAGGCAATCACTCTACCCACTGTGCTATCGCTTTAGCCCACCCACGTATCACCCTCTCAATAAGAGCATCTCCCCTCTGGGTGGTTATTGATTGATGTATCTCCCATTCATAGGTTAGTGTCTCGCCAGTATTTCCCCATTTTCTCAAACCAACATTCTTTTCTCCTTTCTCCTCTCTGTCCAGTCAATTCTGCAGAACGTGGACCTGCGGGGCCAGTCCATCTTCAGTGCCGTCCACACCTATGGCCTCTATGTGAACTTTAAGAACTTTGTCTGCAACATTGGAGAAGATGCGGAGTTGTTTATGGCCCTCTATGACCCCGACCAGTCTACCTTCATCAGGTCATCTATTTTTAACCTTGAAAAATTCCCAACTTTCACCTCCTTCCTGCCTAAGGAGCTCTTTGCTAGGCTGAGAAGAGACAAGAGAAATAGAATTTCCAGGTCCAAAAAAAAAAAAAAAAGATCTTTGGGGCTACTAAGATTTTATAGTGACTACAGAAGTAAGATCCTAACAGTGTGTGTTCTCCCTCTGTCTTGGTAGTCACAGAAAACTTATCAGAACTTGGTGATGGAATTCAAAGAAGTTGATTAGAAGGATAAGGGAGAGATGAGTTCTCAGAGCACAGAGAAACTTAGGACAGTGAAAGATGCATGTCATTGCCACCAAGAGTGAACCAAACTGTAAATGATGGATTGGGGTTATTATAATGTTCGACATAAGCTCTTTATTGTAACAAAGGTACCACTCCAGTGCAGGATTTTGATATTGGGTAAAACACTCTTCCCCCCCCCCCCAGTGTGTGTGCATGTGTGCGTGCGCGCGTGTGTGTGTATGTGTGTGTGCGTGTGTGTGTGTGTGTGTGTGTGTGTGTGTGTGTGTGTGTGTGTGTGGTTGGGGCAGGAAGTATGTGGGGAATCCTCTGTACTTTCGATTCAATTTTGCTGTGAATAACTACTCTGAGAAGAATTAAGTATAAAAAATTATACCCAGAAATTTCACTGGTGGATTCTTTTCCCCCCTTCAGTGGTCTAACTACTAAGCAGCTTTTAAAAATCACATTGACTTTTGAGAAGATAGTTGAAACTAATCACTGACAATAGTTTGTTTCTAAAGTGGAAGTTATGTTTCATTATGATGTGGAATCTACGGGTTGGATTTGAGATGATTGTTTTAAAATTTTACTATTCTAAAAATTGTTTTAAAATTGTGTTCTTGATTCACTTGAGCCGAAACTCTCGTGTCAAGATTTTGAGATGGGAGCTGGGGAGACAGGGCAGGTTCAGATGCTCTCCTTGCATGCCGCAGCAGTGGTTCAATCCCCAGCTCACGTGGTCCCCCCAACATTCCCGTGAGCAGCCTTGGAAGCCCGTGAGCATCTCTAGGTGGAACCATTGAAGACCCTTACTCTGCACTACCCCTCAGGTGTCTGGGTCATCTCTGGCACCACAGCCTGACTGGAAAGCCTCCTTCTGCCCTCACATTTAACTGGTCAAGAATCGCCCAGAAGGGCCCCTAGACCCCTAGCACTTCTTAGGATATCCCTTCCAAGAGTTGGGGATGGAAGACCCTGGGCAGAATCTGCTGAAGTGTTTGTATCTGTACCTTGACAGTGTCCCTCTGGGGTCTGTACTGAGTGGGACCGGACTGTGGCAGACGCCCATTTCCAAAGCCAAGAGACCAGAGAGTGGCCATTTTTTTGTGCTGCTTTCACTCCTGTCTGATGTAGTTAAATGCTTTTTGTTTCTTTGTTTTTGCGTTACACCCAGCGATGCTCAGGGTTTACCTCAGGCTCTGCTCTCAGGAATTACTCCTGGCAGTACTCTGGGGACCACATGGGATGCCAGGGATCTAAACCAGGTTGACCTCATCCAAGGCAAACGCCCTACCCACTGTACTACTGCTCCAACCCCTTAAATGCATTTTTTATGGGATTTTTCTTGAGACTTTTAAATCTATACTCAGGTCAGCTCCATCTCCAGATACTCACTTACCAAGAATACCTTTTTCCTTCCTTTCCCAGTGAGAACTATTTAATTCGTTGGGGCAGTAACGGAATGCCAAAGGAGATAGAGAAGCTCAATAACCTTCAGGCCGTCTTTACTGTAAGTTCCACCTTCCATTTTGTTTCCTTTGCATATGATATTAACATATGGACATATGGACACAGGAAATAGATGGGTTGTCTATCAGAGAAGGAAAACAAAAAATCATCCTCCAACTCATCATTTACCCCACACATTTTGATGAGGCCTTGTTTAATGCCAGGCACTGATTTGGACACTTAAGATCTATCAGTGGACACGTCAGAGGGGGAAAAAGCACCAATTCTTTTTTTTTTTCCCTTTATTTTATTTTATTTTTTTTTACAGTTGTAGATTTACAATTTTTTGTGCTTTGGTTTCAATTATACAATGATTAGATACCCATCCCTCCACCAGTGCCCATTTTCCACCACCATGGATAATATCCCTCCCACCCCCATCCCCCCATCCCCCCTGTCTCTGTGGCAGGGCAATCCCCTGTGTTCTCTCTCTCCTTTTGGGTGTTGTGGTCTGCAAAAGAGGCATTGAGTGGCAAACATGTTCAGTCCATAGTCTACTTTCGACATGCATCTCCCCTCCTGGGAGGATCCTCCAAACATCCTTTATTTGGAAAAGCACCAATTCTTAAGGTGCTTTTGTGTACAGGAAAGATAGTCATAGTAATCTAATAAATGTGTCAGTTGTATGGAATGTTGGAAGTCCTCTGAGCTTTTGGAGGGGGGGGGGACTGGGAGTGTCTGGGCAGCAGGGTGGTTATTCTCAGATGGAGGGGTGACAGACCAGGCCTGTGAGAGGAATGAGCTTTGCAGATAAAGGGCAAGAGCATTCCCGCTGAGGTTACTGCCAGGTCACCACCAAGAAGAGAATGATCTAGATGTTTCTATTTGCTTCTCTTCATTCCCACCTCCCCTCTGAGGTGGGAGCCACCCTGCTCCATGGACATCGAGACCGAATGTGGCCTGGCCTGGCTAGGCATGCATGGACTTCAGGTCTCTTGGGTGAGGAACTTTCTTGCGGTTCTCTCATCACTTTTGATTAGGATATCAGTGTGTAGAGAAGACACTTTTTTTTTGGTAGTTAATGCTCTACATTTGTTTGTATTCTCAAGATGAGGTGAGAGAACCCGTGAATGAGTTCACATATTTCATTTCTTCAGCACCAGAAGTAATTTGATCACATCTCTAATTATTTCCGTGAAACAGCTGTCTGAAACCTTTCTACTGAATCAAGAATTAGTTTTGTTTGTTTTTGCTCTCCCCAGAGGTGCTCAGAGGCTGCTTTTGGCTTAGATGCTTGGCGGGTGGTTCCTGGGGATGTTTGGGGATCATACTTCCTGGGGTATGGAACCAGGTTTTCTACAGCATAAAAAAAGGACCCCAGACTCTGAGCTGTCTTTCTGGCCTCAACACATGACTTAAAAAAAAAAATTTTTTTTTAAAGTAAGATTGTTTTATTTAAATAAATAAAGAGATTCCTTCACCCCTCTCAGAGATACTCTACATAGAGTATCTCACCCGCACGGCAAAGGCTGGCAAGCTAACCATGGCGTATTCGATATGCCAGATATAGTAACAACAAGTCTCACAATGGAGATGTTACTGGGCCTGCTTGAGCAAATAGATGAACAACAGGAGGACAGTGCTACAGTGCAGTGCTGCTGAGACATGTGAGGAGAAGGACAGAGAGAAAGAGAGAAGCAATATGTATTGAAGAGAGAACAAGGCCTTCTCTAGAGGGAAAAGGCCAAGAATTAACTTTTTTCCTTTCTTTCATTTTTTGGGGGGGCGGGGGTCACACCTGGCAATGCACAGGGGTTACTTCTGGCTCTGCTCCCAGGAATCAGTCCTGGCAGTGCTCCGGGGACCATATAGGATGCTGGGAATCGAACCCAGGTTGGCCGCGTGCAAGGCAAACACCTTACCCACTGTGCTATCACTCCAGCCCCTCTTTCTTTCTCTCTTTCTTTCTCTCTCTCTTTCTTTCTTTCTTTCTTTCTTTCTTTCTTTCTTTCTTTCTTTCTTTCTTTCTATCTTTCTTGCTCTCTCTTGTTCTTTTTCTTTTTCTTTCTTTCTCTCTCGCTCTCTCTTTTTTGTTGTGTTTAAAACAGCTTAGAGATTATGAGAAAGGAAGGCATGTGAGAAAGAATAATATTCATAAGTAAATGCAGGCTTATCTAGCTTGATAATAATAATAATAATAAATAAATAAAAAAAAAAACCTGTCCTCTGCTGTGAGGAGCCTGATTGGTAGATTTCTCCTCTGCTTCCATTTAGTCCCAGAGACCTTTTTCTTTTTGCTTGCACCCCACCCCCCTTTCTGTTTTACTACTTCTATGGCAAGAAAACCATAGTCTAGGGGCTGGAGCGGTAGCACAACGGGTAGGGCGTTTGCCTTGCACGTGGCCAACCTGGGTTCGATTCCCAGCATCCCATATGGTCACCTGAGCACTGCCAGGAGTAATTCCTGAGTGCAGAGCCAGGAGTAACCCCTGAGCATTGCCGGGTGTGACCCAAAAAGCAAAAAAAAAAAAAACCAAAAAAAAACAAAAAAAAAAAGAAAACCATAGCCTATGGTAAGTGACAAAGGAAGTGAATAAGAAGTGGTCCCAATTACTATTCACTCAATTATGCATTCATTCTTATTATTAATTCCTTGAATTTACATTCTATCTCCACGGCAGATGTGGGCCCCTTGCTCTTCTTGCACTGACCTATCTTTAGCTTCACTGCCTGGTAAATGTACAGAAAACCAAGCAAGATAAAACAAGAAAACAGCTTAGGACACTCAGCTGAAACCTTACACCAACACACAGCATTTCCTCAACTTCCAGAAACTTGAAAGTCCTCAATTTGTTTGCTTTCCCCTAAAACAAAAAAGTATTTCTCGATGTATACATTTAATGGAGAAAAACAAACTGCATATTGAAAAGGTACTGGTAAGATAGCTCAGAGTCGATTATTCCCTGCTTCAATTCCAGGTGCCAGACAGTCTCGCTGGCACCACCGAGTGTAGCCCTGGTAGTCTCTAGTTACCATTGAGAAGATTTAAACAAAGCAGGGGCCAGATAGATAGTTCAGTAGGTGGTGCTTGCCTGCATGCTGCAGACCTGGGTTGGATTGCTAGCACCCCATTTGTCCCTTGAGCCCACCAGGAGTCATCCCTGATATTAGAGCCAGGAGTAAGTGCTGAGTACCACTGGGTGTGGCCCCAAATCACCCAGGTTTACTTTGTGCAAGGAAAGTGTCCTGTCCCCATTGCAATATCTCTCTGGTTTCTCTAATTGGGAATATTTTTTTCTGGGGGAGGGAGCCACATGTGGCGATGTTCAGGGGTTATTCCTGGCTCTGCACTTAGGAATTATTGCTGGTGGTGCTCAGTGCCATATGGGATGCTGAGGATTTGAACACAAGTGCAAGGCAAGCTCCCTACCCTCTGTACTATCTCTCCAGCCCCTCTAGTTGATAACATTTTAGAAAGGCTGACATCTGTCCTCCACCCCACCCACCACCTTTTGCCAATCTCACACCAAATAGGATCATCTTGTATATAACTATCATGGCCACCTTTTTCTGCTAAGTAATGTCATTAAGTATCCTACAAAAAAAATTCATACATAATTACTACATATTATTAAATAAAATGAGTGAGCCACACTTTATTTCCAGTCACCTGGGTTCTTTATTTTTCTACTAGCAGAAGTCTTACAAAGCCATTCAAGTTTGACATACCATTGGCATACATCCCTATTTTGGAGACTTGAATTAACTAAGTTACAGAGCTGATTTTGGAATTTTTAATTGAGAAAGTTATTTTTGATTCAGTGATGAGGCCTTGGACAGCTGTTACATGAAAATAATTAGATATAATTCAGTTATGCCTGGTGTTAAAGTCGGCGAGATATGTGAGCTCATTCATGAGTTTTCTTACCTAATCCTGAGAATACAAACTAGAGCCACAGAGGTATATCATCTGTACGTGTCTTCACTCATTAGCATACACCCAGGAACTCTCAACGGAGACCGCTCATGAAACTTGCATAATTATAGTATGCAATACATGTAAATTTCTGAGCTGCAGTTGCCTCATAGGATTATTTGGAAGATGAAATGGAATATCTCCAGTGTGTGTGGACGCCCATTCCATGTCACTGTCATGCAGCTTTTAATTTCATTTGACAGCAAAGTGAATCTTGTACTCATCTAGCTATGTCCTGGCAGGATATAAAGCTACAGTGACAGGCAGTGCCTGTTTTTTTGCACGGCCTGCTAAAACAGATAGAATCGAGACTTAAGATGGATTATGAACTGGTTCGTAAATTTGAAGGCATTCCTGGGTAATACAAAAATTCTTTTATGTGTGCAAGAGTGACAGTACAGCAGGTAGGGTGTTTGCCTTGCACGTGTCTGGCCAGGTTCAAGCTCTGGCACCCGATATGGTCCCCTAACCCTGCCAGGAGTGACTCCTGAGTGCAGAGCCATATACCCTGAGATGACTGGGTTCCCCCTTACCCCCCAAATAATTCCTTTTTGGGATACAAAGTCCTTTTTCATTTTTTCTCTGTTATCCTGCTAGTTTTGTTTTATTTTGGGGACCACACCTGATGATGCTCAGACTTTGCCCCTGACTCTGCTCTCCGAATCACTCCTGGTGGTGATCTGGCCCTGACCATGCTAGTTTTGGGAGGAATGTGGGGAAAGGGAATGTTGCTGGCATTTTGGTGTCAGGAAATACAGTCGAACTGGTACTAGTTTCAGAATTGTAGGTGACAGGGCGGCACAGCATCAGCTCCTTTTTTTTTTTTTTTTTTTTTTTTTTGCTCTTGGGGTCACACACAGCGATGCACAGGGGTTACTCCTGACTCATGCACTCAGGAATTAATCCTGGCAGTGCTTGGGAAACCATATGGGATGCTGGGAATCGAACCCGGGTTGACTGCGTGCAGGGTAAATGCTCTACTCTCTGTGCTATTGCTCTAGCCCCGCATCAGCTTCTTTTGTGTGCTACTCTCTGCCTCCCTGTAGGATCTCAGCAGCACGGACCTCATCCGGCCCCGCATCAGCCTTGTGTGCCAGATCGTCCGCGTGGGCCACATGGAGCTAAAGGAGGGGAAAAAGCACACCTGTGGACTCCGAAGACCTTTTGGGGTGGCAGGTGAGAAAGGACTCAGACTCAAATGGAAAGTTGTGTGGTCGGTGTGGAAAACAGTGTGACTGGTTCTCAGAAAACTGCACGTAGAAGAATTATCTGGCGATCCTTCTGCTGGTGTGTGTCCAATGAAACTGAAAGCAGGTCTTCAGATGTTCAGATTCCCAGAAGCATCATTTACAATAACTCAAAGGTAGAAGCACCTAAATGTCCACTGATGGATGAATGGATATGCAGTAATATAATAACAATAACATATCAGTATATAATGACAATACAGTGAAATACTATTCAGCATATAGGCACAGAAAAGCAAATGCTAAATGATTCTACTTACAAGAGGAGCATGAGTAGTTAAATTTATAGAGACAGAAAGTAGAAGAATAATTGCCAGGGGCTGGGGTGTGTGTGTGTGTGTGTGTGTGTGTGTGTGTGTGTGTGTGTAGAGGGCTGGAGATTTAGTGTTTAATTGGTACCCAGTGTTAATGTGAAAAATGGTTAGGAGATAGATGCTACAACAATGTGAATGTCTTTTAAAAAGTATCCTTTATGCTGCTGAACTGTACATTTAAAAATGATCCATATGGGGGCTGGAGTGATAGTACAGTGGGTATGGCATTTGCCTTGCATGCAGCCAACCAGGGTTTGATTCCCAGCATCCCATATGGTCCCCTGAGCACCACCAGGAGTGATTCCTGAGTGAAGAGCCAGGCGTAACCCCTGTGCATCGCCGGGTGTGACCCCCCCAAAAGAAGATCCATTTGGCAAATTTTATGTTGTTTTGACACACACACACGCATGCACACACTCACACATTAAATTATAAAATGAGAAAGAGGAAGGGAGAAGGAAGACCAGCACTAGTCCAGTGTGCTGTCAGTATGAGACACAGCGGATGCTCCTGCGAGCCAGAGGATCCTGGTCCTCTATTTCTGCTCAGTGCTCAGCACAGCATCCTACATACATTAGGGCCTCACTTATAATTACTGGCCTCCTCCCTTCCTACAGCCACATAGTAATTCTTGTGCAATAGAATTCTCTCTTGAGAGTAGGAAATGTAATTTGGGAATAGCATATTGTTTTTGTTTCCTTTTTAATTAAAGAACTGTGATTTACAAAGTTATTGATCGTTGAGTTTTAGGCCTATAATATTTCACTACCAGTGCCATCACCAGTGTCAATGGCCCTCCACCAGTGTTCCCATATTCCCTCCCCAGCCCTCCCACCCCATCCCCACCTGTCAACTTGACAGGCACATGACAGAGTTTCAGTGGTTGCAGCTTAGATGTCATGTTTTCAGTTATTAATAACTTTTATATAGGGTCCTTGGCTTAAAACTAACCTACAACCTTCCACAAGCCCGGTAGTGGGTTAAATGATGTTAAATCTCTGTAGTTCTAGTAAATGATGTAACAAATCTTGATTTTATATTCACATCTTGTTCACTAAGACATTTTGACAGCTATCAATGAAATGTCATGATGTGCTCCCGGAACACAGGTTGGGAAACTCCATGTTCGCAGGCTTGACCTTGTGGTCCTTTGTATAATGAGCTGCCTCTTGTGCCCCTGAGACTCTGTGTCACACATTCCTGAACAGTCACACCCTTTTAAACTTGCTGCTCACGGTGACCAGAGGGAACATGTCTTCCAGGCAGAGAAGTCAAGTGAAAGGAAAGGAGCCATTTAGCCAGCTATGTGGCAGTGTGTTTACTCTTCCAAAAGCATTTAAGGTATATTTGTTCAAAATGGGCCAAATGGGCCAAAGAGAGTCCAGCATCAAGTCTGAGGGTTGAGGGTGTGTGTGTGTGTGTGTGTGTGTGTGTGTGTAGAGTATCAGGAAGAGTGGGAATACAGAGGGCAGTAAATTAGAAGTAGTTAAGGCCATTTACCAGTGAAATATCTGTTTTAGTCAACTGTACATTTTGCAATATTTTTCTAAACTACTTCCTTGTCACATCTGCTATAGACTGGGAGTGAGGCTTTCTGATTCTCCCCCTCCACACCCTAGAGATTTCTTTGAGGAATTCAGCTAGCTATTGTATCACTGTCTTCCCAGCCAATTTTGTTGTTCTGACTAGATGTTTGGGGTTCCTTGTGAAAGCTCCTAGATGACTTTCAGTGTTGTTGGCTCTGCCTGTCCTCTGGCCGTAATATAGAGTTCTGAGACTTCTTACTGCCATGGCTGCCTTTGTGAGTTTTTGGTGTGGAGTAGGTGATAGGAGCCAGGGTTCAGTTATTATTAGTACAGTGTGGTTGGGGCCAGTTAAGCCACTTCAGTGTGCTGACTCACTGCATTTCCTGTGAAGTCTCAGTCAGGGAAGGATTCAGCCAGGCAGTTCTGGAAACCCGAGAGATGACTCTGCTGTTCAGTGTCAAGGTAGAAGTGAAGCAGAGGGAAGACTGAGCCGCTCACCTGGGGAAGCAGATTCCCTCAAATGACATCTTGTAAAAATTCTTGATATAATTTTTTTGCGGAGTCCCATTAAGGCCTGACAGCAAATTGATGTTTTATTCCTCTTTCCGCAGTTTAATTTCACTAAAATTCTGTTATTTACGTTACTTTGAGAAGATATGTCTTTTATCACTTTTATTTTGTCATGAGAACATTACCTAATTACCCATTTTTTTTTAATCTCCAAACATGCTATCTGGGGGAGTAGATCATTAACCTGTGCTTTATGACTAGATAGAAATTTATTAACCAGAGAATCCTCCAGCCATGGGCCATCTCTAGTTTCAGCAGCTATGGAAGAGTGCTAATAATTCTACAGTTGCTAATCAGTGCCCAGTGATCATCAGTCACTCCTGGGTTCACTCCCCAGCTTTACCACAGAAAATCTTATCTTGGGCCAGTTACTTACCTTTTCTTATCGCTTTCTTTTTTTTGGAGGTGGGGGTCACACTCTATGATGCACAGGGGTTACTCCTGGCTCATGCACTCAGGAATTATTCCTGGCAGGGGGACCATATGGGATGCTGGGAATCAAACCCGGGCCAGCCACATGCAAGGCAAACGCCCTACCTGCTGTGCTATTGCTCCAGCTCCACCTTTTCTTATCTCTTAAAGTCAGTATAAAGAATATGTGCAGTAGTCTCCTTGTTTGTTCATTGCAGCACTGTTTATAATAGCCAGAATCTGGAAAAAACCTGAGTGCCTGAGAACAGATGACTGGTTAAAGAAACTTTGGTACATCTACACAATGGAATACTATGTAGCTGTTAGAAAAGATGAAGTCATGAAATTTACATACAAGTGGTACTACATGGAAAGTATCATGTTAAGTGAAATGAGTCAGAAAGAGCGGGATAGACACAGAAAGATTGCATTCATCTGGGGAACATAGAGTAACAAAATAGGAGACTAACACCCAAGAATTGCCGAGATTATTACCAGGAGTTTTGCTCCATGGCTTGGAGGCCAGCTGCACATGCTAGGGGAAAAAGCAGCTCAGATAGAGAAGGGAGCACCAAATAAAGGGTGTTGGGAGGATCCTCCCAGGATGGGAGATGCATGCTGAAAGTAGACTGTAGACTGAATATGATTGCACTCAATGCCTCTTTTGCAAGTCACAGCACCCAAAAAGAGAGCGAGAACAAAAGGAAATTCCCTGCCAGAGACAGGGTGGGATGGGGGGGATGGCGGGGCTGGGACAAATACTAGGATCAGTGGTGGTGGAGAATGGGCACTGGTGGAGGGATGGGTACTCGATCATTGTATAACTGAAACCCAAGGACAAAAATGTGTAAGTCTACAACTGTAGCTCATGGTGTTTCACTAATGAAAATTAAAAAAAAGAAAAAGGATATGTCCAGTAGTCTTAACACAGTGCTTTATTAATTGTTCTTCATGTGCAGATTTTCTCATCATCTTCTCCTTTTTGCTACTGGTGCCCTGGCTTGCCTCAGTTTCTATAAAAACCAGGTGACACTGTGCCACTTAAAGCAATGTCCGAGTACTTCAAAGCTTGAGTTTCTCTCCCAGATCTTTAATTCTGTGACACTTAACCAAAAAAAAAAAAAAAAAAGTGTTTTCTGTTTCTCTAATGGTAGGGTTTCTGAAAAATAAAATCTTATTTCAAGTTTATCGGGAATTTAGCAGCTCAGTCTTACAGAACTCTTTAATGGATGTTATCTAGGAGAGCTGAGAAAAATCCAGGCCTCTCATTGAGCTCTTAATGAATTGCTCCTCTGGTAGACTGGGGACACTGGGCCCCACTGTTGGCAAAGAAATGAAAGAAAGGACCCTGCTTGCTATCTTTCTTCCCCTAATGCCTTGTTGATCGATACTGAAATTTTCATAGGAACTCACTGAGGCCTAAAGCCGTTGGTTTCTTTAATTACGTTTATCTTTTTTCCTAGTGATGGACATCACTGATATCATTCATGGGAAGGTGGATGATGAAGAAAAGCAGCATTTTATTCCCTTTCAGCAGTAAGTACCTTGGCATTTCTCCCAGGTGACTTGAGACCTAGATTAGCCTGTTGCATGGTGTATTAACACATAACCAGGTGCGAGAAACCATTTCCCAGTTAAGGAAACAAAGTCTTGGCTGACAGTTGTCAGATTGGAGCTGACAGAAGACAATTCAAAGTTCCTTGTACCGGATTTTATGAGGCTGAGCTGGACTTCCTCAGTTCTACGCAAAATGATTGGAGGAAGATAAGGGCCGAAACTGCATCTGTCTTGGACAGAAGAGAGCAGTGAGCAGTGCCGTGGAAGAGTCAGAAATACGCAATGTGGGGGCTGGACAGATCGTGCAGCAGTTAAGGTGCTTGTCTTGCACGTGGCCAACCTGGGTTTGATCCCAGGCATCCCAGATGGTCCCCCGAACCCACCAGTTGTGATCCCTGAGCACAGAGCTGCGATTAACCCCAGAGCATTGCTGGTCCAAAACAACAGAAAGAAATGCCCATACTCTGGGCAAGTGTCCTGTACACCGGCAGTCCCGTGGGAAGCCCTGAGATTCTAGCGCTGGAGGCTGCGTACCAGTCCTCGTGCCTCTGTTAGAACACCAGACTCCTGTTAATCTGGAGTCTGCTCCCAAGATGCTGTCAGGTGATGCTGCTGATTTGGGGGCCACGCTCTGAGCTAAGGAGCTGTGAGAGTGAAGGGCTAAGCCACCCCGGTTCCTGCAACGGAGATGCACCCTCCCTGGGTGTCTGTGAAAGGATTCCCCACAGAAGTCTACTGTCCCTGTTCCTGAGACACTGTTGGTGAGCCAGCCAGTCCTGTTCGCCGTCGTTTGGAAGAAGTCAAGGTGTAAACCTTGCCACACAGCTGCATTCCACCTGCCCCGTATGGGGAAGAGGGCTAGGGAATCCCAGCGGGAAAAGATTTGTCATTTAGAGAAGGCTATTGTCTTAGCTAACTTGTGACTCCAACAACAGATCATGACAAACTGAGAGTTCCAGAAACTAGCCCGGGGACATTGAGTTAATACGCATTTTTCAAGTATTATTATATTATCAATAATTTTTATAAACTGCTATTTTTTTTTTTCGTTTTGGGTCACACCCGGCGATGCTCAGGGGTTACTCCTGACTTTGCACTCAGGAATCTCTCCTAGAGGTGCTCAGGGGACCATATGGGATGCTGGGAATCGAACCCGGGTGAGCTGCGTGCAAGGCAAACGCCCTATCCGCTGTGCTATTGCTCCAGCCCCCTATAAACTACTATTTTTAATACTAAGAATCATAATGAATCATTATTAAGCAAAATAAATTAAGCAGAATAATTTGTATAAGAATATCATCTAACATTTAATAAACACAAAACAAAGCCTGATCTTAATACCTTTTATCACCTTTTATCACTGTTAATCTCAGTTGCAAGTAAGTGTAAAAGCTATGAGTATTAAAATGCTGCAGGAACATAGGAGTTTTATATAATAGAGATATGTGGGAGGCTTTTCTGAGTCACAGCAATTATTCAACTAAAAAATTGACAGGTTTAATCACACAACTTATATATATATACATATGTACATATATATATCAACAGTATACATATACACACGCTGCAGATGTTTTGTTGACTATGCATCATGTGTTTATAAATTTAATAAATATTTCATGCATATGAAAAATGATGAGTATTAACATATGAAAATTAATAAGAAGCTGGCAGTGTGGTTGAAGGGGTAGAGCATGTGCCTTTCGTGTAAAAGGCCCTGATTTCAGTCCCTGGCACTGTGTGGCCTCCGCCTACTTTGGATTTTTGTCCTTCAAGTAACAGAAACAATAACAGCAAGAAAAAGAAAAAGAAAACAATTATATGGAAAAGGAAATAAAGGTGTGACCTATAAATCCATTGGGGATTTATGGAATACAACTTAAATAAGGAACTTAGTTTTTGTCTTGACCAAGTTTTAAAAATGTTAAGATATCTAGTGGAGATAAATCTAGGATAAACAAATCAAACATTACTTAAAGGAATATAAGTTGTTCCACTGCATTAAAAGCCTCAAATTCTAGATATTAAAGATTGCACTCCATCATTAGCAGGGATTATTTCTGCTCATATGAATGGATGATTATTGCCATTTTTAGTTTTTCATTTTTCTACAGTAAATATATATGATTTTATTTAAATTTGAAGAATTTCAATATTTCAGTTTTTAATCAGCACCTTAGGATCAGTTTATAAATATGTAACAGGAGGTATAGTTTATGCTAAATAGTAATTAACTTATTAATTTAGAGACTATTATTTTTTAAGTAATTAATATTATTTAAAATTTGTACTCACTTGTTATTATATTGCTTACAACTGACACTCCAAAATTATGCTGGTCTAAATGATGCTTAATGCTGATACTAATTTTTGGAAACTCTGAAATTTACATTTTCTGCTCCCAATATAACTATACCCATATATTTAGCCTTGTATTTTAATAAGTGTGTTACATTTAACATGGTACTGTATTGAAGAAATAAATATACAATATAAAATAAAATATAAATAAAATATATGAATACATAAAATATATCAAAATATAAATATACTTAAAAATGAGTTTATTAACTTTTATATATGAGTACTGTTCTTGTACACATAGGTGTAAAATTATATATTGCTATTAGATATATATGTATATATATCTTGTATACTTACATGAAATATATGAGAGAAGCATTTATGGTCATGAAAGCTATATAAAATATATGTGACAGTGTGACAGTGTGTAATATATAACTACTATATATTATAGTAGCAGGGTCAGCATTCATAGCCATAAACATTCTTCTGCTCCATATATTTCTATATATGATTTGATGATAAATATAGGTAAAAATAGCACTTACAGGTATGGAAGGTAACTCAAATATGTATTCATGTTTGTTTCATCACTGAGCTTCTCTGAGAAACTTTTTGCTGTGTAACTTCAGCCCCAGCTCTCAGCCAGCAGCCAGGTTCAGGGCCCTGAGGTGGTCTCCACCGACTAGTGATGCTTTCGGTCTCTGGGAGCCAGGCCCTAGCTCGACCCCCACCCACTGTACAGCCCGCAGCTTCCACCCAGTGTGCATGATGCAAATTTGTGGTAAATGAAGATTTGTGACAAATTTTCATGAATTATCTCAAAAGCTTTATAGGGATGATAATATTATATCACATATATATAATAATTATAATAATGTAGCTATTATAATTATAGATTACTGTAATTATAATATTTTAAGTCACTCTTAGGAGCTTTTTATATGTATATTATGTCACACCATCTCAAAAGGTGTCATATGGAGGGACCAGACTGTTAGTACAACAGGTTAGGTTAGGGCACTTGTCTTGTACATGGTTGACCCAGATTCGATCCCTGGCACCCAATATGTTCCCTTGAGACAACCAGGGCTGATCTCTGAGTGCAGAGCCAGGTGTAAGCCTTGAGGACCGCCTGCAGTGGCACCAAAATGAAACAATAGCCACCACAAAACCCAAACAAAAAAGGGTCATTTGGAAACAACGGGTTTTGAAAACAGTTTCCATGTTTAGTGACTTGGTGCAGTCACCGCCCCCATCCTGGCTGCCAGCTCTCCCCACACACACACTCCTTTTGTTAGGCTACAGATCAGAGAGCTGGAGAAAGCTGCCTGTGTAGTGGGCAGAGCCGCAGTGGGGAAAGACTGGAGCCTTTTGTGCCCCATCAGGCTGTGTGGTTTCTGATCGCACTTGTGCTGTCCAGTGAGTGGGGGCTGTGTTTGGATCTGCGATCATACTCAGCCATATGTGCTCCTTCAAGTGATGTCTGTTTGCTGCTGCAGTCCAGCATGTCAATTGGCACCACACGGGAATCTTAGAACGCCCTCCAAACTCTGCTTCGTACTTACTGCTCTGTACTTGAAGTGTCTGGAGGCGGCCCTGGCATATGGTCTAAGCCTGTCCTCTGGCAAGTGAGTAAACTCAGGCCAGCAGGGGGCTGGCGGAGTTCACTAGCAAAGTCCTGCCCCTTGCCTCGGCCCTTTGATTCCATGACAGAAACCTGTCCTACCTGCTAGAGATCCTCAAGCATTGCTCCTGGCTTCTGGTTAATATTTGAAAGTCAGTATTGTTTGTTCTTGGATTTTCCTTCTCTTGAGCCCAAGTTAGATGAACCTAGTGGGGTTTTTTGTTTTGTTTTGTTTTGTTTTGTTTTTTGGTCATACCCATCGATGCTTAAGGGTTACTCCTGGCTCTGCACTCAGGAATTACTCCTGGAAGTGCTCGGGGAATGGATGCTGAACCCAGGTCAGCTGCTTGTAAGACAAACGCCCTACCCGCTGTGCTATTGCTCTGGCCCCAAATCTAATGTTTTAAAATAGAGACGTGTGTGGGTGCAGGGTAGGATGGGAAGGGTGGTGGTGGTAAGGGGGAACCAGTGGTAAAGCAGTTAGGGCACTTGCCTTGCATGTGGCCCACCTAGGTTTAACCCCCAAAACCATGTATGGTCCCCCTAGTTCTGCCAGGAGTGAACCTTCAGGTATGGTCCCTACAACAAACAAAAAGGAAAGGAAGGAAGGGAGGGAGGGAGGGAGGGAGAGAGGGAGGGAAAGAAAGAAAGAAAGAAAGAAAGAAAGAAAGAAAGAAAGAAAGAAAGAAAGAAAGAAAGAAAGGGAGGGAGGGAGGGAGGGAGGGAAAGGTTAGGAAAAGAAAAAAAAAGAAAAGAAAAGAAAAGGGAAAAAAAGCAAAGCAAAAGGGAATTCCCTGCCACAGAGACAGGGTGGGATGGGGGGGGATGGGGGATGGAAGGGATACTGGGACCCGTGGTGGTGGAAAATGGGCACTGGTGGAGGGATGGGTACTTGATCATTGTATAACTGAAACCCAAGCACAAAAATTTGTAAGTCTACAACTGTACCTCATGGTGTTTCACTAATAAAAATTAAAAAAAGAAAAGAAAGAGGGGAAAAGATGGTATTCTGGTCAGGTGTGTGTAGAGTTTGTATTTCAGTTTTTCCCATAGGGCCCACCACCTTCTAAGACTGTGCCAAGACTGTGCCACAGACACTTTCCCTCTTTTCCTTATCTCTCCTTTTTGTCTTTCCAGAATAGCAATGGAGACCTATATTCGGCAGAGACAGCTAATCATGTCACCATTGATAACATCCCATGTGATTGGGGAGAATGAGCCACTCACTTCGGTCCTGAATAAAGTGATAGCAGGAAAGGAAGTAAATCACAAAGGACAAGGTACACAGCTTATGTACTCAGCAGGGAGGGACCATCGGTGGAGGTGGCATTCTGAGCTGGTGGTGGGACTTCTGCCCTTTCTGGATCTTTCCTGCCTATGATGCCAACTCTATTGGGTTCTGCCCATCTTGGCTTCTTGCTAGGGCCACTGAGCACTGACGAGCTCTGAGCAGGCAGCGAGCATTGATTTAATCACAGCTGTATTTTCTAAATTCCCTGAAACAGATTTTTATCCCCTGAGTCTTTCTTTATTTCTGTCTATCCTTCGATCCTGCTGGTGCATAGAGAAAAACAAATCCAGGAATAATTCTGTACTATTCTCTGAATATTTCTTTTCCCTGATACTGCCTAAAACTAAAAGGAAGGACACTAAAGTCATACAAATGAGTAGTATTAATACAAAACAATGGTTTCAGTAACAAAACTTTAAGGAACTCTTTAGAAGCTCTGTATTTCATTCTCTTGACACCACTTGAAAAGAAATTCCAGAGTACAGAACCAGGAGTAACCCCTGAGCATTGCTGGGTGTGACCCAAACACCAGTAAAAAAATAAAATAAAACTATTTGTGGCTTGAGCAATAATACAGCGGGTAGGGCACAGGGGTTCAGTTTCAATACCTGGCACCCTGTATGGTTCACTCCTGATGAGGAATGAGCCCAGAATGCAGAACCACGAGTAAGCCCGATGCACCGGTTGGTGTGGTCAAAACCAGCATTGTCCTCCCGTTGCTCATTAATTTGCTCCAGCAGGCCCAGTAACGTCTCCATCTTGAGACTTGTTGTTACTGTGTTTGGCATATTGAATACGGCACGGGTAGCTTGCCAGGCTTGGCTGTGCGGGCGAGATACTCTTGGTAGCTTGCCAGGCTCTCCGAGAGGGACGGAAGAATCGAACCCAGCTGGGCTGGGCTGGCTGCGCACAAGGCAAATGCCCTACTGCTGTGCTGTCAAAAAAGCAAAGGAAAAAGCAAAACAAAGCAAAATATTTTAAGTTAAAAAACTATTTTGAATATAAGTTACCTAGTCATTATGTGTGTTTATGAATTTTAAAAAATTTTCTTTCTCAGTGTTTGAGTTATTTTTTGGGGTTTGAGGGGTCTGACCAATTCAGGAGATGTATGGACCCCTATGGTAATGGGGGTTGAACTGGGATTTGTTACATGCAAAACCTGAGCCTAATGTTAAGGCTGTACTGTCTCCCTAACCCTTCAGTGGTTGAGTTCTTTATATAATAAAGGTAAGAATAAGGTATATAGTTTTCATTATTTTGGTTTGTCAAATATATATATATAAAGCTATATAAAATGTGTGTATACATATATGTATATATACATATAACTCTTAAGTATTCTTTGTGGTTTGTTTGTACTCTTTTTATTTGTGAGAACCATAATTTTTTTCTAGTGGGTATCAATTGCTAACTTCATATGAGTATATTGCTGTTCTGTCAAATTTAAAACTTAATTTGTTTCAGATTTTTCAGATTTTTTTGTTTTTGTGATTTTTTCCATCTCTTACCTACAAAGATTATTCACTCTACCTTCATTTTTATTATTCAATAACTCTACCTTTTTTTCTTTCACTGTTTCTTTTTTCTATGTAATTTATTAGAAATTTATTCCACTACTTTTTATTTTTAATATTCTTCATGCCAGGCAAATGTAACAGCCTCATACAAGTCAGGCGTGTGTTGTACCACTGAACTCTATGACCCCTGAAAATTTATTTTAAGTGAAAAGATGTACTATAAAATGAAAAAATGCACTATAAAATTAGGTTGACTATTTTAACCAAGAAAATTACCTCGCCAAATTTATGAAATTGTTCCTTTTTAAAAATTATTGATCATGCCTATTTTGGCATATATCAAAATTGCCACATATCAAATTATTGATGTGTTCAATGATGGTGACTATAGTACGTATTCAATATAGTTCGACTTACTTTTGTTAATTAATTTTTTTTAAGGCCTGGCCAGCAGTACTCAGGGTCTGTGCTTGGCTCTGTGATCAGGAGTGACCTTTAGCAGGGCTTTAGGGGAGTCAGATGTGATACTGGGGATTAAACAGGGACAGACACTTGCAAGGCAAGCACCTTACCTTCTGCACTGTCTCTGTGGTCCCTCCATTGGTTTTTGTTTCTCTTATACCAAGTAGTGTAAGAGATACCCCCAGTAGTATCATATACTGCTATGGTTTTTTTATTTTGATACATGATAGATTGGTCTTTTATTTGTTTAATAAAATTTAGTAGTTCTTTAAAAAAAGTGAGGTATAGTTTGTTTATAGTAATACATGTTTTAGGGATACTATCTGTATTTTTATTTCCCACAAGCTCCCTTTACATTCATCAAATTCCCAAAGCAGTCCTATTATGACTTTAATTGGAGTGTCGTTAGGAATCGTTAGGAATCTTTTAAGTAGGCATCCATATATTAATACAAGGCATATCAACTTTTTCGTGATTAGGTGTATGTCTAGGATGTAGGTCACACATACTAAAGGTTTATCTTTGTTTCTTTTAAGGGCTCTGGGTGTCTTTGAAGCTCTTGCCCGGTGACCTCACACAGGTTCAGAAGAACTTTTCCCACTTGGTGGATAGATCTACAGCAATAGCTCGGAAAATGGGCTTCCCTGAAATAATACTTCCAGGTTAGTACTTTGCTAGAGTCACTTGTTCTATTTCCTTTAGTGCATCCATCTGTGCAGCAGATACTTGTGAAAGGACAATTGACCAACACCTAAGAACAGTACAGACAAGGGCCAGGGGGATCGCTCCATGGTTTGGAAGCCTGCCTCATGTGCTGGGGAAAGAGGCAGTTGGGATGGAGAGAAGGGACCACTAAGTCAATGATGGCTGGAGGGTACGCTCAGAATGGGTGATGTGTGTTTTGTGATCACTCCTAGTGGTGTGCAGTGACCATGTGGTTGTGGGGATCAAAGTGAGACCTCCTGTATGCAAAGCATGTGTCCAGTCTGTTAAATCATCTCTCTGGCCCTTACCTTTATTTTAAATGTTGGAACTCTTGTCTGGTCCTAAGATTCTGCATTGCTTTTGTAGGGCTGCTAACAGCAAAGTGCCATGGACTAGAGTTTTAAACAACAAACACTGATTTTTCTCACAGGTCTGTACATTGAGAGTTGGAGATTGAGGCCTCTTTTCATGGCTTGTAGGTGGTACTTCTCCCTTTGTTTCCACCTAAGATCTCTTCTTGTAAAGACACCAGCATATTACCAAGGGGGCCCATCATATGATCTCATTTTTCTTAATTACCCTATTAAAGACTCTCTCTCCAGAAATAATCACATTCGGAGGTTCTAAGGGTTAGGATTTCCACCAAAATCTTTTAAGGGGAGACAGTTCAATCCACAACAGTCTTTCCTTCTCATATTTTTTCACTCGGGGGATCTCATCCACTCATTGGGTTTCTTTGTATTTCTTGCCTTTAAATCCATATCGCTAGCCCCAATGTCCCTCTTATGAACTCCATTCTCATGCATTCAATTACTATCTGGTCTTGTCAGGAGGTGCTATCTTCAACATTCTTCTCTCTTTAAAACTGGTTAAGTCTTACTCAAATTGTCCTCTTGGAACTTGTAATCCTGTATAGTCTTGGCTGGAGAAGGCAAGTGCCTCCCACTATACTCTCTCTCTCTCTCTCTCTCTCTCTGGCCCTGACCATATTTATTTTTTTTCTTTATGATAGGCCTTACATATTTAGTAATTTAATTTTAAAAAATTAAACCCTCCCCCACTCTCTGGAACACATCCTTCTCCATCTCTTTGAGTCATTTCTGTAGAAGCAATTAAAAAAAATTTTTTTTTTTAATTTGGGAAGTGGTTGCTCAGAGGTACCTGGCCCGCTGCTGTTGATACTCTGCCTGATTGAGTAGGTGCTCTGGCTGGGTGATGCTTGGGTCATCAAGGCTACACCTGCCAGTACTTTGGAGGTCACGAAGTATTTGAGATTAAACTTGGGGCCTTATGTATACAAGCCATGTGCTCCCGCACTCTGAGCTGTCTCCCAAGCCCTGATTTGTTGTTGTTGTTGTTGTTAAGAGGCTGTGTTTTGGCACAGAATTCTATAAACTTATTTTGCGACTGCACGGCTAGTACAGTGTGTTGCATACTTGCATTGTATGCAACTAATTCAGGTTTGATCCCCAGCAACCCTTATGGTTTCCTGAGCCCAACCAGGAGTTATCCCCAAGCACAGAGCCAGGAGTAAGCCCTGAGCACTGTCAAGTGTGGTCAGTATTCTCCATCCCACTAACACTCCCCACCACCACACCCTCAGCCTTTCCTCTCCCATGATAAGCTTCATACTGAATACTAGTTCTCATTTTCTGTTGCCTCTGGGATTTGTTATTTCTTCACTATGTTTCCTTATTATCCCACATATGATGGAGCTTATTCTGTGTTCTTTTTCTCTAAACTTCCCTCAGCATGATACTCTTCAGATTCATTCATCCACGCAGCAGCAAATCGCATATTTTTGGCTTGTCAGTAGTATTCCGTTGTGCATCTATATTCTAGCTTTTTATTCAATCATCTGTTCTTGAACACTTGAGCAGTTTCCAGGTTGGGCTAATGAGATTAGAGCTAATGAGTTTAGAACATTGGAGTGCAAATGTTCTTTCTGAATTGAGTTTTGAAACCAGGTCCCTATTTTTTAAAATTGTATTTTTTACTGATTAACAACAAAATTTATAGGCAGAAATTATTTTAGTAATCATAAGCATAATTAAGCCAATTCAGTGAATGCAAAGAATTCTACAGGCCCTCAGAAATAGTATCTCTCTTAGTTTACTCAGTGATTAAAAGTTAATGCATTTAGTAAGCATTCGTTAATTTTAGCCTTTACTATTTTCAGATGTATTAACATATCACGCTCTCTAAGGCACTATTGGGGAAAAAAATCTCCTGCTCCTGCCTCATGAGCAGGGGAGAAGGCAGTTGGAATAGAGAAGGGATCAGTAAGTCAATGATGGCTGGAGGGATAGTTCAGGATGCGAGATGTGTGCTGAAAGTAGATAAAGAATCAAACATGATGGCCCCTCAGTATCTGTATTGCAAACCATAATGCCCCAAAGTAGAGAGAGAGTATGGGGGAAATTGTGTGCCACAGAGGCAGGGGTAGGGGTGGGAATGGTGGGGGCGCGGGGGTGGGGTACTGGGGACATTGATGGTGGAAAATGTGCACTGGTGGAGGGATGGGTATTTGATCATTGTATGACTGAAAATCAAACATGAAAGCTTTATAACTGTATCTCACAGTAATTCAATAAAAAATAAAATAAATCTGTTGCTATAGCTCATTAAAGTATAGGGCCCAAGAGATAGTAAAAGGCAGTGTGCTTGCCTTATATGCAGTTTGTCCACGTTCAATCCTTGGTACCACTAGGAATCCCAAGCTCTGTCAGGAGTGACCTCTGAGAATCATCGGGTGTGATCCAAACAGAAAATAAAGTAAATAAATATTGAAATACATCATCTGCTTATTATTAAAAAATAAAGGTTAATTAAAAAATAGATTCCCATAAAAAAAGTTGTGTTTTTATAATTCACGTTAAAACACCTTATGTATGGAAAGAAGATCAGGTAAGCTGAAGAGAATAGTGTGTGTGTGTGTGTGTGTGTATGAGTGTGTGTGTGTATATAATATGAACGTTTGCTATTTTATTTATATCTTTTCCCTATGGGGACCATACCCCATGGTGTTTGGGGCTACTTCTAGTGGTGCTGGGGTACCATATGGTACTGAATTGACCCTAGGCCTCATGCATGTGGAGCATACACTTCAGCCCTTTAAACCATCTCTCCAGTTCCTTGCTTAAACTTTCATATGTTTATTGTACCTTAAGATTAAAAATGACATGGTAGCATCACTCATAGTTTGGATTGTACTATTTTACAGGAGATGTTCGTAATGATATATATGTTACCTTAATCCATGGGGAGTTTGACAAAGGAAAAAAGAAGACCCCGAAGAATGTGGAGGTGACCATGTCTGTATATGATGAGGAGGGCAAGCTCCAGGAAGTACGTGGTGTTGCCCACAATCCCTGCTGTCTTCACCCTTTTTCCTATAATAATAATGGACTCTTGCTCAGATGTTAATTCTTCCCACATTCTGGTGCATTTGCTTTCTCATAAGGGAAAAACATAACATCTGTTAAATTTATGGTGTGCCTTTACCAGTTTTTCTAATCATAAGCTTGTTTAGAATCTTCTCCCCCCCTTTTTTGGGGGGGGGTGTTTTGTTGGCCATGCCTGGCAGTGCTCAGGACTTACTCCTGGCTCTGTGCTTAGGGGTCACTCCTGGAAGGGACTTAGGGGACCATATGGGATACTGGGGATTGAACCCCAATTGGCTACATGCAAGGCAAGCACCCTATTTGCTATACTATTGTTCCGACCCCTAGATTCTTATTTTCATATTTTGTTGCTAAAGGAATAACAAGCGCTTGATGATTTCATATGTGAGCCTCTGCTGCAGAAGTTCTTTATCATTTTCAAGTTGTTTTGCATCAGACCCAGTGAATTCCTAGGGCTTAAGGGAAGGTAGCTGCATGCCAAGTCGCATTGAAAGGCATGTGTTCTCTTCTGGCTGAGGTACAGCAGAGGACATCTGTCCAGTAGAACTACTACATCAGTGGAGATCTAGGTCAGCACAATTGGCAGTTACTGCTGCTCTTTAGTTTTGAGTATTTGGAAACTCAACTCCGAAAGGATAATTTCTTTCCTCAGAGAATCACAGAAGCAAGTGGTAAAGCTCAGACAGGATCCATGTATTCTGGTTTCTGGTCCAGAGCTAATCCAAGTCTGCCATAATCACCAATTTGGGGAGGTCATTCCTTTTCTTTCCCCAGTTTTGATCCCTGAGTTTGGTTGGGGTCAGTGATCAAACTCAGGGCTTCAGACATACAAAGTCTGTGATCTGCCGTTGAGCATTGTCGGAGGAAGCCAGCCTTGATTCTCATGTCCACGTGAAGGAGAACCAGGGGGTGGGGACAAAAGAAACTGATCTCACCTGAACGTGGCTCCTCTTGTATACGACTTCTATACATGCTGGAATCTAGATAACAAGTTCTTGATTCAGTTAGTTCACCAAGAGCCTCTTTGCACAGGTGTCCCAAGACATTGTCATATACAACCCCATTACTTCCCCATGAATATTGTCATCTTTGCCTTACCTAGCGGTGTGTCTGCACTTGAACCAGAGCTCCTGGTCACTCTCACTAGGCCACTGTTCCCAGAGCAAAAAAAAAGTCTGTGTCTTGGGTTAGGAAAGAAAATAAAAGTTAGACCATGAGTGTGTCAACATAGTACAAGTTGTTTTGTTAGACCATGAGTGTGTCAACATAGTACTGTACGCTTAGACCCTCCAGGTAAGGGTTGCAAGTTCATATTTACTCTGTTTATTGTATATATCAGCAGTTTAAGGCACAGCCTAGCTGTTTGGACTGTAGGAGACCCATCTTAGTATAGGATCTCTTTGCGATAATATGAATATCACCCCCTCTAATTTTTTTCTTTTCATCCAAAGAAAGCAATTCATCCTGGTGCTGGATATGAAGGCATTTCCGAGTACAAATCAGTAGTCTACTATCAAGTCAAGCAGCCCTGCTGGTATGAGACTGTCAAGGTGAGACTATGGCACTGGTAAATCCTTTAGTATATTAAAACTATTCACCTGCCTTTCTTCATTTTTTATCCATCCCTAATATTTTAGATAGGTTGTGTATGGTAAATAATAGGAAATGAAATGATCACTATAATTCTGTATAAGAGCATTTATCTTTATTAATCTCAGATTTTTTTTTTTTTGGAGAGTGTTTAGGCAAACTCATCAGTGCTTATGATTTGTTCTGGCTCTCTGAGTAGGGGTTGCTTCTGGAAGTGCTCAGGGGAAATGGGAAGAGCCAGAGATTAAACTTGCAAGACATACTTGAACTTGCAAGCTGAATGCCAGACGAGGACCTAACCTGCTGTACCATTTCTCTGGTTCACAATTCAATTCTTTGTTGTTGTTGTTGTTGTTGTTTCTTTTGGTGGTGGTGCTCCTTGCTTGGGCTATTGCTCCTAATCCAGTAGGTTTGAGGGAGGCTAACTATGCAGTGCTGGGGATTGAATCTGAGACTCCTGCTTACAAAGCATGCACCCTAGCTGATTGAGCTCTCTCTCCAACCCCCAAACTCAGAATTATCATTATTATTAGTTGTTGTTGTTATTTGGTCACTCTTGGCAGTCCTTTGGGGTTACTCTTAGCTCTGCACTCAGTATTACATAAATGGGTTTGGGGGACCATGTAGGATGCCAGGGATGGAACTCTGGTCAACCAAATGCAAGGAAAGTGCCCTACCAAGTATCCTATCACTCCAACCGCAATTAACTGTTTTTGCCCTCACGCCTGGCTGGGCTCAGTGCTTACTCCTCTACCCTGATGATGTGATTCTGGGGATCAAACTCAGGTTGTGTGTATGCAAAGGCAAGTGTTCTGCCCACTGCATTATCTTGCCAGACCCTAAACTCAGAATTCTTAAATCACGTTTTCATTCTTAAACATGTAAAATTGAAATAGAGAAATTTGAAATTGTAATGTATTCTAGGCTGCCAAGATTTTCTGAAAACAAATGGAAATTTTCACACTCTGCAAGTAGTTGCCTAACATTTTTTCCTTCTTGGCCTCTAATCAAGTTTCCTGGCTGTCTTTTTAGTTTAAATGTGTGTATTACACATTTCAAAGTGCTCTTGGATCATTCATGTCATGTAAGCGTCACAGTCAGTCAGGCAGCTCACTTATCACTGTTACCCCTACTCTCTTTCTGATCCTGTAACTGAGACTCAAAGATGCAGAGTGAAACTCCAAAATGCTAGAGCTCCCTGGTGTCAGATGTTAAATTGGTGCTCTTTTCTTTTGACTCCCAGGCTTCATCAGATCTGTCTGATTGTCCTGGTTTCATGAGTGACATAGAAATGTTAAAAAAAAAAACATCTATGGGGATAGGAGGTTGGAGATGGGCTGGGAAGGAGCACTTGTGGAGGGAAGTGGACACTGGTGAAGGGATAGATGTCAGAACATTGTATGCCTGAAAGGCAATCACGAATAACTTTGTAATTTCCCAGTGACTAAGAAGCAGAAAATTATACTAATGTTTCAATTCAGAAATAATCATTTTGCCACAAATTTATATATTTCATATGTTTGGATTTATGCTGTGTATATAGATACTTATTGTGCTTTTAATGCATTAAGAAGTTCTTCAAACATGTGTGTTTAGGTACTTGCCTGTGTTTATTAAGTGCCCAGTGACATTGCTGATTGGTTCTTTAAAATTGTTATTTTTAGCAAAATGATATATAGCAAAGGCGGATCCTCAACAATTTGGTTCAGTGTTAGCCAGTACTTTTTAAATCGGTCTTGTTACATCTTTGTCACCTTGAAACTACAAAGTCATTTATGATTTGGTTTCTGGCATGCCATATTCCAACACCGACCCCTTCACCCATGTCCACTTCCCTTCACCAGTGGCCTTATTTTCTCACCCACTACTCCAACCAGCCTGCCTCTCTGACAGGCACTTTTTGAAAAAAACGTTTATATATTTTAAAATACTATTTGAAAATTTCATTAAGGACCATTATTTACAAAATTATTGATGGTTGCAGTTCAACACCAATCCCACCACCAGCATTTCTTCCCTCCAACAGTGTTCCTATACTCCCTCCTCAACCCTGCCTGCCACCTTGATAGGCACATTACAAAGTTCATTGGTTGCAGCTTGGCTGTCATGTTTTTAGTATTGTTTTGGTCTTTTCTTTGGATCTATAGCTATAATATATCCCTGCTTTTCCACATCACAGGTATAACTGAAGCCCCTTCCTCTATTCTCCCATTATTTCTCTCTCTCATATTCTTCCTTCCCCTTTGATTATTTTTTCCTCTCTCTTCTCCCTAAGCTCTGGGGTCAAGGGTGATCTAGGCAATCCCCTCTTTACTGAACTACATTTCCTGATCCAGTTATCCTGTGGACCGCAGATACAGTGAGATCATCCTGTTTTGTTCTTCTGGCTTACTTCACTCAACTTGTTATCTTCCAGTTCCCACCGGGTTGCAGCAAATTGCATGATTTCATCATTCCTCACAGCTGCAGCGTATCCATTGTGTCTCTGTACCACGTCTTCATAATCCATTCATCTGTCTGACAGGCCCTTTCCAAATACATTTCTGGCTCTGTGGTTTACAGTACTGTTGCTGATAGGGTTTCATTTAAAGTACTTTACCGTCTGTCAAAACCTCCTGCTCTGGGTTGAACACTTCCCTCCTTCATTGTTGCACTGTTGTCCTCCCTGTCCTATTCCCTATGCCACCCGCCCCATAGCAGGCTTCCTACTGAAGACCAGTTCTGATCTTTCTCTTGCTGCTGGACATTTATGACTCCCATACCATGCTTCTTTATATTCCACATATGAGAGAGATCGTTTTGTGTGTGTATCTCTCTCAAACTAACTTCACTCAACTTGTTACTCTTCAGATCCATCCACATAGCAGCAAAGTAAATGACTTATTTTTTTTTTTCCAAAAAGCTGAGTCGTATTCCATTGTTTGTATGTACCATAGTTTCTTATCTACTTATCTGTGCTTAGGTAGTTGGGCCATTTCTAGATTTCCACTATTGTGAATATTGCTGAACACAGGAGTTCAGATGTCTTTCCTTGGTTGTTTTGGGGCCTTGGGTTATATTACAAAGACTGGAACTGCTGGGCCGGAAGTAATTCCTAGTTTCTTGAGGAGAGTTCATACATTTTTAAAAAAAATTTTGGGCCAGTTGACATTCTCACTTTTAGGAACTGAAGGTTGACTCAGAACAATGTTGAGTTAAAGGACATTATTGGAGAACCTGCTGTCATTCTTGTCATTTATCTAATTTTTCATCACAAACTTTCTGCTCTTTGCTGTTTATCATTTCTGTTCACTGTACCCTCTAAATTATTTATAAGCAAATTATATAAAGTTATGTAATAACTTATGTAAAGACTTCCTTGACCCTACATTTTACCTTTCATTCCTTACCTTCTATTACATACACTAATTTTCACTATATCAATGTACACCTTGCCATTTGAAATATCCCATATAGACCGCAAAGTTTCTCTCTTTCCCTCTTAAATAGTTCCTTTTTCATACTTGAGAAAATACTGGAGGATCTGGTTAGAAACAAAGATGATCTTCTAGTAGTCTTCAGGTGTGGAACTATCTAAATTTCCCTTCAGTGAAATTATATCAAATGTCACACTATTGGAACTAATGCTAAGAAAAGATATTAAAAATAAGCCTGTTTTCTATGAAATGAGCTGTGAATAAAATGTACTTTATATATATGTATATATACACATACATTATGTACATTATATATACTTATTCATTATTATTTTGCAGGTGTCCATTCCTATAGAAGAAGTTGCACATTGCCATATAAGATTTACCTTCCGACATAGATCATCTCAGGAATGTGAGTATTAGGAATCACTGTATTAAAAAATATATTACTACTAAGCTGTGGTTTTGTGTGTCTGGAGACCCTTGTGCTTGGAAATTAGTTGTCATCTTTAGTGCAGGATGCATTGGTGCTAAGGATATCAGTGGTGCTAAGGATATCAGAAAAATGGACTTTCTTGGCCTTTCCTCTGTATTCTGCCTTTATCAACATTCTCTCAGAATGTTTTCTGTGCTTCCTGCAGTTCTCTGAGGTGCTTCTGGAGTCTCTGACACAGAGATTTTAACATCAAATAGGGAATAGAAATGTTGTAGTATTCAACTCCCTCTCAGATACTTCTCAGTATATGATGCCTTAGTACTGAGTTCTGCATTGAGAATGCTGTTGGATGATTTGCTGTCTCTCAGAATTAGTGGGTTTTTTTTTTCATGAAAGATTAGTCCCTGACCTGGATCAGAGTTCAAAAGGTGCTGCTCTAAAATGTGAAAAGAGAAGAAAATTATTTTTATATGGATTCTGAATTGATCTCAAAATTTAAGATTATGTTTTGTTTACTGGGGATTTTTGTTTTGGGTCCCAACCAGTGGTGCTCAGGTGCTTAGGTGCTCAGAAGACCTTATGGGATGCTAGGGTTCAAACCAGATTTGGCTACATGCAAGGAAACTGCTGTAACCATCTCTCCAGCCCCTATGAATTCTCTTGTTCTTGTTTAACATGCATAAAAACACAGTCATGGGTCAGAGAGATGATAGTGAGGTTGCTTTGATAATGGTTCAGATCCTGGCACTACCAGTGGCCCCTCATTCACTTGGCAAGTGTAACCCCTGAGCGTCATTGGATGTGCCCCCCACCACCTCCTGCCCCACTGCAGTCCTTTTTTCTAAATTGGGTTTATTAAATTTCATCTACATCCAGAGTACTGACTTGGCGCAGGGCATATGACCTCAAATAAGATACTATCACTGCTCTAAATACTTCTGTGGTCTAGTTAGGAAGATGAGTGTGAAAACAAGCTATTACATTCAAAACCATAAAATATTAGTCAGCCAATTGGGAGTGGTAAGTGACCACATATGTATGAGGATTATGTGCATGATTTCCTACATTGATGCTGAGACTAAAAGGTAGAGTTAGTGTAGTAAAGACAAACAGGTGAATAAAAGGTGTCTGAAAACCACCAAGTAAACTTGGAAGGGCTGAATCATGATAGTACAAGTGAGATGCTATGACATTTTCATTGTTGGAGGCCAAGGTAATGAAATACCAGCAGTTTCACACCATTTTACATGACATTTAGATAGCATTTATCAAGACTTAGTTTGTGCCATGTAATGAGTGAAGCTCTATTCGTACATTTTGTGTTACCACAAATCTGATAAACTATGTACATATATCCAGATTTAAAAAGAAACAAGAAAGTTAGTTACTTGCCTGTACTGATACTTCAGCAGTCGTTTTCTAGGCCACTTCGTGAAATAGAACTTTTGAGTCATGTTAGGCAGGAACCATTAGAGATAGTTTTGTGGGTCTTGTTGATGGTAGTGGTTGTGTGTGTGTGTGTGTGCGCGTGTGTGTGTGTATGGATATAATCTATGACTGGACTAATTCATGACCATTTTCATGACAGATTCTGCAGAGTAGTATTGTAGGCATTGTCATTTGGACAATGTTCACTTTGGGATATATATAGTACAAATAATATCTGTATATTATATATATAGTATGTGTATATATATACATTTGAACGATGTATTTATATATGCACATTTGAGCAGTGTCCACTTTGGACATGTATATTGTATATAACATATGTATATACATACATTGTCCAAATGACCACAAAAGAGAATAAATGACACTTGCCACTTGTCTCTTGTCGTCCCGTTGTTCATCGATTTGCTCGAGCAGGCACCAGTAATGTCTCCATTCGTCCCTGTTGTGTGATAGTGTAACCCAATGGCATATTGGAGGCTCGTTCAGGGTCAGGGGAATGAGAACCGTTATTGTTACTGTTTTTGGCATATTGAATACGCCATAGGTAGCTTGCTAGGCTCTGCTGTGCAGGCAGGATACTCTCGGTAGCTTGCTGGGCTCTCCAAGAGGGCCAGGAAATAAATAAAAAGAGTAAATAAAAAGTTATAATTAAATCATACACTGTACTACTCTTCAGAGCTTGTCATGAAAATGGTCATGAATTAGTTCAGCCATAGATAATCTAAGCAGGGAACACAGCTCAGAGGCCAAAATCTGAAAATCAGGAAGGAAATTCTGTGCTTCCCTGGAAGGCCAGACCCTTCTCCCCAGATGCCACAGCACACACTGATCCACAGTTCCTGGCAGCTGGGGTAATATCTTGGAAGGAAAAAGAGTAGAAACATTAGCATTATAAATTTTGAAGTATTACATATACTTCACTTAGTCTGACCTAAAACAAGAGAAATGAAACACCTTATGAATTTCTTTTAGAGCAGGACCCTTTGTAGAACTGAAATTTTGTTTTCGTTATTGTTGTCATTATTTTACTCTGGTTGCAGTCTGGTGAGTGGTGGATAGAGATGACAGAAAGACTAGTGCAAAAGATCTTGTAGAAATGCAGGAAGAAGTGAGGATGGCCAGGACTCAGTAGGAACAGAATGGATGGAAATGAAAGGTCCTCATCCCAAAATATTCAGAATATGGAGTTGGCGTGTGGGTGGAATAAGTGTCATTCCTCATAGCTCTGATTCAGATGATCGGGTAGATACTGAGTCTACTCTCATGAGCCAATGAATGTGGGAAAAGGAGCATTTGTGGGGGTCTAAGAAAATTCTATTTGAGGAACTAATTCTTTTTTTTTTTTTTTTTTCCCCCTTTATTTTATTTTATTTTTTTTAAAGTTGTAGATTTACAATTTTTTGTGCTTTGGTTTCAATTATACAATGATCAGATACCCATCCCTCCACCAGTGCCCATTTTCCACCACCATGGATAATATCCCTCCCACCCCCATCCCCCCATCCCCCCGTCTCTGTGGCAGGGCAATCCCCTGTGTTCTCTCTCTCCTTTTGGGTGTTGTGGTCTGCAAAAGAGGCATTGAGTGGCAAACATGTTCAGTCCATAGTCTACTTTCGACATGCATCTCCCCTCCTGGGAGGATCCTCCAAACATCCTTTATTTGGTGCTCCCTTCTCTATCTGAATAGCCCTTTCCTCTAGGATACCCGGCTGGCCTCTAAGTTATGGAGTAATCCTCCTGGTGCTGATCTCAGCTATTCTTGGGTATTAATCTCATACTTTGTTACTTTATATCCCCCAGATGAATGCAATCTTTCTATGTCTATCCCTCTCTTTCTGACTCATTTCGCTTAGCATGATACTTTCCATATTGTACCACTTGTATGTAAATTTCATGACTTCATCTTTTCTAAGAGCTACATAGTACTCCATTGTGTAGATGTACCAAAGTTTCTTTAACCAGTCATCTGTTCTTGGGCATTCAGGTTTCTTCCAGTTTCTGGCTATTGTAAAGAGGGCTGCAATGAACAAACAAGTGCAGATGTCACTTCGACTATACATTTTTGCCTCTCTGGGATATATTCCCAGGAGTGGTATTGCTGGGTCAAATGGGAGCTCAATTTCTAATTTTTTGAGAATCGTCCATAGTGTTTTCCAGAAGGGCTGAACCAGTCGGCATTCCCACCAACAGTGAAGGAGTGTCCCTTTCTCGCCACAACCACGCCAGCATCGGTTGCTTTTGTTCTTTTGAATGTGGGCCAGTCTCTGAGGTGTGAGATGGTATCTCATTGTGGTTTTGATCTGCATCTCCCTGATGATTAATGATGTAGAGCATTTTCTCATGTGCTTTTTTGCCATTCGGATTTCTTCTTTGAGAAAGTTTCTGTTCATTTCATTGCCCCATTTTTGGATGGGGTTGGATGTTTTCTTCTTGTGGAGTTTAACCAGTATTTTGTATATCCTGGATATCAACCCCTTGTCAGATGTGTATTCGGTGAATATCCTTTCCCATTCTGTAGACTGTCTTTGTATTTTGGTCACTGTTTCTTTGGAGGTGCAGAAGCTTCTTAGTTTAAGATAGTCCCATTTGTCTATCTCTGTTTTCACTTGCTCGGCCAGTGGCGTGGCATCTTTGAAGATACCATTAGCTTCAATGTCATGGAGGGTTTTGCCAACTTTATCTTCAATGTACCTTATGGTTTCTGGTCTGATGTTGAGGTCTTTAATCCATTTTGATCTTACTTTTGTACATGGTGTTAGGCAGAGTTCTGAGCCTATTTTTTTGCATGTAGCCGTCCAGTGATGCCAACACAATTTATTAAAGAGGCTTTCCTTACTCCACTTCACATTACTTGCACCTTTATCAAAGATTAGATGAGCATATGATTGAGGAGAGATGTCAGTGTATTCAACCCTGTTCCATTGGTCTGCAGTTCTGCCTTTGTTCCAGTACCATGCTGTTTTAATTATTACTGCTTTGTAGTACAGTTTGAAGTTCGGGAGGTTGATTCCTCCCATTTTCTTTTTCCCAAGAATTGCTTTAGCTATTCGCGGGGGCTTATTGTTCCATATAAATTTCAAGAGTGTTTGCTCCATTTCTTTGAAGAATGTCATGGGTATCCTTATAGGGATTGCATTGAATTTATACAATGCTTTCGGTAGTATTGCCATTTTGACAATGTTAAGTCTCCCGACCCATGAGCAGGGGATATCTTTCCATTTCCTCATGTCCTCTTTTATTTCCTGAAGTAGCGTTTTGTAGTTTTCTTTGTACAGGTCCTTTACTTCCTTAGTTAAGCTGATTCCTAGGTACTTGATTTTCTGGGGAGGAACTAATTCTTTTGAGGAGCCTGTGCCACCCTGTATGGCCCTTGGTTGCTTGCTGAACTGTGTTGATGATAACACAATTAAACATCACATCCCAGAGCAAAGTGGGAATCAACTGTGATAATCCTGATTTCTGGCTCTCTGCACTCACTGCTAAGACAATTGCTTTCTGTCTTTTCAGCCAGAGATAAATCGGAGCGAGCCTTTGGGGTGGCCTTCGTGAAACTGATGAATCCTGATGGCACCACTCTGCAGGACGGGAGGCATGACCTGGTGGTTTATAAGGTGGTACTAAGGAGCAACATGCAAATAATTGTTTGGGAAGTTTTATTATCTGTGAAATTGGTGATTGAGGCTCCCTTCAATTTTATTTATATAAACATCCTCCTCTCCTCTAGGGCCATATGTGTTTGCCCTTTCAAGTTTAGGACCCAAGGCAGCTATGGTCACACCAATTGTCAGTCTCCCTTACTGTACCAGAAAGCGTGAAACTTAGCTTATTTAGACTTTAGAGTACATCTCTTTCTCTTCTGCAAATGGTTTTCTGTCCAATCAGTACTCAAGGGGCTGCCCTCTTGCCTTTCTCTCTCCTGCATGCTCCGCTGTTTGGTTAGAGTGTGGTATGTGTGGTAGGATGTGGTCTTTATATCACCCTGAGTCAGACATGGCTTCTCAGCTCTGGGGCCTCTTTCTTTCCCTTACACTTTTGTCTTTACTTTTCCCTAGTAAGTGTTCTGGAGCTTTCAGTTTCACAAAGATTTGAGGGTATAAAGTAAATACTGGGAGGTCTTATATTTCTAACTCTATCCAAGGGACTCTTTTGTGTGTATCTGTCTGATACATATTTTTCTTAACTGCTCTGGAGTTTGTAGTTTTGGAAGGTATGCCAACCTGGTTCTTTCTAGAGACTCATTCAACCCAATAACTCAATGAATTGTAATGGTGACCATTGACAGTTTTAAGAGCATGAAATTCTACCTCTTTCCTTTGTTTGCATGTAGGAGATTTTGCCCATCATTCCTGCTTAACATACTTCCTTTTCAGGGTGACAACAAGAAAATGGAAGATGCTAAGTTCTACCTGACCCTTCCTGGGACCAAATTAGAGATGGAAGAAAAAGAGCTTCAAGCATCCAAAACTCTGACCAACTTTACTGCAAGCAAGGAGAGCACAAAAGATAGCTTTCAGATTGCCACCCTCATTTGCTCCACAAAGCTCACACAGAATGGTAAGTACACGTGAGGGCAGTGACAGTAGATTGATTTTTTTCTGCATAGCTTTCTTAGGTTCTTCTGTTTGAATCAGGAGTCTGGATTCTATAGAGCTGGGGCTGCTGAGATGGGATATTGAGATGGGACGTTTCCTTTCAAATGCTGCTTTGGGTGATACTGATCAAATTGGCAGAGCTAATTCTTAGGTTCTGTTGTCTATAATTCAAGTAATACGAAAGTTTTCTGATTTTATAAACACACACACACATATTTATTTGGGGGGGCCATACCCAGTGGTGTTCAGGGATCACTACTGGTGTGACTTGGGGAACCATATGTTGTATAGGGGATCAAACTAGGTCCACTGCATGCAAGGCATGTACCTTAAACTCTATACTTTTTATCAGGTCCCTTTTCCTTTTTTTCTTTTTGGGTCACACCTGGCGATGCACAGGGGTTACTCCTGGCTCTGCACTCAGGAATCACCCCTGGTGGTGCTCAGGGGACCATATGGAATGCTGAGAATCGAACCCAGGTTGGCTGCATGCAAGGCAAATGCCCTACCTGTTGTGCTATTGCTCCAGCCCCCAGATCCCCCCTTTTTTTAAACATCATTAATTTATAAATGTGTTTGTTAACAGACTGTAGAATCCAAAAATTTTTTTTAGACATTTATTTATTTATTTTTCTTTTGGGGTCACACCCAGCGATGATCAGGGGTTGCTTTGCACTCAGTTATTACTCCTGGCAGTGCTTGAGGAACCATATGGGATGCTGGGGACCAAACCTAGGTCAGCTGCTTGCTAGGCAAACGCCCTACCCACTGTACTATTGCTCCAGTCCCCCAAATCCAAAAATCTTATTGTCACTTTCCTTCAAAGAGGCAAAGAACTCTAATAATGTTTCGTATGTGATAGTTTACTATGTGTGTGATGATGGTATATACCTGTAATAATCATGCTTAATACATGTACTTCATGTGTGATAGCTGTTACAAAAGATGTCGGTAATAATGGGGAGGAAACTGGCAAATAAACATTAGTTTTCTGCTCAAGCAGGAATGGTTTCCTGTAGCATTCTGTTTGTTGCGTGTGTAGTCTCCTCTTTCTCAATTTTTTTTTTTGAGCATTGGGAAGTTTTCCATAAAACTAGTTGTTTTGTTTCCCAATATCAGATAATTTTAATTTCCATAATGGAATTTGATATATAAAAAAAAAGAGCCCCTATTTCTTTGAGCATATCATGTCTAAGGAGACATGCTAAGGATTCTGAGTCAAGAACTGGCCTGAGGAATTATCTGTTCCATATTCTACATAACAGATTAGTCCCTTTGGCTGCATAGAAAAATTGGGTGAGGTTTTTATTAGGGGATTCTGCTTAAAGCAGTGCTGAAATTGAGAAACCCACTCAAGGTTCAGATGTGGGTTGATCTTTTGAAGAGTTCAGTTTGTTTTGATAAATCATGGTCAGCTAAGAAAATAAGAATAGGATTTCAGGTTGAACAAATGGCTAAACCTGCTAGTGTGAAGTTCAGAGAGAATTAACATATGTGGGAAGGTAAGGCCATACAGGTAAAAAATGAGCAGGAAAAATGCAAAACTATGGATATCATATCAAAAGATCCATTAAGTCTAAGTACTTGGGAAGAAAAGCAGAGGTGACTAGGCAGACACAGGAACTTTAAGGTAGGGTGCAATTCTGCTATCTGATGCATTCATCAAATCCAACAGAATATACTGCACAGGGTGTGTCCTCAGCACTAGTGCTGATGTAAATTATGGATTTTAGTTAATTAGCAATATTGACTAGTTAATTATAATGTACAATCTTAATGCAAGCTGTCCAATAGGGAGTGGAGATTGGGGAGCAGAGAAGGGGTTTATAAAAAGGCTTTGTACTTTCTGCTGAAGTTTTGTAAATCTATGGTGTTCAAAATATAGAGTATAGTGGCTGGAGCAATAGCACAGCGGGTAGCCGACCCAGGTTCAATTACCAGTATCCCAAATGGTCCTTTGAGTACCACCTGGGGTAATTCCTGAGTGCAGAGCCAGGAGTAATCCCTGTGCATCGCCAGCTGTGACCCCCCCCCCAAAAAAAGCAAAATATAAAGTATATGAATTTTTAAAAATCAAACATTATGCCTGAAATACATTCTGAGTTTCATAAAATACAGAACTGCCTTCATAACAGTACCTGTGTTAGAGAAATTAAATGTTAGACTGATTGATGTGAGATTAAATGGTGGAAGTATTTATTGAAGATGATCTAGAAGGTATATCCAAGATTTTAAATGTATTCAGACCCTTTGGTTCTGTAATTTGGCCCTTAGATTGAACCTATATATGCAATGAGAGATGTGCACAAAGATTTATGAATGGATGTGTTTCCAATTACTCATCAAATAAGTGGGGTCAGTTTAAATTGTATAAGGTACTGATGATATATGCAGTTTCAAAACATATTTCAAAATAAATAATGTGATAATTTTGATATTGTTATAGATAATCCGTTTGTTTAAATATATGAGGACAATTTGGACATTTCTCTGCTTTCTATTCCCAGCTTGGGCATTTCATGTTGGGCAAGTCCTTTTGATCTCTTGTGTTCTGATTTCTTCATCTTTAATGTGAAGAAATATTTATGACATATAAACAAAATATGTTAATATTAATAGGACTTGTACTAGCATATATTTCAAAGAATGAAGTACTTCTAAGTAACAAAGAAAACCCATTCATAGTCCCTTGCGCATATTTTATGAATGTTAGCTGTCATCATTATTCTTAAGGCATGCCAAAAAAGACAAATGAATAATTATAGGATAGATCATTCTTTTATTTGTTTTGTAATTTCCATATAACTCTTATGTGACAACAAGTTATTTTCGAAGATGTAGCAGATAATTTAAAACAACGTACTTGGGGCCAGAGCGATAGTACAGTGGCGACCCAGGTTCGATCCCCGGCATCCTATATGGTCCGCCCTGCACCGTCAGGAATAATTTCTGAGTGCAGAGCCCAAAAAAGCAAAAAACAACAACAACAAAAACAAACAAACAAAAATCATACTGTAAGAGCAATCATAAAAGTGTAGTTATAGATGTAGCATTGATCATGCATGCATTCTGGGGACTGGAGTTCAAAGAAAGCAATTAATAGACATTTATAAAATTACAATGAAAAATGAGAGAAATTTCTGTAGCTGTAAGTCTTGTTATACTGTTTATTTCCCTTCCAGTCAACTTTTTAAAGAAGCTTATTCAGTTAGCAGGAATCAATTCAATCTCCATATGTTGGTATCACATGGTATCTTGTGTTGGTGTCTTCTAAGTGTTGGTATCTTAGATGTCCAAGATGTGTTGGATGCACTTAGATATACAAGATGTGTTGATATCTTCTAAGTGTTCTAAACCTGTGCTGTCCTATCATTGCAGCCTCTGACTACAAAATTGTAAAAATCTGATTCAGGTTATGTGTTTATTGTCTTAATTGAACTAGTATCATCTCAAGTGTACTATAGTTTGGGCTGGAGAGCTAGTAAGTAAGGATGTAAGACTCTTGTGTTGCATACAGTGGACCAGGTTTGATCTCTGGCATTGTGTATGGTCCCCCAAGGACGGCCAGGGGTTAATTTTGAGCACAGAGCCAGGAATGGCCTTCCGCATCACCAGGTATGGCCCACAAACCAAAAACAACAAGAACGACAAAATCAGTTGGTCAGTGGCCTTTGAGGTTCCCTCAGACGGAACACTACCCTTTGCTGCCCTATCCTCCTATTCCTACATTTTACTATCTTAACTCTCATTAGATCTGCAAAAAGTTGAATATCTATCTTATATATGCTTTTCAAAAGTGAATCATACGAAGCAGAAGGAGTGCTCTGTTATCATGGACTGGGGTGGCAGAGGAGGGGGTGGAGGCACAAGGAGGGGGACAGAGGCTTGACAAGGGAAGAGAACACAAAGGCACAGCGAGCATCAGAGAATACTGGGCCTTCCACAGAACAAAAACCAATTGTGCTCTGGCCATGTATTTGCTTTCTTCTAGTTTGATAGAAATTATAAAGACCCACTTTAATTTATTCTGAGAAATGGGAAGCTGAGGAACATTAATAAACCATCAAATGCATGAGGCCATTTACTGATAAAGAGGGTTGCTTTCACATAGCGACCGTGACCAAAGGCATTTCTCCTGAGCCTCAGTACTATTCACACTCAAAAGGTTAAAAGCCACTGGCCTTTGGTACAGACAGTTCTTGTAAACTTGGCTTCCTCATTTTTTTTTTCTAAACTAGAACAGAACAAATTTTCTGAGATCATTTGTTGCTGGGCCATATGGGTGAAAAGAGATTGGTTTCAGCAAAGGAGAAAGGAATTATGTCCTTGCACACATGGAGCCCTCTGCCCAGTGATTCACAGTCAGTATTGCATTTTATTTTCCAACACTCTAGCACAGGAAGATTCCAGTATTTTCAAAATTAGCTTCAGTTTACTGATGAGAAAACTTAATTAAGGTCCTTAGATATTTTCTTTACGCACTTAAGTGGTAAACTTGGGTCCAGAAAAAGACATTAATAACTCTAATGCTTTTTTAAAAAAAATTTTATTGAACTTTTCTTTTTTCTTTATTTTTCCTTTTCTGTTTAAAATGGTATCATCCTTAATCCTTTTCAAAGATAATTAGTACCTAAAATTTAGCAATTTTTGTTTGGAGTCAACAATTTTTATAGTCTTTGTATGGGACTATAAACTAGGATGTCTTGGGTTAACATTTGGATAACATCTAGATAGACCCTTTATCTAGTTTTATATTACAGGAAGATGCCTGGATATCAGAGACATATAAGACTACTTTTAGTAGAATGATTTATGATAGAAGAAAGCTGGAAACCCAAGTGTTTAACAATCAGATATATAAATTAGTTTTATACAACAACCTCTATGATTTCAAAAACACAATAGTCCAGGTCTTTTTCTGGAAGGAGATGCCACCAGTGTTCTAACCCTGGCCTTTCAGCACTTATCCTTGATATATCCCTAATGTATGCTTGGAAACCTCTCTAGGGAGTAATTCTGAGCTGATGAATGGACCCTTCAAAAACACTTAAAGCTCCTCGTGACTCTCCTCCCCGATGAAGTCTTTCAGACATATCCACAGTTATCACTGAGCAGAGTGAAATAAAGAATAGAGTGGCACCACCGACTAGCCTGTGGCAGAAATCAGAGGCAGGAAATGGGAAAGACATTGTGTAATCATGGCTAAGTCTAGCATGGTGCCTATTATTAACTACTTAATGGATGAATGAATTAAAGAATTGTACTGAGGAAAGTATCAGCTTCCCTTCCTTCCTTCCTTCCTTCCTTTCTTTCTTCCTTCCTTCCTTCCTTCCTTCCTTCCTTCCTTCCTTCCTTCCTTCCTTCCTTCCTTCTTTCCTTCCTTGCTTCCTTCCTTCTTTCCTTTCTTCTATATTGAGCACCTACTAGATAACCTAACACTGTGATGGAATATAAAAGTGAATATAGGGACCAGAGAGGTAGTACAGAAGAGAGTGCTTGCCTTGCATGCAACTAACCCAGGTTTGATCCTTGGCACCCTACATAGCCCATCAAAGCCCTTTAGGAGTGATCCCTGACCAAAGAGCCAGGCTTAAGCCCAGAGCACTGCTTTGTGGATTAGAAAGCAAAACCTAAATAATACAGTATAGTTCCACCTTCAAGTCGCTCAAAGCTTCGAGAGCAAAGAGATAGTATATATTTGATTTCTGTGGGAATAAAGTTTGCGATGGACCTTGAAGTATAAGTAGGGATTGAACAAATACATAGTATTTCTGCGTATTTCACACAAAGCAAAGAGTACATGCAAGCAGATCGAGCTATTTCCAAATACTCTGTACTTTGGGAAGTAGCTCACTGAATTGTCTGATAAGGGAAGAACAGAACAATGGTTTGTGGGGCTGTGGGGAGAGCCATAATTAGGGTCTTACTGCTTTCTGTGAGTGATGATAGGTTTTGTTTCTTAGTGGGGAGTCTTTAGGCAGTAGGCTTGGTGAACTTCCCAGGAGTCAAAAACACAAGTAGATAAACATCTTTGAAGCAAATGGGCTATTCTGATGAATAGTATACATTTGAAACTAACTATATACATTTATACAGGTCCATTGATTTAAGAAGTATATATTTAAAGCGGAGCCCAAGAGATAGCACAGCAGGCAGGTAGGGCACTTGCCTGCGTGCAACTAACCCAAGATCAGTCCCTGACACCATGTTCTCTGAGCCTGCCAGGAGTGATCCCTGAGCACAGAGCCAAGAGTAAGCCCCCAAGCACTGGCAATTATACCCACCCCCCACTTAAAAAAAAAGTATGTATTAGAGGACCAGAGAGAGAGAGAGTATAGTTGCAAAGCAGCTTGCCTTGTATGAGCTAGCCAATATTGACTTGATTCCTGCAATCACACATGGTCTGCCACGCACTGTTAGGAATAAGCCGTGACCCTGTCCGTATGGCCAAAACAAACAGAAAGGGAAAAAGGGGGGATAATGTGTGGGGGGGGGGCTTTTTGGGTCACACCTGGCTATGATCAGGGGTTGCTCCTGGCTCTGCACTGAAGAATTACTCATGGTGGCTCTCAGGGGACCATATAGGATGCTGAGGATCTAACCCAAGTCAACCACATGCAAGTAAAATGTTCTACCCACTGTACTATTGCTCTGGCCTAAAAATACACTTTTTCAAAAAGAATGTATTGGGACCAAGAAGATAGCTCCATGGGGCTAAGCACATGTTCTGAGTTTAGTCTGTGGAAGTCAGGGTATAAAGCAATGCAACTATGCTTGATTTTTACAAAATCCAATAAATGTATGAATTATAATTAATCTTTTTAATCCCATTCATTCATAATGTAACCGGGACAAACAACTTAATTGCCTGTAGCCTAAGTTTTATCATCTGAAAGTTGAAAAAGTAGGGACTGGAGAAATAGGAGTAATGGGGCTTCACTTGCACTTAGTAGACTTGGCTTCCATCCTTGGAACAACATACAGGTCTCCAAACAATGTCGGGAGTAAAACTTCATCACTTCTGGGTGTGTCCACACCTAGGAAACAGTGGAAAAATATAATCTGCAGTGATATTCAACACTTGATGAGTTAAATTTACAAGTAGAAGTCCCCTTTCCCTTTGATTCCACTGTGACATACATGATAATAAGAGATAAATTAAGAAGTGTAGCAAATTAAAGGTACAGAAGTTACATCCGTCTTTTATTTATTTATTTTTTTGCTTTGTTTTTTTGGGTCATACCCAGTGATGTTCAGGGGTTACTCTTGACTCTGCACTCAGGAATTACTCCTGGCAGTGTTTCGGGGACCACATGTGATGCCGGGGATTGAACCCGGCAAATGGCCTACTTGCTGTACTATCGCTCCAGCCTGGGTTCAGTCTTTATGGAAGTGACGTCATTATCTGAGGGATATGAGTTCCATTCAGGTGTTGCTTTTATAATTTTTTTAGAACATTAGTAGTCAGGTTTTTTTTTCCTTACATGATAGCGACCACAAGGTTTTCTCTGATTTATATGGAGATATAGCTTCAAAGAATATTTAAGTTTTTAAACACCATTAAGAACAATTTTTCTAGAGAATTCTACAACTGTATTCTGCAACAGTATGGATTGCTTCCTCTAACAAGTGTCTAATGTTTGTGGTTGTTCTTCTAGTTGACCTGTTAGGCTTATTAAATTGGCGTTCAAACTCCCAGAACATTAAACACAACTTAAAGAAGTTAATGGAGGTGGACGGAGGAGAGATTGTTAAGGTATGTTTATATTTTTGTAGTCAGAAATATATTCACTATTTCAATCCTTCCAATTTTATTTTATTTTAAATTTTATTTTATTGTATAAATTATTTTTATACTAACTTATTACATTTAATATTCCAACACCAATCCCACCACATTTTGAATGTTTCTACCCCAACCCTCAAAGCCCACCCCCAAAGCAGTACCTAAGTAATTTATTTTGTGTTGCTTGTTAAGAATAATTCACTAAGAATGATCCAAAAAAATGTTTCTTTAGAGGAAAGTGTGTGTAGATTGTTGTATTAAGCCCTTGTCTTGGTGTAGAATATTACATGTAACATGGCTACGAGTGTAACTGTGTGCTCCAAGAATTCTAAAATTTTAAATGGTAATATAGCTGAGGTTAATAGAATTTTTTAACTAGATGTTGACTTTGGGGTCCAGAGACATCTCTGCAGCATGTTGCTGGTTATCTTCCGAGATTTATTTCTGAGTCTATGGATCATGGCTGTTAATGAGTTTATGTGGTGCCAGAAGCAGTTCCTGGGTGTGACTACCAGGCTACTGGAAGCACAGGAAGATGCGGGGAGGTTGTCCATTCCTGACTCTGCGAGTCTGGAGATTTCAGTCACAAGTCCCATACCTGGGTTTTTCAGCAGTTTCACTCATGGGTGAGACTCATCCGAGCCTGTGAAAGTCCAATTTTAAATTAAACCAGACATTACACATATTGACTTGATCACTTCACTGTGTCTGTTTTTTAAGAAAATGCTGTTTTTAAGTTGTAGAAGCCTAGTTCTGTTATTATTATTATTATAGCCTAATTATTCCTAAATCTGTATACTGAGCTGAATAAAAAATATGTATAAACTTTTTTTTTTACCTTCAGTTTTTGCAAGATACACTAGATGCACTTTTTAACATAATGATGGAGAAATCTGACAATGAAACATACGATTTCCTTGTATTTGATGCACTGGTAAGCAAACTTTAGTGTTTATCCTTACAACTTTATAGTCTTTGTTATTTTACAATTTTCAGTAATTGTGATGAATATCTACCTGCATAAATATTTAAATACATCTCTCTGATCATTTCTAAAATTTATGTTTTAACAAGATATCACAGTTTATTTATTTATTTTAGTGTAGGAGTACTGCTATTTATTCAGCCATTGATCTGATTGAATTGGCCATGAAATGCACATCACTTTTTAAAAAAATTTTTTTTAATGGATATCCATGAGGTAGACCATTACAAAGCTGTTCATAATTGGGTTTCAGTCATACAATGATCCAGCATCCATCCCTCCACCAGTGTACATTTCCTTCCACCAGTGTCCCCCGTGTCCTCACCACCAACCCCCACATTCCCACCCCTACCCCCAGAGTCCCTCTAGGGGAGGCACTCTCCTTTTTCTCTCTCTTCTTTTCCTTTTATGGATTATAGTTTGCAATACAGGTGCTAAGAGGTCATGGTGTTTGTCAGGGCATTTGGTATTTTTATCAGGATGGTAAGGCTGGAATAGATTTTTGATTGGGTGGAAGCTTTGGGGTGTGGATGTGACTGCCGAGGCTCCTGGAAGTAAAGGGAGATGGGGAGAGGTAGCCCATCCCCTCTCCGTGAAAGTCTGGAGATTTCAGTCACAAAACCTGCATACTAGAATTTTCAATAGATTATTTCTTGGTGGGCTGGAGCGATAGCACAGCAGGTAGGGCGTTTGCCTTGCATGCAGCCAACATGGCCAACCCAAGTTCGATTCCTCCGCCCCTCTCGGAGAGCCTGGCAAGCTACCGAGAGTATCTTGCCCGCATGGCAGAGCCTGGCAAGCTACCCCTGACGCACTCAATATGCCAAATACAGTAACAAGTCTCACGATGGAGATGTTACTGGGCCTGCTCGAGCAAATCGATGAATAACGGGAGGACCGTGATATTTCTTGGTGAGGTCTGTCCTGAGAAGGTGGAGTCAGGCCAGGGATATGGCGACGATTTTGGATTGTGAAAGCAAGTGTCTGTTGGGGGCTCTGCTTGTGCGGGCCACCAGGCCAACCTGCACCCACCCCTCCGATTTATCCCAGTCTGTTCAGCCATTCGCAGGACAGAGATTAACTGTGGCTTTTGATCTCTTTCGAGATTTATCTATGGGTCTCTGAAATAAGGTCAATATGTGAGCTTCTGTAGTTGAGGTGGTTTGTGGGAATGGATCTCACATACCTAAATTTTGGCCATTTAATTTCTTGGTAAACTTGGTCCCAAGTTGTAGGGTTCCAGCCAAAGGCACAGAAGCAATTTTGTGGTATGAGGAAGACTGAAAGCACCATCAGACTGCTGATGCACTCGCCCCGCAAGATAAAGTTTGATCTGTTGGCAGCACCATACCCCCGGGTATCATAGTTTACAGTGGTAGTGAAGTCATTTTACGGTTACAGTGCTAGTACACCAATCCTTCTACTTGTATTTCAGTCTCTTGTCCTAAACCCTGCTTAGTCCCCAGTTTCCAATTCTGTTTATCATGTCTCAGAGTTTGTTTGGAAATGGTCTAACCCTTTTCCTTTAATCTATATATACCACATATGAGTAAAAGCTGATCATTTCTCTTTTTTTTTTGAATTTATTTTTTATTAGTGAAACACCATGAGGTACAGTTGTAGATATACAAATTTTTGTGCTTGGATTTCGGTCACACCATGATCAAATACCCATCCCTCCACCAGTGCCCGTTTTCCACCACCATGGATAATATCCCTCCCCTCCCATTCCCCCCACCACCCCCTGCCACTGTGGCAGGGCATTCCCTTTTGTTCTCTCTCTCCTTTTCGGTGTTTTGATCAGCAAAAGAGGCATTGAGTGGCAAACATGTTCAGTCCAGTCTACTTTCAACCAGCATCTCCCCTCCTGGGAGGATCCTCCAAACACCCTCCATTTGGTGCTCCCTTCTCTATCTGAACTCTCCTTTCCCCTAGAATACCCGGCTGGCCTCTAAGCTATGGAGTAATCCTCCTGGTGTTGATATCAGCTATTCTTGGGTATTAATCTCATATTTTGTTATTTTATATCCCCGAGATGAATGCAATCTTTCTATGTCTATCCCTCTCTTTCTGACTCATTTCGCTTAGCATGATACTTTCCATATTGTACCACTTGTATGTAAATTTCATGACTTCATCTTTTCTAAGAGCTACATAGTACTCCATTGTGTAGATGTACCAAAGTTTCTTTAACCAGTCCTCTGTTCTTGGACACTCAGGTTTCTTCCAGTTTCTGGCTACTGTAAAGAGTGCTGCAATGAACAAACAAGTGCAGATGTCACTTCGACTACACATTTTTGCCTCTCTGGGATATATTCCCAGGAGTGGTATCGCTGGGTCAAATGGGAGCTCAATTTCTAATTTTTTGAGGAACGTCCATACTGTTTTCCAAAAGGGCTAAACCAGTCGGCATTCCCACCAACAGTGAAGGAATGTCCCTTTCTCGCCACATCCGCGCCAACAACCGTTGCTTTTGTTCTTTTGAATGTGGGCCAGTCTCTGTGGTGTGAGATGGTATCTCATTGTGGTTTTGATCTGTATCTCCCTGATGATTAATGATGTAGAGCATTTTCTCATGTGCTTTTTTGCCATTCTGATTTCTTCTTTGAGAAAGATTCTGTTCATTTCATTGCCCCATTGTTTGATGGGGTTGGATGTTTTCTTCTTGTGGAGTTCAACCAGTATTTTGTATATCCTTGATATCAACCCTTGTCAGATGTGTATTCGGCGAATATTCTTTCCCATTCTGTAGACTGTCTTTGTATTTTGGTCACTGTTTCTTTGGAGGTGCAGAAGCTTCTTAGTTTAAGATAGTCCCATTTATCTATCTCTGTTTTCACTTGCTCGGCCAGTGGCGTGGCATTTTGAAAATACCATTAGCCTCAGTATCATGGAGGGTTTTGCCAACTTTTTCTTCAATGTACCTTATGGTTTCTGGTCTGATGTTGAGGTCTTTAATCCATTTTGATCTTACCTTTGTACATGGTGTTAGGCAGAGTTCTGAGCCCATTTTTTTGCAAGTAGCCATCCAGTGATGCCAGCATAATTTGTTAAAGAGGCTTTCCTTACTCTACTTCACATTTCTTGCACCTTTGTCAAAGATTAGATGATCATATGATTGAGGGGAGATGTCAGTGTATTCAACTCTGTTCCATTGGTCTACAGTTCTGCCTTTGTTCCAGTACCATGCTGTTTTGATTATTACTGCTTTGTAGTAAAGTTTGAAGTTAGGGAGGTTGATTCCTCCCATTTTCTTTTTCCCAACAATTGCTTTAGCTATTCGTGGGGGCTTATTGTTCCATATAAATTTCAGGAGTGTTTGCTCCATTTCTTTGAAGAATGTCATGGGTATCCTTATAGGGATTGCATTGAATTTATACAATGCTTTTGGTAGTATTGCCATTTTGACAATGTTAAGTCTCCCGACCCATGAGCAGGGGATATCTTTCCATTTCCTCATGTCCTCTTTTATTTCCTGAAGTAGTGTTTTGTAGTTTTCTTTGTACAGGTCTTTTACTTCCTTAGTTAAGCTGATTCCTAGGTACTTGATTTTCTGGGGCACAATTGTGAACGGGATTGATTTTTTCATTTAGCTTTCCTCTCTCTCACTGTTTGCGTATAGGAAAGCCATGGACTTTTGGGTATTGATTTTATAGCCTGCAACTTTACTATACAAGTCTATTGTTTCTAGGAGTTTTTTGGTGGAGGTTATTGGGTTCTCTAAGTATAGTATCATATCATCTGCTAATAGTGAGAGCTTGATTTCTTCCTTTCCTATCTGAATGCCCTTAATATCTTTTTCTTGCCTAATTGCTATTGCAAGTACTTCCAGTACTATATTGAACAGCAGTGGAGAGAGTGGGCATCCTTGTCTTGTCCCTGATCTTAGAGAAGAGCTGATCGTTTCTTAAGACTAAATTCCTATAAGTGAATTTGAAAATAATTGACTATTTTCAAGGCCTGTGTTTGTTTTTTCCTGTTTAATCTTCAATCTTATATACATTCTTAGAAGGGCAAACAAGATGTTTCTTTACATTAGAAATAAGGAGTCCCTTTAACTCTTAGATTTCCTGCTCATAAACTGAGAGGCATCATTAACAAAGAAGATTGTGGTTTGTTGTATTTGTGGGCTTGAGTAGTCATGTAGAAGAGAGAGCTCAGAAGTCAGACATGAATCTTAGTTCCATTATGCACAATAGACAACCTAGCAGACACTTAAGTTGCTACACAATGCACTTTAAAGCACAACTCATTCCAAGAGGTAAAATTCAAATAAAAACAGATGATGTCAGGGCCTGGGAAGGCCAGGAGTGGGAGTGAATTGACACAATCAGACAATGCATTGTTGTTTATAATTGTGTGGAATTTTACCTGAATGCTACAGCCAAGGAAGAAGGTTACTTTGTAAATTTAGATCACTTGGAGAAACTGGCAAATTCAAGAGGTGCTTACTGGACTAAAGAAAAGGATGTGAGGTAGAGAGGCAACGCCCCCATCTGAGACCACACCAGTCCCACTTATGGGAAAAGTTTCTGGGGCATGGTCCGGAGACAGAATCCTGTGGTACAAAGCCATGAGCAGTGGACACATGTGTAATCCCTAAGTCAAGTGCCCTTTCTTTTGTATAGTATCTTGAGTGGGAACAATGTGCTTATTTGTAGAGGGAACCTTCCACCCCCTTTCCACACACACACACACACACACACACACACACACACACACACACACACAGAGTGTTAGGCATTAACATAAGAGGAGGAAATTCAGAAGCAAAAGTCAGGTGATACTCAGTTATTGGGCCTCTCCCACTGTAGGAGAAAGATGGCCTAGGGGCATAACCCTGGCTGCATTCTTGGGGCAGCCTGCATTCCCCAATGTCCTTCCTCCTGTTATCCCCAGTTTCAGTTACCTGGGCACCTATGGCCAGGGCTGCTGCCTTCTGTTGTTTCAGAGCAGTCGGTTGAGTGCCTGACATAGCATTTTCTCTCCTCATGGGAATCCCAAGACTTGACGGTAACTCTGAAATAATAAACTGGAGATTGCTGCTGAAGGAAAAAATGCATCAAGAGTTAAAATCTAGCTTGTTGAGAGAATCTTTGGGAGTTGTTCTTTGAGAATCTATTGAATTTTTTTTCCCCCTTTGGCAGGTTTTTATTATTTCACTAATAGGAGACATCAAGTTTCAGAATTTTAATCCTGTCCTTGAAACCTACATTTACAAGCACTTCAGCGCCACGCTGGCCTATGTGTAAGTAGCATTCCAGGAAACTGCGTGTGGTTGTGAGATCAGTGTTTTACTCCTCGAGTGGGCGTGTTTGGGATGAAGGCAAAGGGACTGAAGGTGCTGATAAACTAAATGTGTTCTAAACTTCTGGGTGAGAATATTAGCCACAAATGGGTTTTCATCATGGGAGAGATGTTGACTTTAGGCTCTGCCTTTTAAAAAGGTATTAAAAGGGTGGGGGGGAGGCTGGAGCAGTAGCGGGTAGGGCGTTTGCCTTGCATGAGCCGACCTGGGTTCGATTCCCAGCATCAGCATCCCATATGGTCCCTTGAGTACCTCGAGAAGTAATTCCTGAGTGCAGAGACAGGAGTATCATACCACTGTGCATCGCTGGGTGTGACACAAACAGCAAAAATAAAAAGACAGAAAAAAGAAAAAGAGAAAGTGATTTTTTTTTAAAGAGTTTAGAGCACCAGGGCCAAAGCAATAATATGTCAAGTAGGATGTTTACTTTGCATGCAGCTGACCTGGATTCCATCCCCAGCCTCCAGTATGCTCCCCTGAACACCACCAGAACTAACTCCTGAGTGCGACCCAGGAGTAACCCCTGAGCATCTCTGTGTGTGGCCCCAAGTCTCACCCTCCCCAAAAAATTCAGAACACCAGAGTGAAGCATTAAGAAAAATTATGAGCGGAATAAAGGATACAGAACCAGCCTCAGGGCTTTGAAAGAGTTGGCTGTTTGTAGGATCAAAATTATAAAAAGAAGTACAAGTTTGTTTAGAATGTGGGTCAGATCCTCAACCCTACACAAATGCTTTGTAGAATGTGTTTCCTTTGTTAAAGCAGAGAAAACACTCCATTCCTATGGAGGAGAATAAAGTTTTCTTCTGCACACAAGCGGTGGTTGCTACCTTTCCATAGGGCAGTCTTCTTTTGCCCCCTATAATCCCCTGGTAGCAAGCTATTCTGTTTACTCTATACTTCCTTTTGGAGTATTTGGCCCAGTGTGGCCTTGTGTTCCATCAAAGGAAAATTGTCACCTCGCCCCTTACGTACCATTTATTTTGCAGAATGACATGGTAAATACTGGCCATAATACAGTTGAAGTGTGAAAAGAGAATTTTGAGTGTGGCTTGCATAGGATCGTCTGATAGCCCTTGACTAATCCATCAGGGTTCCTTGCTGTATCAGGCCATGTATGTCACTGTCTATTGTGTCCTTTACTGAGCCCAATGAGAAAGTTCTCTGCTTTCTTTGTATGAAAGCCCAAAGTTGTACAAAATATTAGAGACATGAAAGAGGTGTCATGGTTGTATAATCTTCAATTGGCACAATGAATACAATGCCCTCTGCACTGGAGAAGAGCAGGTATACCAGTGATGGATCCTTCTCCCCCAGGAAGCCTCATTTTTCAAGCAGGCAGCAGCTTCACTAGAGTAAATAGTAACCTGGACCATCAATCCAGTTGCAGGACTATAAAGGATACTGACATGGGATTGGTCAGTGGAGTTAGACATGCTGTGTTCCAGCACCAATCCCACTACCAGTGTCTTCCTACCAATAGGGTTCCCCCTGGGTCCGTCCCACCTCTTACTACCATTCCCAACCTTTCACCTTGGCAGGCATCTTTGGATGTCTTGTTTTCAGTGTTGTGGACACTATGATTTGGATATTTAGCTGTACCACTCCTATACACCATAAGTATATTCAGATCCCCTTGATCCCTGCTTCCTGCCTGTCTCTTCTTCCCCTTCATTTTTTTTTGACTTTTTGGGTCATACCCAGCAATGCACAGGGGTTACTCCTGGCTTTACACTCAGGAATGACTCCTGTTGGTGCTCAGGGGACCATATGGGATGCTGGGAATCGAACCCAGATCAGCCGCATGCAAGCAAACGCCCTACCCGCTGTACTATTGCTCCAGCCCCAACCCCCCACTTCTATTTCTTTCCTTCACTGTCCTCTTTCCTGCACTCTGGAGTCAAGTGTTATATCATATTAAATGAAGCAAAAGAAAGACAAACTCATGTGGCATATAGAAGAACTGGATGAAGGAAAGCAGTGATTGAAAGGGGGGGATGCCTCGTTTTCTTTCCTCTATAGCCTGACCCCAGACCTGGAGTGCCACTTTCCCCTAATGACATTTTATTCCCCCCTTTCTCGCTCTTTTAAGGAAACTCTCCAAGGTACTGAACTATTATGTGGCTAATGCAGATGACTCCAGCAAGACAGAAATGCTCTTTGCTGCTTTGAAAGCCTTAAAGTACTTGTTTCGATTTATCATCCAATCTCGAGTACTCTACTTGAGGTAATGTTTACTAATAAAATAGCTTTGCTAACTTTCTTTTTTCACAGTTTTTTTCTTAATCATCATGCTGAAATTTAGCTCCGCGAGTAGGTGGGTTTTGTATGGACTTGCCAAATTTCAGAATTTGAGGGCTGAAGGTGGAGGCAGACTATAAAGTCATATATGAAGATCCATATGAGAACCTTTTGGATTAGCAGAATTTTCAGTGACAGCTCTGGGGAGACAAGTTCTTCTGGGAAAGGTTGTATTTAATTTAGCAACTGCTTCTTCCTCATGACATGGAATATGAGCCTCAGATCCCAAGCTGGTAATGGAGGGAGTGCATGTGCATTTTGGGGGGGGGGGGGGGTAAGATTATCCCTGAGATAGATGTTTCATTGCAAATCCCATGCTTAGCTTTTAGGAGAAACTAATAAATAGGAATAAAATGATTCCTAGTTTGCATTCCTGGAAATAGCAACAATCATGATATTACAAAAAGGCAAGTAACTTTTTACCCACATTCCAGCACTTCCCCTGTTCTCCAATAATAATTGAATTTCCATGGAAAGACATTCTCTGTTCATGGATTGAAAGAATCAGCATTGTTGAAGTGATCATCCTATCCAAAGTACTATACAGATTTAATGCAATAACCATTAAAATTCCAATTACTTTATCAAAGACATGGAACAAACCCTATTAAAAATTGTATGGACTCATAAAGCTCCTCAAATAATTAAAACAATCTTAAGGAGAAAAAGAAGATTGGTGACATCATATTTCCCAACTTTGAACTATACTATAAAGCTATAATAATTAAAACTATATGGTACTAAACTAAAGAGAAACCTCCGCACCAATGAAACAGAATTGAGTGTCTTTGTTAAGCTTCCAGAGTTATGGACAGCTAATCTATGACAAAGGAGCTAAATATATGAAGTGGAACACTAAAATAAAATAAAATAAAAACTCAACAAATGGTGCTGGGAAAATTGGAGATTCCCATATAAAAATATGAAATTAGAACCATACCTCACATCGTTCATAAAAGTAAGCTCAAAGTGAATTAAATATCTTGCGATTAGACCATAAAATATATTGAAAAAACCATCAGCAGAATTCTCTTGAAAATTGGGGTCTGAAGTGTTATCACAATGGCTGGAGCTCTTGTGTTGCATGCTGCTAACTCAGAGTCATTCCCTGGCACTGCATATGATCTCCTGAGCTCTGTCAGGTGATCCCTGAGCACAGACCCAGGAATAAATTCTGAGCACCTTTGGGTGTAACCCTAAAACTATCGTTTTTACCTCATTATGGTAGTAAAATTGCTTCTTAGGATTTATGCACTTAAACTGCAATCTGGGACTCTGGTGTTGGTAAGAAATAAGCCAAAGGACTGTCACTGTCACTGTCCTCCCGTTGTTTATCGATTTGCTCAAGCGGGCCCAGTAACCTCTCCATTGTGACACTTGTTACTGTGTTTGGCATATCAAATACGTCATGGGTAGCTTGCCAGGCTTTGCCATGTGGGCAAGATACTCTTGGTAGCTTGCTGGGCTCGCCAAGAGAGGCAGAAGGATTGAACCTGGGTCAGCCAAGTCAGCCGCGTGCAAGGCAAATACCCTACCCTCTGTGCTATCACTCCAGCCAAAGGACTACTGATTTTTATTTATGAGACAGAACCAGAATTTCCATTGGTAGGCAAGTCTTAACAATAATCAGAGTACTGTAATCTCCCTTATCAGTGAAGACTCAGGGTCTGCCCCATGTCCTTCTGTTTCTGGCAACTTGGCAGTCATGCCCACAAGACAACTCTGACTGGTGCCAGATAATATCATCAATGGCCTCAATCTAGAGACTCATTTTTCTTCTCTCAGAAGAGAGTATTAAACAACTCATCATAGCCATGCCGCCAGAGCCTATACCAAGTTGTTTCGTTTGGGGCACCCCAGAGGGGGGCGGGTGAGGCCCAGCCCAACTCTCGGGCCTAACCTTACCCACAAGTACACCTATCCCTGGACCGCAATATCTCTTACCACTCATGTTCCAAGAGTGTGTGTGTGTGTGTGTGTGTGTGTGTGTGTGTGTGTGTGTACACATGGCTTAACCATTAACAGCATATGGATAATCTCTTACAGGAGGGCTTAATGGCCCCTGGGTGAAATACAGCAATATTCACACAGACTTCTCTAAGGAAAGTTTTTTTTTTTTGGAGCATTTTCAGCGGTTTACTCATAACAATACAAAATAAATTATTTCGGCTCTGCTCTGGGGCAGAAGTTGAAGTTAGGGATGGGAACATCCAAAATATGCTGGTGGGAAGGTGTAATGGTGGTAGGATTGGTGTTCAAATATTAAATGTAATCAAACATTGTGAACTACTTTACAAAAATAAAATAAAATAAAATAAAAAGACTCAGGGTCTGTGTCCTGGCATAGTCCTCAGGTTGAGCAGGTCAGCCACAGCAGTGCAATACAGAGGGCAGAATGACAGTCACTGATCTGCAGATTAGATGAGGATCAGAATATTTCTGAGTTGATGCGCTTCTTTATCTATTGTTAGAATCTTCTTCAAAGCTAGTGAGATAGTTCTGCAGGTAAGGTTCTTGCTTTACACACAGCCAACCCTGTTCAATCCCGGCACCCCATTTGGTTTCCCAAACCCCTCCAGGAGTGACCCCTTGAGTATCACCAGTTGTGGCCCCAAAGCAAAGACAAAAAAAGAATCTTTAGGGAGTCATGCAATTTGCTGATCCATGGGTGGATCTGGAGAGTATCATGCTGAGCAAAAGGAATCAGAAGGAGAGGGATAGACACAGAATAATATCACTCATCTGTGGGATATAAAGAAGCATAATAGGGGAATCATTTTTATATGATGGCAGTACAAATGAAGATCCAGAGAACTGGTCCTTAGTAGGACGCTTGCCACTATGGCAGGAAGGGAGGATAGATCAGAGAAAGAACCATTATGACAATGATAGAGGGAAGTGATCCTCTGGACAAGGACTGGGTGCTGAAAGGAGGTAGTGTTTATGATATCCTATCGATTACGTTTTTGTAAACCACCATGCCTAATAAGAAAAAGAGTAAAAAAAAAAGGGGGCCTTCCATAGAGGTAGGCCTAAGGGCATGAGGAAAGTGGGGACACTGGTGTAGGGAAGTGAATGTGGGTGAAGGGATTGGTGCTGGAAACTTGTACACTCAAAACTTAATCATGGATAACTTTATAATTGACGGCGATTCAATAACTTTTTTTTTCAAAAAGGGAATGTTCAGCTAGTTCACCAGGGTTTGATTAGATGAGGTTAACTGATCCGAGTGGCATAAAATGAGGATGACCATGGAGGGTGCTGGAGGTTCAAATGTGGTGATCTGGGGCATCAGGGATGTTGGGGTTGGATGTCCCCTGCATAATTGTTGTTCTACAAGTGAGTACAGGAAGGTTGACAGGTGGGACTCATTTGTGACCTGGAGCTTCCTGCCACCTCCCTTCTGTGCAGAAAGGCCCATCATCGACTTGGGCATGAGGCCTCTGGGAGGTGCTTTCCCCAGGACCAGAACCAGAAAGTTAGGCAGTTTGGGAGAGTCTTTACCTGACCACTGATCTAGTGGATTAAGTGGAAACCAATGGCTCCCCTGCTTTTTGACCTAGTTTTCTCGCTGAAACCATTTAAGATGCCCCCTGACAGCCCTTTTCACAACCAAAGCAGTAACCCGTGAGCTTTGTTCAGGCAGAAAGTCTATTTGGAATTTTCCTTTGATCAATTAGCAACAAACAGCTAAGTAAATCCTCAGACAATGATCCTAATAATACCATTGTGAGATATAGCAGCTTTCTCAAATTTTCTTTTACTGAACTATTTGTTGATAATTCCACTTGCCATTTTGTTGTGATAAGAGATATAAGATAAATTATTTTGTGTCTGCTAAGGGGGCAGATTTGGGGGGAATGAGTGGGAAACTGAGGACATTGGTAGAAGGAAGACCACACTAGTGGTAGGATTACTGTGGGAACATTGAATGCCTGAAACAACTGTATTATGAACAACTTCATAAGCCATAGTGTTTAAATGAAGTTAGGGGGAAAAAAGAAATTTTTCTTCTAATGACAAAAATATCTGACTATGGTTCCTTTCTTCCTTGTCAAGATTTTATGGCCAAAGTGAAGATGGAGATGAATTTAATGATTCAATCCGTCAGTTATTTCTTGCTTTTAATACGCTAATGGACCGACCCCTGGAGGAGGCTGTCAAGATCAAGGTGAGCCTGGCAGGCATCCTTGTGGGTGGCCCTGTGCTGGCACCACACGCAACTGGCTGTGATCTGAGAGCAGTCAAGAGAATTCCTGGGAAGCTTGTAAATTTTAGGATGATTCCTAGAAGACAGAGGGAAATATTGATTGTACATTTATGCTTTTGTATTATACGTTGCTTTACTTATTATGAATTGTTTATGATGTTTGTTACATATTGTTTATGATGTTTATTATATACTATCAATTATGCTTATGTCTTTTCAAATGTCACTTTGCCAGAGATAAGCTTATCCATATACTTGAATGACTTTTTGTGGTCCCTGTGAATTCAATCAATAAGGCCTAGGGATGTTGCAGTTAGGAGGCTTTTATTCTTAGTTCTTCAATTCTTTCTGGACATCCAATGTCCCTATCATATTCACCATTCTCAGTGTTTCGTGATTTTGGTGGTGGCTGTTCTTAGTTTGCTTTATTTATAATGTGGAGGCTCACATCCAGGGCTTCTGTCCTGCACCCCAAGCTCCATCATTACTCATTTTTCACATGTAAGGTGTACAATTTCTGAAAACACAAAATTTGAGCATTACTGTCCTTTTCTCTTTTATAAGACCATTGTGAGGAAGGTATCAAGATTTTAGCCTCCTTAGAAAAAAAAACATTTTAAGTTGACAAGTATGCCTATTGGTAGTGAAGACAAAAATTCTATCTTCCAACTGTAACTATAGGGAAGAAAAGATTATAAAAGCTTCCTCAAGCAACATCAGCTTCCTCTGGTCCGCGAGAGCCTCTGTGTTGAAGACCCAAGCACAGTCCTTCCGGGCATCACGCACCAAATTCTGTGTTCATTCCTTCTTGGCAACTGAATTGAGCTTCAGTGTCTTTCTTATAGGGGGCAGCTTTGAAGTACCTTCCAAGCATAATTAATGATGTCAGACTTGTGTTTGATCCCGTGGAGCTCAGGTAAGTAGCAAAAGCATTTGGGTTTGACTTTAACAGTGAAGCACATTTGCCGTTATTCTCATACATGTAGGAACTGAACATACCCATTGATGTTGCTTCTGTGGAAGCTATTTAAGGAGACCCAATTCCAACCAGTCCACCCCTCCTCTCAGAGTTTTGCTCTTTTCTTCAGGGAAATAAGACACACAGACATGAAATTAACTGCATAGCAAAGAACATAATGATATGCTTCCAACTTAAGATCCTCAGGATGCTAAATCAGGGTGGAGGGGAAGGAAGGGGGCTAGCCAGATAAAGAGTTTTGCAAAAACTTAGTGTTCAGGCTGGTGTGCAAATATTGATGACTTAGATGTACTTTGACAGCTGGAACAGAGCCCGCCATATGAAGTATACTGAACTTGGAATACAGGCACTTCATAGAGACAGATCTGGGATCTTCGGGAAGAGCGTCCCAGACTCGTTGCTCTGTAGCCTGGTCTCACAGTCGTGGAGAGTGGTGTCGTCCTAACTTCCACGCAGCAGAAGGAAAATGCTAACCATAGGACTTTCTCTTCCAGTTTGCTCTTCTGCAAGTTCATCCAAAGCATTCCTGACAACCAGTTGGTGCGCCAGAAACTCAACTGCATGACCAAGATAGTAGAGAGCAGTCTTTTTCGACAGTCAGGTAACCCGGCCAAGGCAGCTGAGGCAGAGCTTCTAGTTGTGCTGCTTCTTTCATCAGCAGTTGGCTTTCACAGGAAAATCTCCATAGCGCCCTTGTTAATTGTTTGTTGTTGTTTCTGCATCATGGAAGAAACTGGTTTTACATAGCACTGAAATCACTTTGGGTCTTTTCCAGCAGTAAGCAAAGTCAAGTGTGCTTTTATCTTTAGAACCATTAGTAGGTGTTTGTTAATTAGAGAGCTTTTTCCTCAAAATAGAAACCTTTTAGAGAAATTATCCAACCTATACTGAGAGTACGACCTGTGAGTCCAGGGGCGGAGAGGGGCAGGAACTGGGTCAGGAGCAGAGGGACGGGGATATAACATGACCCCTGCACTTGTACTGACCCAGACTGCTAATTATACGTCTCTCCACCCCGGACTCCCCCATGCTTAGTCGTATCAGTAGTTGAAAACTGATCACAGAGCAAGTATTTACAGAGAATTTGGCAAGCTTTATAGATCAAAGGAGTTTGAAGAGTGAACCACAACCAACATACTGGTTTTTTTTTGGGGGGGGGGCTATGGATGGAAGAAATCTCTTAACACTCATAAACATGTTTCATTTAGTAATCAGAGTCAAGCACGTAGCCACTACATCTTAGTAACTATGCTCTTGTCCCAGAGTTGTTGTGGGACATTTCCCAGTAAGTCTTAAAACTTGTTTGGGTGGCAACTGGGGGAACCTTTTCCAAGACACCAGCAGTAGGGCGGGGGGGATGAGCACCTGTCTCTGTTGCTAGAATGGGCTGAGGACCAGCAGGACTTCTCAGTGCTCGAGAAGCTCAGTGGGGTATTCATGGGAGACCCCTCCTGGCCTTTCACCTGGCCAGTAGGACTAATGAGTGACCTTCCCTAAGAGTCAGCTTCTAATGCAGTGGGAGAAGGCCTTAAGTAGGTTAAATCATCAGCAGCCTCTTCTGGCTCTGATTTTCCTGGCCTTATAAATCTTAGAAGTAGTTATTAGAGGGATATAGATGGAGGTAGTGCAAAAAAATAAATCCTTGTGAATGTTCTTTTTTTTCTTTTGGTGGGGGAGGGAATGTTAAGGGGCCACATCTGGCCGTGTCCACAGCTTACTTGGACATAGGGGACCACATGAGATAGTGGGGATTGAACCTTTGTCAACCGCATGCAAGGCACAAGCCCGACCCTCTCCAGCTTCCAAAACTGGTGAATGTTTTTCAGTATAAGACACAATAATACTATGCACCTTAATACACTGTGAAAATCTCTGGAAAGCTGAAGGGATAAATGAGATCACAGAGTAAAGTGTTTGAGCCCGGGAACAAACAGTCCAGGATGGTTCTCATTAGAGGCACAGTTAGCATAGCTGGTAGTCATTTTCATTAGTGTCGGACTAGCTGGATTCATAATGTTTCTTAATCATGATGATCTCAGAAGGAAGTAGTAAAAAGGTAAACTTTCTTTTATAAACTCCATTGGCCTGCAGAAGTAAACAGAATATCTGTGAAAAAGAGAAGTAGTAAAATTCAGCATTTTTAGGAATCGTATGCTAAATGCTCTCTCTTAAACATTAACTTGTTTAATTTTGAAACTGATATCACTTGTGTGCTTGATTAGTTTCATAGGACTTAGCTTTCAATTATAAACTTGACTTTTTTTTTTTTTTTAAATAAAGGGCCAGGGCCTTAGTGATAGTACAGCTGGTAGAATGCTTGCCTTGTGGCTGAACCAGGTTTGATCCTTGGCACCCCATGTGGTGCCCTGAGCACTGCTAGGAGTGATTTCTGAGTACAGAGCCAGGAGTAACCATTGAGTATCACTGGGTGTGGTCCCATCCCCAAAAATGAAGAACTGAGAGATAAGAGTACAGTGGTTAGGGTGCATACTAGATGCAGTTTTCTGGAGGACCCAGCAACCTCAGTCGGCCCAGGTATCCCCAGCACTGCTTGGGCTGAGCATCACTGCATCTTTGGGCCCTTGCACTGAGTCACTGGTCTAGTTGGCCAAGAATCACTAATTTGGCCACCGAACCGCCTGAGCACTGCTTAGATCCCAGGCCCCAAATAAAACACATTTTAAAAAATTAAAAATACAGCATTACTTAAATTCGTTCAGTATTGTGTGTGAAATAATTTGTGCATGCACCTATGATACAGATCACCTTTTTTTGTTTGCTTGTTTGGGCTTTTTTGCTTTTTGTATCACACCCATCGATGCTCAGGGGTTACTCCTGGCTCTGCACTCAGGAGTTACTCCTGGCAGTGCTCGGGGGACCATATGGGATGCTGGGAATTGAACTTGGGTTGGCCACGTGCAAAGCAAATGCCCTACCCACTATACTATTGCTCCAGCCTGATACAGATCACTTTTAGAGTTAAAATCAAGTGACAGGACTCTGAAGTTCAGGTCCCCAGCCTGAAGCTTCCCAAGCCCTACAAGGTCAGTTCAGAGTGAGGAGCAGTGGGGACAGGAAGAGGGAGCATGGGGTGGGGGAGGGAGCGGGGCGTGCGGGCCATGCTCTCCCTGCTCCTGGTGAGCACTCTGTGTGTTCTTCCTCAGAGTCCAGAGAGATGCTGCTGCCTCTGCTCATAGACCAGCTCAGCGGCCAGCTGGATGACCACTCCAGCAAGCCCGACCATGAGGCCAGCTCGCAGCTCCTGAGCAACATCCTGGAAGTGCTGGACCGGAAGGATGTGGTGAGTGGCATCATGGACACAGCCCCACCCAGCACTCACTCAGGCCTTGGGACTAGACCGGCCCAGGGGTGGGACATGCTGGGCCCCATGGGAGGAGACTAAAGAGGCTTCCCTGGTTCAGCTCATCAGGTCTCACTCTCACTGTCACTGTCACTGTCCTCCCATTGTTCATCGATTTGCTCGAGCGGGCCCAATAATGTCTCCATTGTGACACTTGTTACTGTGTTTGGCATGTCGAATACATCATGGGTAACAAGCCAGGCTTTGCCGTGTGAGCGAGATACTCTCGGTAGCTTGCCGGGCTCTCCGAGAAGGGCGGAGGAATCGTCGGGTCTCAGTCCAGGAAAATCAGTCTGCTCACTACTACTGGCCAACCTTCCCAGCCTACCGGTCACTGAGATCCCTGTGAGGGCTGGAAACTGCAGTCTATTGAGATACTGTCTGTGCTGATGCTGAAACCTCTGTTCCCCTATACATTGGCACCTAGCCACTTTCTTAGAGATAGGCCTGAGCTTCTGAGAAGTTCTCATTTTGTCATTCTCCCTGAATCTGATTCTTCTGGAACTCAAAAGAAATGACATATTTCTGTCCCCTCTCTAGTACTTTGGCACTACCCCCTTGGCCCCCAACACCACTACACATACCACTGGCTGAGCCATCTTGGATTTACCATATGTTTTTAATAGCTCAGGATTCCTTCCTCTTTTCTAACGCTTTATCTCCACATTGTCCTCATTCTTTAAAGTTCAGCTACAATAAGTTCCTCCATGAAGTTCCTTCCGGTACATTCCTGCTCATTCCAAGACTTTGCTGTTCTCTTTACTCTTCTTATGTCTTTATTTTTAAAATGCTTATTCTTTTTTCCCTTTGCTTATGAGTTCTTTCCCTTTTGAGTCCAGTTGACAAATGTTTCATTAGAAGCTCCCCTGCTAGGGTACCGGGATAGGTCCAAGACTGGGCAGTGAGTATTCTACCCTCAAGAGATGACCTTCCTGGGCCATCCCTGTATCGTGCTTAATTGATTTATTTTCATGCCCCACTCTTCTACTGGAGTGGAATATAAAGTTTTGTATTGCTCAGATGGGGTCTTGATTGTATACAAAACCCATCCAAACCCACACCCTTTCCCCGGACCCCAGCATAACTTGTGATTCTGGTAGGGAGTAGAGTGCAGATTGATTACCTATGTGGAGGCAAATCAACATCTTGTGAGAGGTTGGATGAATCACTTTCATGCTAAGAAATGGGAAAAATCTGAGTCAAGGTAGCTTAACTGGCTGAGCTCATGATTAGCCGGCAGGCATCCCAGCACCTGTCCCTGGAACTGCATGGTCCCCCAAGCTCCACTAGGAGTGATTCCAAAGTAATGTGCAGGGAATAGTTCCCGAGCACAGCCAGATGTGGCTTCCAAACTGAAAAAGACCAAAAAAAGCAGAAAGGAAAGAAGATAGAGAGGGGATAATAATGCTACTTGATATTTTAACTTCTGTTGGGGGCTGAAGAGGGGGGAGTAGGGGAGTGTGTGGGTGTGTGGGTGTGTGTGAGCACATGCGTGCATACATAGAAGTGGAAATCAGTGCTCAGGGGGACCATGTGCTACCACGAATGGAACTGGGGTTGGCCATGTTCAAGGAGAGGGCCTGTGTGATCTCTGTAATCTCTCTGTTCCGTGCTTGTCCTTTGGGACAAGACTGTACTTCGTAGGGAAAACCCTGAATGAAATTTAAAAAAAAAAAAAAAAAACCTCACTGTGGCAGGTTTGGTTAAGGAGAGTGAGGCTGAGTCTGGGGGTGGTGACAGCACTTATGTGTCCTCCTCAGGGCCCCACAGCACCAAATATAAAGAATATCATGGAGCGGCTCCTGAGACGAATCAACCGGACTGTGATTGGGATGAACCGACAGTCTCCCCATATTGTGAGTATCGTCCTCTGGGGCTGGTGCTGCGCTGCTGCTCTCGACATTCTGCTGGCTTGGTGGGAGACTCAGAGGATCAGAAACCCAATTCCCAGAGGCGCCTGCAGCTCTCGGGACGTGAATGTGGACAAGAGCTTCATAGCCCTCCATAAGCCTCGGTCCTTCGTTCAGACCTTAAGTTGATCTTGTTCTCGATGTTTGGGCGGGGCGGGAATGGCACAACGCAGTAGTCAGGACAGCTAAGGAGGAGAGTTATTAAGGCTGTGGTAAGTACGAACCCTGCTGAGCCGTCCATAAGAGGCACCGAACGATAAATAAAAGCCTATTTTAGTGCTTTAGAGCCAGAGACCTGCTGAGACACGGCACACTAAGAAAGCTGATGCTCAGGACTCACTTGCCAAATACTCTGAACATTTATGTAGTATTTGATTTAAGGAAATTATGAGTCTTTGTGAGCAGAAAATGAGGGCTTTGGTGGTCCATACCCAGCATTTCCTCTTATTTCAAGTGATCTGATTCTCAGTAGACTGCTCTGTCTGGATCTGCCCTCCTTTGAATGCTAATAAGAGGGGTAACAGCAGCAGCACTAACGGTAGGAGTTATCCACTCAGTGGTAGGAAGAATAGTACTTCCAGTAATAATGATAGTAGTAGTAATTAGTAATTACTACTATAGTAGTAATAATTAGCTGATTGTGTGTGTGTGTGTGTGTGCGCGTGCTTGTGTGCGTGCCAGAAACTATTTTAAGCATTTTGCATCTCATTGAAACCTTTTACCAGTCCTATGAGATGGTTTCACTGGTTACCTTCCCAAATGGGAAATATGCACAGAGTGTTCAAGCACCTACTAAGCTGTCAGAACTTCCAGGTGGTAAAATTGATGCTTGGCCCTGGGCTACCAGGTGCTGAGCAGCATATGTGTGTATGTCACCCATATTGAACCCCAAGCTGCTTACAAAGCATTTCCAACCAGATACTGTGTCAATGTGGAGGGAGTGTGTTCAGTTTACTTTCATCCCTCATATTTCTGTTGATGTTAAGTCTTCATGTAGATTGTAACACATGGCACCATCCACTCCCTTTGGTTAAGCAAAAAGCAAGCACTCCTAAAAACTTGTGATTAGTATGTTATAAAATCATCTGGTCTTTCCATTCACTCGGCTAGCGTTAGCTCAATTCCTTGACCTACCGATTTCCTCCAACTATAGCTGTGAATGGATGAGCGAACTCTCCACTGACTATGTTCCTTAACCCAAACCTGCAAAGAGACTACTTCACACAGAAATGGTGAGGGCCAGAGAGATAGCACAATGGGCTGGAGCACATACTTTCCATGCAATAAGTTTGGATGCCATCCCGGCACTTCCCCTAAACCCTTCCAGGAGGAACCCTAAACTCCTACCCCTGAACACAGAGCTGGGAGTAGCACCAAACCAGTGCCTGGTGTGGCTCCAAGCAACCCCCCCTCCCCAATATATAGAAATAGCAAAGTAAATGCTCTTTGAACTGTTTTTCAAATGATCAGTGGGGGCCTTGCTAAGGTAACTCGCTAGAGAAAAGCAAATGTTCTCAAATCTTGTTTTTGTTGGTCACATAAGAAATCTCAAGTGTGTGATTCTACTTTTTCCCCCTCCTTCTAGGGAAGTTTTGTTGCTTGTATGATTGCCATCCTGCGGCAAATGGAAGACTGTCACTACAGCGAGTACATTAGTACTTTCAAAACCGTCCAGGACATAACTGTAAGCCATCTCTGTGGGTGCCTGGTAACTTCTGTTTTATGTATTAAGAAGTGCTTAAAAACATGAACGAAACTGGGACCAGAAGGATAGTTCAGTGAGTAGGGCGTTTGCCTTGCATGCGGCCGACCTGGGTTCAATCTCTGGCATCCCATATGGCCCCCCAAACACCACCAGGAGTAATTCCTGAGTACAGAGCCAGGAGTAACCCCTGTGCATCGCTGGGTGTGACCCCCCCCCAAAAAAAGAAAAATAAAAAAAAACCATTATCTTGATTAAAAAGAAAAAAGTTGAAGGTGAACACACAAATTATATTTAGAAAAGACTCACTAGCAATGTCTGAGCTTTCAGACTTGATGGTAGACAGGTGTGGTATCCATTGAACTGCAAGGCAGACTCAGGAGCTGCACAGCCTGCAGGACCTGAGTGATTCTTCCGGGGCTGTGGAGCATCCCAGGTGCAGTTTAACCCCAAGTCTCCTGCTTCCCACTTACCAATACTCTTGCTGCATGATGTAATCCACAAGATAGGAATAATAATAATAATAATAAAATTAAAAAATCATTAATAGGGGCTGGAGCGATAGGACAGCGGGTAGGGCATTTGCCTTGCACGTAGCTGACCCGGGTTCAATTCCCAGCATCCCATATCGTCCCCTAAGCTACTGCCAGGCATAATTGCTGAGTGCATAGCCAGGAGTAACCCCTGTGCATCACCGGGTGTGACCCAAAAAGCCAGAAATAATATATATTAATTAATATAATTATAATACAATCATAATAATTCACATGGTTTAGGCCAGAGAAATTAGCCTGGGTTTTTATTTCAGGAATCCCACTGAAAAATGTCAGATTTAGCTAACTAGTAAATAAAAAAACTTCCAAAACACTGCTTTTTGATATTTTGGTCTGTTCTATTTCTGAACACTCTCTGCTCATAGCCTCCTTTTAAGAATAATTTTTTTCCAGTGCTGTGTGGTCTGTGCGGATGTTATTGGTTTACTGCCAGCATCACAGTCTGCTTCTGTAGTTTCTGTTTGGGGATCACTCAGGACCCTCTTCCAGACTGCATCTGGTAATGTTCCGGGAATAGGAAGACTCATGATTTGGCTTCTTGCTTACCATGCTTTTCTTCTCTTTTATTACTTTTAAAAAGGAACTGACTCAGAGTTATTAAGAGTATCAGCTTAATTACAGTTTTTGCTGGATTTTTTTAGGAGATCTTATTTGAAAACAAAACAAAACAAAAACCAAAAGCATTGGGTAGCAATAAACCAAAGATCTGGTTCTCTAAAAGTCCTTTGCTCAGTTCTCCTTCCTGCTGTCCATGACCTTAAGTGAATCAATTACTTTGTTGCAGCCTCAGTTTTATCATTTATAAGATATGGATTTTTTTTTGTCTTTTTGGGTCTAACTCAGCAATATTCAGGTTATTCCTGGCTCTGCACTCTGGTGGTGTTTGAGGGACCATATGGGATGCTGGGGATTGAACTTGGATTGGCCATGTGCAAGGCAAATGCCCTCCTGCTGGACTATCCTTGTGGCCCCCAAAATGTGGATTTTAACAAAAACAGCAGATGATTATTAACTCCTTCCTTCCTTTTTCCCCCCTTTGCTCGTCTTACTAGCTTCTGTGATAAATTAAAAATAAAAATTGTCTGATAGTGCTAAGTGTACTTTGTAATTCCTGAAAATCATATTGAGAGGATGGCTGTCATGGCACGGGTATTTCTTGATCATGAGAAGCCCCCTTGTCCATGGGCCGGGGGCAGTTTTCCTCCCAATAACTCCTTTGTTCTCTGCAGGACTTCCTCATGGAAACTTTCATCATGTTTAAGGATCTGATTGGAAAGAATGTCTATGCCAAAGACTGGATGGTGATGAATATGACACAGAGCAGGTGAGGCTGCTGAGAGCAGGGCCTGTGATACCCAGCCCTAAATACCTGCCGAGTCTGCCGAGTAGCTAGTCTGATTTAGTGCAGTGTTATAGGTCCTCTTTTTCCTCATATCCACCACCTGTAAAGTCTGGAGTCTTTCCATTGCTCATAGTCTTAGAAGCACCTGGTCCACCAGTGGCTACTCCTTTCCATTCCGATCTCCTTGTCTTTCTCACATTCAGCATCAGTCCTACCTCATCATCTTTCAGTTACTTGTCTTGGTCTCCTTCACACTGACTTCGAAGACTCTGCAGCGTGGTCTACCTTGTTTCTCTGCATTTCTCTCCCAATATCTCCCTTTGGAGAAAAATCGTTGCCCAGACCCAGCTTGCCTCTTCCTCAGGCCCTGAGCTGTTCTGTGCTTTTCCTTCCAGCTCCTGCTTCTCCATGCAGTGTCTTCCCCGTATTCTCTATCAGCATGCCGCTTACCCGATTCTTTCCATTGCCTCTCACATGCTGTCTCCTAAGGAAACCTTTTTGACCTGAATAGCATCTTCCCTTCCTTTGATGCCCACTCTTTTCTGAAGCCTCCCCCGGAATTTTCCATGGTCTGTATTGGGTCTTGGTGTACCGATTGCAAATGAGCCTTTCTTTCAAGACAATCTAATCCACTGCTCTAATCCCATGACAAAGACTTTGGAATGGAAGTGAAAATAAATAAAAATACATATTTTGCTAAAAAAAGCTTGATAAATTTTTTTAAAAGCTATGATATAAATCTTGTAAGAATTACTGTTAATGGTTCTGATACCTGATTCGAAAAACTCTCCCCAACTGTGTACAGGTGAAGAGTGAAAATCGCATAAAAAATGTTAAGATTTTACCACCACTCCAAAGTCTTAGGGAAGTATAGAGGGTTTTGTTTTTGTTTTTTTTTTTTATGATTAAAAAACCAAAACATAAGAGCAGTGTCGAGATAGAGTTTAACACAATAGACTGGAGCATGAGTCTTGGATCAGGCTTGTCATTTTTGCGTTGCCTCTGCCTAAATGTCGATGCAGTCTTGAGCAAACTCACAGTCCTTTCTAGAAACTGGCCTTCGGTGCTTTTCTCTGCAGACTATGGAGATCTGAGAGAGAAGTAGAGCTTGGGTTGATAAGTTTAGTTTTGGTTCGGTTGCTTTCTTTTGTTTTTAAGAAAATAGTTTTATTTCAGAGATATTGGAGGGAAGAGAGTCAGTTCCCTGCAGGGAACGGACACCCAGGCAGGATGGGAGTGAGTCCAGAATTAAGGGTGGCTGGTTTTGACACATAGATGGACCCTGTCCCAGGAGCATTCTTAGCTGCCTCCTTAACCTTTGTCTCCTTCCTCCAGGGTTTTTCTCCGTGCTATAAACCAATTTTCTGATGTTCTCACACGAGTCTTCATGGAACAGACGAACTTTGAACTTCAGGTACGCTTCAGATGATTCCCTCAACGGTTCGTGGATTCTCATGCAAGGCGAGAGTACTGTTTCTTTCAGTTTAGAAAACATCACAGTCAGGGGCAGAGGAATGAGTTCCAAGGGCTGCAGTGCATACTGTGCTTGCAGGATCCCAGGTTTGATCCTGGGCAGCACAGGGTCTCCAGTGCCACCAGGACAATTCCTGAGTATCACTTGGTGTGACACAGAAACAAAACAAAACAAAATGTCACTTTCAAGATTTCATCGTTTTCAAATGGGAACTTGTATTTATCTTTCTCCTTTCCTAATGCTCACTTCCTAGAACTATGTCTTTTAAATACTCTAGGTTTTTAATTTTTTTTTCTATAAAGGAAATAAATGTTTTTTTTTAATGTGAAAATAGTAATAGTTGGAAATATATTAAGCAAGAAGGTAATTACAGAAACTGGAGAGTTAGTACAGGAGTTAAGTCACCTTGTGTCTTATCCAGATTGGAGCCCCAGTAACTCAATGGTTTTTTGAGCTCATCCAGGTCATCCCGATATCAGAGGGTCCAAACAGCACCACATCTCTGGGCCCCTGTTTGGATTTAATTCCCAACAAGTGACTTTCTACCATGTGGCTCAGCTCTGCTTTATTCTAACACTTATTGATGGCATTTTTCATTTTCACCCACATAATTCCTTTTGAACAGCTCTGGAACAATTACTTCCACTTGGCGGTAGCATTTCTCACCCATGAGTCTCTTCAGCTCGAAACCTTCTCACAAGCTAAGCGCAACAAAATTTTGAAAAAGTAAGTGTCCTGTTCAATTTGTTTAAGCTTAGGAATGGGAGTCTTTTCTTTCTCTTCAGAGCAGGCCCTTTGGTATCACAGAAATAACTTTTCCTCGGGAACTCCCATTATTAGGTAGATCCCCAAGTAATCCTTATGAATCTCCTGTTTCCCATTCCCCATCTCTTTTCTCAAGTTCCCAGCCATTTTCTCATCAATCATCATATTCTTTTTTTTTTTTTATTGTGTTGTTGTTTTGTTTTTTGGGCTGTGTTCAGGGCTTACTCCTGACTCTGTGCTCAGGGATCACTCCTGGCGGTGATCGGGGGACCACATGGGATACTTGGGATCAAACGTGGGTCAGCCATATGCAAGGCAAATGCCCTATCCAGTGTACTGTCTCTCCAGTCCCCATGGCCTTCTTTTTATAGATTTGACCTGGAGAGAGGCCTGAGAGCTAAACAAATGCTTCTGTTTCAGCATGTCTGCCCATCTGCTGGCAGCTTTTCTGAATCGCAGACTTGGCGCCTATCTTACTTACCCCTTCCCAGAGTGCCTGCTTTGGCACTGAGGTTCCACCTCTCACTCAATTCTGTAGACAAACCGACACTTAACACATCACGTAACAGTTCCACCTCTCACTCAATTCTGTAGACAAACTGACACTTAACACATCACCTAACAACACCTTTCCAGGTTCTGGGCTTGGAATTCACAATGGCTTTCTGTGCAGAAGTTTGGTTTAGGAGAGCTTGTCATTGCTTTCATCACAGGTCTGTTGCAGAGTTCATGGAAACTCAATGTTTGCCTAGTTAAAAGGATTGATTTATCATGAAGGACTGTGAAGTCCTTCATGGGATATAAAAATGTAAATATAAAAAGTTTTTTCTATTTTTAGCAGAAATAGTTGTATCATAAAAGTAGGAAGCATTATCATGTATTATCATGCACATGTGAGACATTGATCAGATAAACTCATCTAGAAATATTAAAATTAGTTCGGGTATTTTTTGTTAAATTAAAAGAGTAAGAGAAATTTTAAAATGCCAGTTTTGACACTAGAGTAACTTGAGTAGGAAATGTATTCCCCTGGGTAAAAGGGTAGATTATAGTGATTAGAGTTCCCTGAAAAACTACTTTCAACATGACCCTTTTCTATTTTTTTCCACCGTCCCCGCCCCCCTCCAGCTCTGACATATGGTATGTGGTATGAGACAGACACAGGTGTATGATTTCTTAAAGAGATTTCCAGGTGATGCTGATGCACCTGGAACCAAAGAAACTCTGTAGATCCCTGTGCCCCTTTTTTTGGGTGTGTGTTACAACTAGTGGTTATCAAAAGAAGCCTTTTAGAAATTGTATGCAAATCACACCCTGGCATGAAAATCAATAGCACATATTTTCTTTTTTGTCTATATTTATAGGTGTGCCTTATACAGTAGCACTGTAGCACTATCCTCCCATTGTTCATTGATTTGCCCGAGCGGGCACCAGTAATGTCTCCATTGTGAGACTTGTTGTTACTGTTTTTTTTGGTATATTAAATATGTCATGGGGAGCTTTCCAGGCTCTGCAGTGCAGGCTGGATACTCTTGGTAGCTTGCCAGGCTCTCCGAGAGGGTTGGAGGAATTGAACCTGGGTCGGCCACGTGCAAGGCAAATGCCCTACCCGCTGTGCTATCACTCCAGCCCGCCTTATACAATACGATCAGTAAACTTGGGGGGCTGGAGAGATAGTATCATGGGCAAGGCTCTTGTGTGGCGCACAGCTGATCCACGGTTCATTCCCAGCACCACAGAGCTCTGCAGGGCATGATCCTTGAGCACAGAGTCAGGAAGTAAAACCTGAGCATAGCTGGGTATGGCCTGACAACGAACCTGAAAAAATAAATAAATAAATAGAACCCCAAGGACGAGTTCTCCACCTTTGGCCACATATGTTATTTGTCTTCCTTTTCATTACTGTTATATTTTGTTTTATTTATTTGCTTCACAGCAATCAGTATTTTTCTTTTCTCCTTTGAGGACATTTGTCCATGTCATCTTCTAGGTCATTTTTTCAGTGTGGCATTTGGCCTCCTCCTGCTGTCTAGAGTCCTTTCCTCTTGAGTACAGGGTTCTCCTGGGGTGGGGGGGGGTGTTACTTGGGGGTCTTTGTGTATTTATTTAGCTACTGACATCAGTTCTAAAAGTGTCCTAGCCTTAAATGTGACCTAGAGGTTTGCTCTAGAACTTGCATCTCACTTGCTTGTCTCTGTTATCTTTGATGGCTTTTTCACCCTGGAGACTCCTGTGTTCTTCTTGAACATGTATTTCTTTTTTCTTTATTAATTTTTTAAATGAATCACTGTGAGATACACAGTTTCAAAGTTGTTTCTGATTGGGTTTCAGTCATACAGTGTTCCAGCACCCAACCCTTCACCAGTGTACATTACCCACCAAAATTGTCCGCTTTTCCCTCCCACCCACCAGCGTCTATGGAAGACACTTTTCTTCTCTCTCTCTCTCTCTCTCTCTCTCTCTCTCTCTCTCTCTCTCTCTTTCTCTCTCCCCGCCCCCCCTGCCTCCCTCCTTCCCTCCCCTTTTGGCCATTATGGTTTGCAATACAGGTACTGAAAGGTTGTTATGTCCATCCCTTACGTCCTTTCAACACTCAGTTCTTGTCCAGAGTGATTATTTCCAACTATCATTGGCACAGTGCTCCCTTCCTAACCACCTCCCACCGTGTTCCCCAACCCTGCTGTTTTGACACACTTCTAACCATGGACCAGTCCTCCTGGCCCTTGTTGAATAAGTATTTCTTCTCCTTCTCTTCTCTCACATCTTACTAAGCAAGTTTCATTCAATAAAAATCTATTGTGCTTCACTAAAAAATCAGAAAATAAATGTGACCGAGGAAGCCAGAGAGATAATGCAGGAGTTTGGGCACTTGCCTTGCACTTCCCTTGCTTGGGGTCTGTCATGGTTCAATCTCTGATCCACATGGTCCCCCTGAGCACTACAAGGAGCGACCCCGATCACAGAACTGAGAGTGGCCCCCAGCCACCACTGGTTCTGATTCAACGCCCCCTCAAAAAAAAAAAAAAAAAGAAAAGAAAGCAATAAATGTGACTTAAAGGAACCTAAGCTCTTTTGGTTCCCCTTATCATTTTATGATATGTATTCATTTCCACTGCAAATCCTTCTCTTGGTTTATGATCTTCTTCCTAGATATGGGGACATGAGAAAGGAAATCGGCTTTAGAATCCGGGACATGTGGTATAACCTGGGTGAGTGTATAATCTTGAATAGGCCCATCTACACCTCCTGTGTGATACACATCCCACAATGAGTTCTTTAACTCCCAGTAACCCTGAGATTTGTTTGTCTTTGTCTGGAGGTGAGAATTGACTTGGGAATTTCTCACTCATCTCGTCTGGAAATATGGGCAATGAGCTATCTTTATGGTGACAATCAAATACAGTCTTTGGTCACTCCTGAATAGAACTGCTATACCATCAACTCCTTTCTTTTCTGATGGGCCCTGTGGAGGAAGATTGTAACACTTTTGCTTCTTGTGCCATTGGTTCTTAACACCCTCACTTGCTTTCCTTTCAGGTCCCCACAAAATCAAATTCATCCCATCCATGGTGGGACCCATTCTGGAGGTCACACTGACCCCTGAAGTAGAGCTCCGGAAAGCCACCATCCCCATTTTCTTTGATATGATGCAGTGTGAGTTCAATTTCAGTGGGAATGGCAATTTCCACATGGTAAGAATGGGAACTCTCTAATCTCACAAATGCACACGGGCCACACCTTAGTTTCTTAAACACAGAGAAGTATTAGTCGGAATGATGCCATATATAGTTTATCTAGAACCTTTACTTTGCATTTGGTACTTAAGAGACAGAATGAGAGGATCCAATTTAAGGTCCTTTTTCTGTATGTGTTTCCTAAAACAACACTGTCATCTCTAGATGATTGACATTGGACATGATGCATTTTAATCCTCTCTGATGCAAGACATTAATATGGCAGCTGAGGGGAAACCTGTGTAATGCAAATGGAGCAATATTGCACAGCACAGGACTGTCATTTGAAGACCTCAGTTTATCTGATTTATTTCCCCCCCAACCCCCGTGCTTCATTGTTTTTAACCTATGTGGTATGTTAGAATTGAAAGGATGATTTCACAATGATGCAACTCTAGAGAAGCAATTCCTTTACCAAAATGGAATGACAGGGGACCGGGGGTATATAGCCCAGTGGTAAAGCACGTGCTTTGCTTTGTATCCATGAGGCTCTTGGTTTGATTACTGACATCACATCAAGAAAGAGATGTAGAAAAGAAATCCAAGTAGATAAAATAGAAAATTGGAATGCATAATTGAAACGGCCAAGTAATGTGTTGGATAATTTTTTTTTCCAGTAATGGTCCCCCTGAGCATCAGTAAAAAATTAGCCACAAAGAAAAAAAGTAGCATAAGACTGGTATAGGAAGTTTTGATAGGACTTTGTGTGCAATTAATGGATGCTGTGATGTATTATTTTCCTTTGTGTATCTTGGAAGCGCTATGCAGTTCTCGAATGAGTTGGGGCTAAATCTAGAAAGGTAAAATCTAGCACATCATTTGTATTCTAAGGTCAGCATTCTCCTGTGAAATTCTTTCTCTGCTTTCAGTTTGAGAATGAGTTGATCACAAAGCTGGATCAAGAGGTAGAAGGGGGAAGAGGAGATGAACAATACAAAGAGCTGCTGGAAAAACTGTGAGTGTTTTAGAAACAAACCTACAAGTTGATTGTATCATTGCATGATGGAGAAAAACAGACTTGCCGCAATGTTGGCCAGTAACGTAATAGAGAATCACCAAGGTGACCACCATGAATCCGTTCAGCTTCACAGGATGGTGGCGTTTACGCCGTCCACTGCTGACATTTGTTTATGTGATAGGAGTCCAATGTGTATGTTTTTTCAGCCAGCTCTAGAGAGCAGGCAAATGGAGAAGAGATGACAGGTGCTGAATAGCAGCCTTGTGCCCAGTATCTAAATTGTTAAACTTGAGCAAAAGTGCTCATGCCTCTAATTATGGCCTCAAAGCAACAATTCAAAAGAAAATCGGAGGGGCCAGAGTGATAGTACAGTGGAGGGCATGTGCCTTGCATCTGGGGCCAACCTGGATTCAGTCCCCGGCATCCCCTGGCGTCCCCCAAGCATCACCAGAAGTAATTCCTGAGTGCAGAGCCAGGAGTAACCCCTGAGCAACGCTGGATCGCTGGGTGTGACCTCCCCCTCCCCCCCCCCCCAAAAAAAAGAAAAGAAGGTGGGAAAGGTTTCAAGGTTCACTGCACATTTAAAAATAAATAAGCCCGCTAATGAGCCTTCCCCAAACCATAGCACTTTAGCCAGCCTGGTCTTATCTCTGCCTTGCTCTTCCAGCCCCTTGGCCAAATCCAGCCCATGCACCCCACGACCCCTTGCCTTCCCCCCTGCAGACCCCTCACCCTCTTGTTCTTCTCATTCTTCTTTGCACGTATGGAATTGCTATATAAAACATGTTTTTTAAATTTCTTAAATGTGAACATCCGAGAAGGGTTGCATGACTAATCTGGTTTACTCCACAAGCAAGGAGTGTGACTTGCACAAATGGCTTAACCTGTCTGATACTTGATATTATGACCCATTGATCATAACAGACTCCAAATTTGGGAATTATAAGTGAGGAGTAGGTGGTGTGATAGCATTGGTTACGGCATTTGTGATGCTCTGTTGTTTGTATTTGTTACTTGCTGTTTTCAAAGATTGCCATCATTAGGGATTGTTACAACTTTAGACTGCTCATTTCTTATGGTTTCAGAATTTTATATCAATCAACTGTGTCAGCTGGTGGCAAATTACATACCTAGAGTGTTTCATTAATTCAGTTGTTTCGTGGGAATAGTATATTTCAATAATTAGCACACTGGGGACCAGAGCCTGCAGCCAACCTGAATTGGATCCCCAGCAACCTTTTTGCTCCCTAAACCTTCCAGGAATAATCCCTGAGAGCAAAACCGGGAGTAAGCGCTGACTACAGCTGGCTGTGGTCCCCAAACCAAAAGGATCATCACATCATCATTATTGCCATCATCATCATCACCATCATCATCACACTGGATGAATAGAAATGCAATTGAATTGATGTTTAGTTGATGACTTGTCTGAATTTTAAAGCCCAGGATGTCTTTCTTAATTTTGTTCTTAATGGGTGAAATGGTCTTTTGTTGACCTTGTAATCCCTTTGTTTGTTTGTTTGGGGTAATTCCTGGCAGTGTTCAGAGACTTGCTGGTTCATTGTCTGGCATTTGCTCACTGCTGCTCAGGCAAAAGTGTCCTGTTAGGAATCAGCCCCTGATCCTACGTGCAGTGCATGTGCTCCAGCTTTTTGAGCCATCCCCCAGGACTCTGACCTTGTTATTTGGTTTACACCTGATCTTATTATCCTATTTATACTGAGTCTGCTTCTTTGAGCTTCAAATCTGCCATTTTAAAACTTTGGCAGTTCTGATTCAGACAGTTATCAGGTGGAGAAATTATGCATGTATATAAATATATTAACAAATATAAGCTACTCATTTTTTCAAAATCTTGCAGCTAATTTTCTGCACAAAAATCTTTGCTTATTTTGTTTATGTTTGCATAAAGATTTTATTTTATTTTCTTCAATTTTTGTAAACTGGTAAGTACTAACAGAAAAATAGAGTCTCAAAAATCATCACTCTACGGGCCAGAGCAATAGTACAGAGGGCAGGGCACTTGCCTTACATGCAGCGGACCCGGTTTCAATCGCCGGCATGCCATATGGTACCAGGAGCACTGCTAGGAGTAATTCCTGAGTGCAGAGCGAGAAGTAACCCTAAGCATTGATTGCCAGGTATGGCCCCAAAGCAAGAGCAAACAAACAAAAAAAATCACTGTACAAGAGTAATCCTAGAGTCTGGACTAATTCTTTGGGTTCATTTGCCCCTGAAAAGCTGCATATTTGGATGTATCCTGGCTCGGCATTAATCCAGACTTCCCATAGGCCTCAGGGAGAATGAAAATATGAGGAAAAGATAGACTGTCCCAGATAGAGTAGAGAGCCTCCTCAGCTAGCACACATACCTCCAGAGCAGTTCCTTTCTGATGGTATTGACAGAAAACAAACAAAATAGTTTAAAGAAAGATATTGTGAAAGACCAAAGAAGTAGAGTACCTTACTGCGTGTTCCACGTCCAGCTTTAGTCCTGGTCCCCTTGAGCACTGCCTTGGTGGTCTCTGGCACAACAGGGCCCAAGTACTGCTGCATCCTTAGACCCTCTCCTTGAACTGCCCAACTGGTTGGCCTAGTACCACTGGAGTAGTACATGGGGTCCCTGAGAGGCCCAAACTATAGACAGACAGACAGACAGACAGACAGAGAGTTAGAACACAGATGACTCTGTGGTCTAAGATTCTAGATGATGCTGAGACTTGAGCTAAGCTATACAGAAAGCTTGAATTTGAGTAACTGAGACTCAGTGTAAGTCCCTAGGCCAGGACTGCTGCTACAAGCTTGAATGGGGTTCTCAAATGAATATGGGGTGCAGGCATTGATCTCCTCTCCACCCGTCCAGGCTCCTAGAACATTGCCGGAAGCACAAATACCTCTCCAGCTCTGGAGAAGTCTTCGCACTCCTGGTCAGCAGCCTCTTAGAGAATCTCTTAGACTACAGGACCATCATCATGCACGATGAGAGCAAGGAGAACCGCATGAGCTGCACAGTCAACGTACTGGTAAGTGCCAAGCCCCGGGCTGGCAGGAGTGTACTGACAACCACCAGGCCAGCTCAGAGGAGGCCAAACGAACCCAGAGGCACTGTAGGGCCACCTTCATGTTGTCTTTGTCCTGCCAACTCGGCCTGGCACTCACAAGTTCCAGCTGCCACAGATCTGAGTATCAGTGTGGAGACACGATTGGGATAAACAATAACAGTACTGGAATCTTCTATTTGTTTTGTTTTTGTTGTTGTTTTTGTTTTTGTTTTTGCTTTTTGCTTTTTGCTTTTTGCTTTTTGATTCGCTCGTGGGCTGGAGCGATAGCACAGCGGGTAGGGCGTTTGCCTTACAAGCGGCCAACATGGCCGACCCGAGTTCGATTCCTCCGCCCCTCTCGGAGAGCCCGGCAAGCTACCGAGAGTATTCAATATGCCAGACACAGTAACAACAAAGTCTCCAATGGAGACGTTACTGGGCCCGCTCGAGCAAATCGACGATCAACGGGAGGGCCTTTACCTTTACCTTTACCTTTTTGATTCACACCTAGCGATGCTCAGGGCGTACTACTGGCTTTTCACTTGGGAATTACTCCTGTCGGTGGTTGGGGGACTATAATGGGATGCTGGGGATCAAACCTGGGTCGGCCGTGTGCAAGGAAAACACCCTACCTACTGTAGTATCTCTCTGGCCCCGAATCTGCTATTTCTGAAGACCATCATCAACCCTTTCTGTAGCTGATATGTGGCTGTTTTGCTGTTCGAATTACTGGGCACAGACAAACTTGCCTCCAAAAGCACCATAGCAGACAGTCCTGACAATGCTAGAACTTCAAGGGCTTGCCTTTCCCTTGACAGATGTAATTACAACCATAGGCCTTCCAGTTTCATGGCACCAGACGTTCCTCTCTTCTTAATTACTATGGGGCCACATCCTGTGGTGTTCGGGGCACCAGTGTTGGAGTTGAGCATTGTGCCCTTTGAGCCCAACTCCAGACCACATGAATAATCTCTTGGTATAAGCCAAAAACTTACCACGCCCTATGAAGTCATCTTCTGTTCCCCTCAGTTTCCCTCATACTTCTCAGAAGCATAATTCCCTCTTCCCCTCCCCTATTTTAAAATTTATTTCTTTATGAATGTTCTTTTCCTTTTGGGCAGGGATGTTTATTCAAGGGCCAGATAACCTCTTTTTTTTGAAAAGTGACACCTGTGAAAAGCAAAGTCTTGATTTGAACATGGTAAGGCATTTGCCTTGCATGCAGCCAACCTGGCCGACCCAGGTTCGATTCCTCCACCCCTCTTGGAGAGCCCGGCAAGCTACCGAGAGTATCTCTCCCACATGGCAAAGCCTGGCAAGCTACCCGTGACATACTCGATATGCCAAACACAGTAACAAGTGTCACGATGGAGACGTAACTGGGCCCGCTCAAGCAAATCGATGAACAACGGGAGGACAGTGACAGTGACAGTGGTTTGAACATTTTTATGGGAAACTCATCAAAGTTCTTTCATTTACATTGGTGTTTGTGACTCACTTTTGTAGAATTTTTATAAAGAGAAGAAGAGAGAGGACATCTATATAAGGTAAGCTGATGGAAATTTCTGAAAATTTGCCCTCTTTTCCAGGACTGTTATGAGACAAACTTGGACATAAACTAGCTGTATTTTCATGGGGAGAGATTCAGTAGTTTCCATTAAATTGCTTAAGGGGACCTTGACCCATCATATGTATATGAGCACACTGCCTTCAGTGAAGAGATCTAAGTAGAATGGATCAAGTAGGAAAGTCTGGTGGGCTGGATATAGCACAAAGGGTTAAAAGAATCAGAAGTAATGGACACCTTTGCAGAAGCAAAGGAGCAGGCTTTGAACAGATGAGGATGAGGAGGGAAGAAAAACCTGAAAGGCAGTCTGCAGCCACCTTGTCAACATACTGAATGCTCAATCACTTCTGAACACTAAAATGCCTCCCATTTGTCCTTCCTACCAGATATTTGTACAAGCTGCGGGACTTGCACCGAGACTGTGAGAATTATACAGAAGCTGCCTATACGCTGCTCTTACATGCTGAGCTTCTGCAGGTAAGTGCATCAGAACACTCTTGACAAAATATAGCCTATCATCTGTCTCTTGAGGTAAATTCAATGCAGTTCATGATTTTGATGGGAAAGATCTTTGCTCAGGAATATCCTTTCATCTGAGTAGGTATTTGTGTCTTCTGGGTGGGCACAAGCCAATTTTCAGATCAAGATTGGAAAATTGTCACTTGTCATTTGTTTCAAAATCCTTAGGAAACAGAGTACAATCTATAGGGCCCTAGTCACTGATGCTCCAGGAGAAGAAACAAAACACATGTTGATTTTTACTTGATGTAAAAAGAAACAAAACACATGTTGATTGCTTGATGGAAAGATTTTTATGGTTTATAAAATTGTAGAGAATTGAGTTGTAAATGAAAAGAGTGCCATAGGATTACTTTTCTATTTATGCTGTCAGAGTACTTACATTTTGCTTTAGTTCTGCATGGGAGTCTGTTTTAGAGATTTCAGATACCGTTAGCTCTACTACTGCTCTAACTTTAGATCCTTGTATTAACTGTTCTGTCAGTCTTCATCTTCAAATGACTAATTTAAGCTCAGTTAAACTTACCAGGTCAGGAACAAATGCTTTTCTTGAACAAAGGGCACCGCCTTCTGTGGGAAGGGGATCACGTTTTCCATTCTGTATGCTTCTGCATGGGTCTCTGTGTCCAGGCACCAAATACCATGCTTTTGATAAATATAGCATATTTTATTTTCTTGTTACTCTACTTTGCTCTTTTTTTTTTTTCAGATTATTTTCTTCCTCTTCCTTATATATTGACAGGATGGCAAGCTTCCTGAGTGATGCTTGGGCATTCAGGGGTAATTTTCAGCCATCTGGGCTGACAGTTCAGTGGTTGGGCCTATGATTTCCATCCACCTCAGAGACCTCCAGAATTACCATTGGCAGTGCTTGATGGTTGCCATGGCTATACCTGGCAATGCCCAATAGACCAACCGGTGCCCAGGATTGAACTTGGGATGGTTACCCCTGCCCTGACTCTTCACCCCCACTACCCTCTTTCTTTTCATTTTTCCATTTGAATACTGGAATGGGAAATTCAGCGGTGGGAATTTCTGTGTTTATGAAATTTATGAAATAGCATTTTCTTTTCCAAAAGCCTGGTTTGACATTCCCTTTGTTTTAGTTTGCTTGTCCCTTCACTGGTACAGCAGTTTTTCTCTGAAGATTCCTTGTTATTTTAAGTCATTAAGCTTTTTAAATTATAGTAAAAATGTCTAAATATGAAATTCAACATCTTAACCAGATTTAAGTGTATTGTTTAGTGGTCTCAAGTACATTCATATCATTGTGTCTGGATATTTTATATCTTTAGATTTATTCTTGATGGAGCTTTTCACATTTTTTCTTTTTTTTTTCAAATATTGTATGAAACTGATCTCTAAATGATTTCTGAGTGTTTTTATCACACCAGGTGACATTTTCATTGTTTGTGGGGTCTTTTAGCCGACTCTTTTGTGAAGGGTCTGGTAATGAAGAACACAATCATTGCTCACCACAAGTGATCATTTTCCTCCTCCTTCCTTTGTCCTACTTGTCATTTCTTTCTTTGATCTCCTTGTGCCCGTGACACTCAGTGTAGCACAGAAGCAGCTGTGCAGGCGGGCGTCCTGTCTTCCTATTTGTTCATCAAATCACTTAGTGTTGAGCTAGTGTATCTATGAACATGTGTGATGGTTTTCAGCGACTAATCAAAAGCAATAGAAGTGAGTCAACGATATGTCGAAATGTCTCTGTGACCTATTTTGAGTTGAATATATGTCATATGAATCTCCTTTCACTGATTGATTGAGTTATTGTCTCAATCTCTTTTGTCACTTCTGTTTGCTTTTCAGTGGTCTGACAAGCCCTGTGTGCCCCATCTGCTTCAGAGGGACAGTTACTATGTCTATACCCAGCAGGAGCTTAAAGAGAAGCTGTATCAGGAAATCATCTCCTATTTTGACAAAGGCAAAGTGAGTGTGGCTTATTAGTTTTGCTCTGGGGGGAGAGTGGGTGACCCGGTGCTGCATGCCATTGTGACGTTTACCATGCAGTCGCATAGACCCCCGTGGGGTAAGGATGGTCCCCAACAAGACAGCTCTCATGTCAGAGGCCAGCCTCAAGTTCTTGGGTACCCAGACCACCCATACTTCTGACCAGTTGACTCTAATTTTGGATGCCTTCGTCAGTATTCATAATATGCATCAACAGTTCTTCGAGCTTGCTTCAACACAGTTCTTGTCATTACTGTTTTATTATGAAGGAGACAAAGTGGAAGAACCCAGTGAAGAAACTCAGGAAGCCAGATTGAAGAGGGCCCCTAGACAGCAGAGCTGCTAGATGCAGGGCTCTCCCTGTCCCAACAGGTGTTCATCCATCAGGATGTTTCTCTAAGCCTCATGTGCAGAATTTGAGGTGGTGGGAGCGCATCAATAATACATGCTTGGTGGATTAAACCATCAGCCACATGGGTAGACACAACCTCGAGCACTTCCGGCCCCCAGTCCACCATGTCTTACTGTGGAACTGGCTGACTTTGTGTAGTTCAAGATACAAGTCTTTGACCCCATTAATGTAGGTTCTGAGTTGGGAGCCTCCATGTTAGAGCATCTCAAGGCTGCAGTGAGTTCCTTTGTTAGCATAAGCTCAGATGGGATCTGGGGGCTCCACCTTGAAAAATAAAGACACTCCATTTGCTGAGGAAAATTCAAGGGTTGGGAAGCTCCTGCTCTAAGATCGGAGTAATTCTTCATTGGACAACAGTGACTCACTGTTCACCTGTGTCGCTTTGAATGCTTGTATTTTTCTTGGCAGATGAAGTGATGTTAGATAATCAAGAAAATGAAGCTCACTTTTCTTGAGGGCGCTTAACCCAATGGGGATAAACCTGGCAGTCATGCCTTTCTCTCCTTAACCATAATTTTGCCTTTTATGTGTTTTTGGACTGACAGTTGGTACCGTCCTTTTCTGTACATTTTCAAGAGACTCTTGGCTAACACTTCTTGCGCATCCCAGGCCACAATCATTCCCTGTCTGACCACATAGGTGTTAACAGCAGCCTAAATCCCTACAGGGGCAAGAAGGTAAACATTAACTGGGCCAGGCCATTATGGAAACTGTGGTCAGGAGAAAGCAGAAGGGTTAGAGAGAGAGATGAAAAATAAGAAAGATGCTTCATACTAGCCAGACAAAATATGCTTCTGATTCTTCTAGTTTCTGAGGTCTGGATAGTCCAAAGACCTGTATTGCTTCTTCTCTATCTGGAGGCAGACAGTACACCTTTTTTTTTTTTTAATCACTGAAACCTGTTCTTATAAATAAACAGGTTGATAAATCATTTATTTAGTGCTAGTAACAGTTTTGGGTGATTTTTATACTTATTTACCAATTTGATGGGTATATTGCCTGTTTTACATATGAACGCGAGGACCAGATAGCAAATATATTTACTTAATTTTCTAGTGCCTGCTCGAGCAAATCAATTAACAATGGGAGGACAGTGCTACATTGCTATACACCTTCACCTTCCTAAAAATCGACTGCGACTGCTTACCGTGATTGTAACTTTGCATGCTTAAAATGAAGACAAAAACTTAAATTTTTATTTGTTCTTTTAACATACATTATCTTTTGATGTAAAGCATATCTTTTGGTGGGAGCTGGAGCGGGAGCGATAGCACAGCGGGTAGGGCGTTTGCCTTGCACGCGGCCGACTCAGGTTCAATCCCCAGCATCCCATATGGTCCCCCTGAGCACTGCCAGGAGTAATTCCTGAGTGCAGAGCCAGGAGTAACCCCTGTGCATTGCTGGGTGTGACCCAAAAAGCATATCTTTTGGTGAAAATATTACTCTATTTCTTAACAAATGACACACATGACATTGTTAACAACCTGAAATCTCTTTAAGCTCTAGCTTAGATAGAAGACAGCAGAATTTTCATATCTGCCTGTACATGTAATTGATTGTGATTATTCCATACATTCATGGGAATGTATGTCTCTGGGAAGTACCACTGTGTACTTCTATGAGAATGACTATAAAGAAAGGCAAGTAATACTAGGATGGTGAAGAAGACAGTTCTGCCTTTGGAACTCTAGAACTGGAGAGCACACTTTGCGAATCACTGTGCTCTGCCCTATGCTGACTGTGTCATCAGTACAGCTGACTTAGCCTTTGGTGAAATGAGAGGAGGACCAAACTCACGTGTTTCGAGCTTGTTCCTGCACCAGCCCCACTGCTCTGGGAAGGTTTCCAGACGACACACTTCAGAGGCTTTTCCGTGATCCAGGCCCTACAGTTTCAGAGGGGGCAAATTTGGCACGTGCTCATCTCAAAAGATTTAATTTGAAAATATTTTCCAACTACAGATGGGCTGCACTTGCCTTCCTTTAGCAGCAAGATACAATGGGTATAGGCCCTGGACAACGAGAATGACATAGAAAATTGTCCAGGGCTGTGTTCTTAAAGGCACCCGGCCATGAGACATTTCATGAACTGCCAAAATGATGGGCAGATTCATTCTGGGTTCTTAGCCTCAGATAGCAGACATGTGCGTTAGTCTCTAACTTCCATGCACATCAGTTCCCTAAGTTCTGTTTGACAAAGAAGACAGTTTAGTTAGAAATGAAAAATAAGGGCCCTAGACTGGAAAGTTTCTTGGGTTTTGTGCTGTAATATAGTTAGCCTGTCTTCTAGTGTCACCTCCTCAGACAAGCTAACAGCAAGTACAAACAGAGAGAGAGAGAGAGAGAGAGAGAAAGAGAGAGAGCCCATATCAATTTTATTTCATTTCAGCAAGATAACTTGCCGTGGACTTCCGTCCTTTGCCCTTAAACTTTGTTAGAGAGGTATATGGTGTTATTTCTTTTCTTACAAACAGAATTACTGATGATGCCCTCGGCCCCGCAGCCCATCTATATAGTAGCTTTACGCTGTTAAGGAAAAGGCAGCTGATCCAAGAGATGAGGCTGGTCGAGGACATCCGCAGAAACTCAGTCACGGAACTTCTCGTTGGTTGCCAGCGACTTTCAAGTGGCTTTTGCCGCTGAGACAGTGTCTGATTCGTGCTCCACTTTTAACCTGCTTGTCTTTCTTTCTCTGAAGATGTGGGAGAAGGCGATCAAACTGAGCAAAGAGTTGGCAGAGACGTATGAGAGTAAAGTGTTTGACTACGAGGGCCTTGGCAATCTCCTGGTGAGTCTGGGTCAGCATGTGTCAACATCCAGTGGGATAGCTAAAATCAGTATTTCTGAAGGTGTTTTTTGTAAGCTTATGAAATTAAATGTTGTTTCTTAAAATGGAAAGGGAAACCTTGCTGTAAATAAGAGTTTTTATGTTCCAAAGGCAGTTATCATTCTTCCCCTTGACTTGAGTGCTCAGGATTGCGTCTGGGCGTCTGCTCCTTTGGCTTCTGTTGGGACTCTCCGTGCCCCCTGTCCTGTTCCCTCTGCCGTCCATGAATTCCTCCAATACTGCAGTTGCTCACTGATGTCTTCTGTTGCTCCTTGTTCTGCGCTCCACGTTCTCAGAGCCCTGCTGAATGAACTTCCAGTCTCTTTGACTCATGTTTTCTTTTTGTTTTTGATTTTTTTTTTTCTTTTTGGGTCATACCTGGTGATGCTCAGGAGTTACTCCTGGCTCTGCACTCAGAAACTACTCCTGACGGTGCCCAGGGGACAATATGGGATGCTGGGAATCGAACCCAGGTCAGCCGTGTGCAAGACAAACGCACTACCTGCTGTGCTGTCGTTCCAGCCCCTGACTCATATTTTCTTATTCCCCCCCCCCCCCCCCTTGGTGTTTGGGTTTCTTTGTGGACATTTGCAGAGTTGTAAAATTCTTCTTCCAGATCTTGCCTCTCATGTCTTCCTGTTCCTCCTGAATGTCCCTGGAATGCTGTCCTTTTTCTTTTTTGGGGGGTGGGGGGATCACACCCAGCGATGCACAGGGGTTACTCCTGGCTTTGCAGTCAGGAATTACTCCCGACGGTGCTCAGGTGACCATATGGAATGAGATGCTGGGAATCGAACCCTGGATTAGCCGCACGCAAGACAATGCCCGACCCGCTGTGCTATCGCTCCAGCCCGAGTGCTGTTCTTTTACTGTCCCCTCAACCTGTGTGTTATAGCTAGCTATAGGCATTGACCGACACTTTAAAATCGAAGAAGCTTCTATTGTATTACTCAATAACTTGGTGGGGATGTCCTCCCAAACAGTGCTCTAGGGAGACGGTGGGGGCTACTCTTAGTGATCCTTAGCCCGGGCTGGGCAGGACTGATGGTTCAGTCAATAATCAGGCCGGCACTGTGAGATGACTAAGGCAGCCCTGGCAGTGCTGGGGGTGGGGATGGGGGTGGGCATGTGGTACCAGATTCGGGACCTAGTATGTTCAAGACATGCATCCCATTCCATTGAACTGTCTCCCTGACCCCCACCTCATCATTTTAGAAGGTGAGCCACAGAACTCCAGATCATCCGTGGTCATGCAATACTTATCTGAGGGGGATGATTTTCAAGTTCACTTTGAAATAAGTCCACCAATGAAAATGTCCCTGACTTCGCTTTTAAATTGAGCTGAGATCTAGCAGCAACGTGGTTGACTTTGGGGACAGCATCATCGTGATGTAAACCGTGACTGACCTGTACCATGCTTGTCTTTGTGGCAAGGGTCTAGGGACCTGCTTCAAAGCCCCAGGGTCTGGCCACCCAGTTTGTTTTCTTTAATGCTGCGTGTAGGCCTGGCTGGGCAGCCTCTCTCGGGGACAGAACCAGAGATAGGGACGCACCGACAGTGAAAATCAGAGCACTGCTACCCCCTTCTGGGCATTCAAAACTGAACCAAGGGCTTTTGCCCAAACCATCTGCACAAAGCTGAAGTTTCTTGATCCGTTCTCAGGACCCTGCACAGCCACTGTTAGTGTATCTCAAAAAATGCTTCCTAGCCTCGTTAGGGGCCTTTTCAAGAAACTGGTGAAATGTAAGCATAGCCCCACCCCTCCAGAGGAAGAAGCCATCTGTCTACAGGCAGCTTCAGGGACCCCCCCAACCTCTTTACCCCCAGACCCTCAAAAACCCAATCTGGAAGATCCTGAGCCTCTAATTCAAGACAAGGATAACTCTTGAGCCACAATTTTTCTGAGGTCTTTTGTTATCGTGATGCACGGGGAAACAGCAAAGCAGATAATCTGTTCTTTTTTGTTTTGTTTTTTTCTTTTTCTTTTTTTTCCATCAGCCTTCTGGTTGCCTCCCTGTGAAATGTCTTTGTTTTCTTTTCCAGAAAAAAAGAGCTTTGTTTTATGAGAACATCATCAAGGCCATGAGACCTCAGCCTGAATACTTCGCTGTTGGATACTACGGGCAGGGCTTCCCTTCTTTCCTGCGGGTAAGAGAGCTGAGGGTGGTCCGCAGAGCCATTAAACCTGGGGTCCGAAGGAGGGAAGGAATTCGGCTCTCTTCCAGATGGGCCTGGTGGGTTAGCAGCTGCAGACCCCTGTTCTCACTGGGGGAGCTTGGAGAGGGAAACTCCTTCCTGAATGGCGCCCCTTCACCCTGATCCGACCCCCTCTGCTCTCCTGGCAGCTCTTTGGTAAAATGACTTTTCCCAGGTGGAAGGAAAAACGGGAAAAACAGAACCATCCCCTGCACAGCTCTGCTGCCCCAGGTCAGGCTGGGGAACCGGCTGGATTTAGTTGTTGGTTTTCTTTCCAGCCAGAGCTGGTTTGAAAAGCAAACATCCCAAGGACAAGACTGCAAGAGTTCACAAAAATAAAAAAACAAGTCTGTTGCGCTAGTGAGAAGGACCATGTCTTTCTTCCTTGTCAGAATTGTCTCGACTGAGACACTGGTTTTACTTTTGCAAGAAACAAAATATCTAGGATTTCCTTCCACCAAAAACAAATAAACAAACAAACAAAACCACAGCTTTTCTTAGCACTGAGCTGTATTTGAACATACATATTATCCATCTTCTTTTCCTTAATTAAAAAAGAAAACATAGGAAAACAGAGCACTTTGTATTCCTGCGAGTGCCTAATGAGGAGGCAGTTCATTCTTTCGTTTGCACAATAGCTGTTTACGGAGCAGCAGTTCTGTGCCAAGCACAGACTAGACATTAGAGATGCGGAACTGATTATCATCATGGTATCAGCTCTCATGGGTTTATAACCCTAATGTGTGAGATACTAATGGAACTATCACACAAATGAACGTATCAGTGAAGATGCGCAAGAAAGGTATTCTTTAAGTTGTTAACAAGGGTGTATTTCTTTTTTTCTTTTAAAAAATTTTTTTGAGTTTGTTTTTAATTTTATTTTTTTTTCCATTTTTTATAATTTTATTTATTGGACCACCATGAGAGCAGTTACAATTTAGGCCCCATGGTTTATCATACTCTTAATGGAAAGGTTTCTTTTATACACAGTACCAGTGCCACACCCTCCACCAAAGTCTCCTTTCCTTTGTCATTGTCACACAGCCCCTCTGTAGCCTTCTCATCTTACTCCCACCCTCCCATTCCCCACTGTGATAAGCTTCCTACTGAAGACCAGTTCTCAATTTCTCTTGCCTTTGGGCAGTTATTATATCTCCACTTTGTTTCTTTATATCTCATATATGAGAGATCACTCTGTGTCTGTCTCTCTCCTTCTGACTAACTTCACTCTGCATGATACTTTCCAGATCTGTCCATGTAGCAGCAAACTGTATGCCTCCCTTTTTTCCTTGCTGAGTAGTATTCCATTGTGTATATGTACCATGGTTTCTTTATCCAGACACCTATATTCTTAGACATTTAGGTTGTTTCCAGATTTCAGCTATGTGAATAGTGCTGCAGTGAATATTGGGGTGCAAATGTCCTTCTGAAAAAAAAAACTGTATTAACCCATGTGAAATAAAAATTTTTGTTCACACAGAAATTCACGTAGTTTTTCTATCACTACATTCATAAGCACCAAAGTCTATATACAACCCAAATGCTTTTCTTCTTTCCTCCCCCCCCCCTTTTTTTATTGAATCACCATGAGATACAGCTACAAAGCTTTCATGATTGAGTTTTCGTCATAAAATGATCGAATACCCATTCCTCCACCAGTGTACATTTTCCACCACCAATGTCCCCAATATCCCTCCTGCCATACCCACCATCCACCCCCTTCCTCTATGGCATACAATTTCCTTCTTACTCTCCCTACTTTTGGGCGTTATAATTTGCAATAGGAATACTGAGAGGCCATCATGTTTGATCCTTTATCTACTTTCAGCACACATTTCCCATCCCAAGGGATCCCTCTAACCATCATTGACTTAGTGATCCCTTCACTATCCCAGCTGCCCCCTCCCCCAGCTTGTGAGGCAGGTTTCCAACCATGGAACAATCTTCCCGGCTCTTGTCTCCACTGTCTTTGGCTGTTAGTCTCATATTATTTTATATTCCAAAGATGAGTGCAGTCATTCTATGTCTGTCTCTCTCTTTCTGACTCGTTTCATTTAGCATGATACTCTCCATGTCCATCCACTTATTAGCAAATTTCATGACTTCATCTTTTCTAGCAGCTGCATAGTATTCCGTTCTGTATATGTACCACAATTTCTTTAACCAGTCATCTATTCTTGGGTACTCGACAACCTAAATGTTTTTCTAGTTGGTTAACATGTACGTTGTGATATGTCCATATATTGTGAAACTACTTGATAATGAAAAGGAAAGAATTTCTGGTATACCAACCCATGGTATTCCTTTGTAGTCCATTAATATCCACAAATGAGATCAGCTGCATTGTGCTAAACGAAAGAAGTTAAACATAAAAGGTTTCATGAACTTTTTTTTTCTTTTAAATTTTTATTAGTGAAACACGATGAGGTACAGTTGTAGACTTACAAATTTTTGTGCTTGGGTTTCAGTTATACAATGATCCAGTACCCATCCCCCCACCAGTGCCCATTCTCCATCATTTACATTTTTTTAAAATTTTTGTTAGTGAAACACCATGAGGTACAGTTGTAGATTTACAAATTTTTGTGCTTGGGTGTTTTTTTTTTTAATTATTGCTTTATGGCCAAGCCAAGACTACAAGTACAAAAAAACAGTGTTTTTCTGGGAGTTAGAGGGAGGGTTGGGCTGCAAAGAGATATGGAAAGTATTTGGTGGTGAAGAAATTGTTCTCTAGCTTCATTGTGGTCATGGTTGTGTTTATCGAAACTTGAAAAATTCTACTCAGAAGATTACCATGTACTTAGACTTTTCAAGAATAAGAAGAGGCTACTCAGAGAATTTGCTTCAGGTGCAATTTGAAAGTTGAGTTTGAAGTTAAGGACTTAAATGATGTTAAGGACTTAAGGAAGGACTTAAAGGAAGTATGAAAGGTGAACTGGGAATTAAGTTCGAGAAAGAACATTGCTGGAGAGATTAAATGGGGTATGGGACATTTGCTTTTCATGAGGATTACCCCAGTTTTATCCTTGGTACTACATATGACCCACTAAGCATAGAACCAGGAGTAGCTGCTGAACATTGCTAGGTGTGGCCCAAACACACCCAGAAAATTAAGAAAACAAAGAGCATCGCAGACAGACTAAACAGGTGGCAGCGTATGGAAATACTAGGAATGAAGGATGACCATCATGGAGAGAACAGGCATTGCTAGAGTGATCTGAGAAGTGAGACAGGAGAAGTATGGGACAGTATGAATTCCTTGGCATCACCAAGAGTGATTTTTTTCTGCATCCTGAGAGCAGTGTCAGTCAGTACCTATCTGTATTGGCATTGTCATCTGGTTTTGGATTGTGAATGAATGGAAGAAGCCTCAAGAGGTTATCACATGTTTCAGAGATAACAGATGGACCTTTGAACTTGCATAGGCAACAATAACTATTCCCGTGCAGGGGCCTAAGAGTTTTTTTTTTTTAATATTAAAAGTTCAATTTTATTGGTGGGCTGGAGTGATAGCACAGCTGGTAGGGAGTTTGCCTTGCACGCAGCCAACATGGCCGACCTGAGTTCGATTCCTCCGCCCCTCTCGGAGAGCCCGGCAAGCTACCGAGAGTATCTCGCCCGCATGGCAAAGCCTGGCAAGCTGCCCGTGACATATTCAATATGCCAGACACAGTAACAAGTCTCACGATGGAGACGTTACTGGGCCCGCTCGAGCAAATCGATGAACAACGGGAAGATCGTGACCGTGACCAATTTTATTGGTGCCAGAGCTGTAGGATAGCTGATTAGGTTCTTGCCTTGAACGTTAGATTCATGCCACTCTGGGTTCGATCCCCAGCATTCCATATGGTCTCTGGAGCACGACCAGGAGTGATCCCCGAGAGCAGAGAAAGGAGTAACCCCTGAAAACCACAAACAAAAACAAAAAGTTCAATTTTATTAAAGGGGGAAAAAATCCTCACTTGGAAATTGAGCAAGCAGTGTTTAGTGCAGTTATTTTGGCTGAAATTTTAATGTTGCCACCCATAGTGACTGCTCTTAATGATTCTGCTCTCTATTTTCTGTCCCATTTTGTGGTAGAAGGTGCATTGTGTTGATTTCAGTTATCCCTGGAGTGTGAGATGAGCTTATGCCTACACATAAATTAATGCCTCAAAGAGCAGTTAAACCAGACCCCAAGTTTTGTGCTGTCTTAGAACCCAGTTGGGGCCTAAACTCCTTATTTTCTGAGTATCAGTGTAGACAGTTTGCAGAGTAGTTGTGGTTATTTGGTCACTCTCTGAAAGCACTGCATGAAATATTTTTTGTGCCTTTGGCTTCGTTCCCCAAGTAAACCATGAATGTATGTCATAGTAACATGGCTCTGGGGATTCATTGAAAACTTTGTGGCGGGCTGCTTGCTCTTTGGCTGGGGAGGAGAGTAGCTTTCTCACCACCAGAATTTCCATTTGGCCATTCAATGCTTTAAGTTTATGTATTCCCCTTGCTCTCCCTGGCCTGCAGAATAAAATCTTCATCTACCGAGGGAAGGAATATGAGCGGCGAGAGGACTTCAGCCTGAGGTTGCTGACCCAGTTCCCCAACGCGGAGAAGATGACAAGCACCACCCCCCCAGGAGAAGAAATCAAGGCCTCCCCAAAGCAGTGTATCCTTGCCAGGGGAGCATGGCGTACCAGCCCGAAAAGCGCAGAGTACCATTCCATCTCCCCATGTACATATGTCTTGGGTGTTTAGACCATGCCTTGAACCATTCCAGCTATTCTCTTACATTTTTGTAAAAAGCCTTTGAACCCTTATATCCTTAGTTGGTGGCTCAGAAGTATTAAGTGATATGGTCAGATTTTTGAATCTGAAAAAGTATATTTCAGAGTAATCTGGAATGCTTGAGATAAAGACTTTTTGTTCTGAATTCTGGATAAAGATACACAACTTTTTTTTAAATAATGGAGCACTTCATTTATTGAACAATCAATACATTCTGTCTTTTTATATTTTTAAATATTTTTAATTTTTTAAATTTTTAAATGAATCACTGTGAGGTACAGTTACATTCTTTCATGCTTACATTTCAGTCATACAGTGATCGAGTACCCATCCCTCTACCAGTGTCCATTCTCCACCACCAATGATCCCAGTATCCCTCCCACCACCCCCATCCCATCCCCCCACCCCACCCCGCCTCTGTGGCAGGGCATTCCCTTTTGCTCTCTCTTTCCTTTAGGGTGATGTGGTTTGCAATAGAGGTATTGAGTGGTCATCATATTTGGTCTAGAGTCTACTTTCAGGTTGTATCTCCCATACCAAGCGGGCCCTCCAAGCATCCTTTACATGGTGTTCCCTTCTCTGTCTGAGCTGTTCTTTCCCTAACATGTGAGCCGGCTTCCAAGCCATGGAGCAATTTTCCTGGTACTCATCTCTACTATTCTTGGGTGTAAGTCTCCCATTCAAACAATCAATACATTCTTTCCTCATTCATTTTTTTCCTGTAGCCATTCCCAGCAATGCTTAGCTCACTGTGGACCTAAGGTTCAGTCCTTGGCCCAGCAGTGTGGGGTGGGGGACTGCACTCAAGGCTACCAGGTGACCCCAGGTGTGGGGTCATGGAGCACCATGAGTCAGACTCGTTTGCACTATCTTCCAGCCCTACTTGTTTTCTCTGAAAAAAAGAATAGAAACTTAGTGTTCTTTAACACTTTGGTGGTTTTTGTTTTGTTTTGATTTTTGGTTCTTTCTCTTTTTTTGGTCTTTGGGTCAAGTGTTGGTTGTATTCATGACTTACTCCTGGCTGTGTGCTCAAGGGATCACTCCTGATAGAGCTCAGAGATCCACATGGGGTGCCAGGTAGGCGATGTGTAAAGCAAGCACTTCACCCACTATACTATCTCGCTGACCCTGATACTTAAGTGTTTTGTTAAAATGAGGACTTTATAAAATTGAATAGTCCTGAAAGAAAGGTAGATAAGACAAAGAGCCCAAGTGGTCTGTGAAGTTCAAGTCCCCAGCTCTGTCACTTGACCAAGTCACTGCTCTGTGCCTTGGTTTTCTCATCTGTAAAGTGGGGATAATACTTGTCTTCCCCCTGAGTTCTTAGATTTAGTGAGTAAGAGTCTCTAGGATATTTGAAATAATGCCTCGTACATGACAAAAATTCGATGACTACAGTTCAGAGAGATTTTAAGGTGTTTGCCTTGTATATGGCTGACCCAGTTTCAATCCCTGGAACCCCCGTGCAGTTCCCAAGCTCTCTAGTATTGATCCTTGAGCACAGAGCCAGGAGTAATCCTTGAGCACAGCTAGGAGAAAACCCAAAAACAAAAAAATTTTAATGTCTGTTAACTGCCTTTATTTATAGATGCTGGAGAGATAGCACAGCGGGTAAGGCATTTGCCTTGCATGCGGCCAACCTGGGTTCAATTCCTCCACCCCTCTTGGAGAGCCCACAAGCTACCGAGAATACCTTGCTCACACGGCAAAGCCTGGCAAGCTCCCCATGGCATATTCGATATGCCAAAAACTATAACAACAAGTCTCACAATTTGTTGTGAGATGTTGCTGGTGCCTGCTCGAGCAAATCGATGAACAATGGGAGGACAGGTCTTCAGTTCTTCAGTGCTACATTTATAGGTGCAGATTAGTGAATAGTGCCAGAAGGAGAATCACTGTCACTGTCCTCCCGTTGTTCATCGATTTGCTCTAGCGGACCCAGTAACGTCTCCATTGTGAGACTTCATGTTACTGTGTTTGGCATATTGAATACTCTCGGTAGCTTGCCAGGCTCTCCGAGAGGGGTGGAGGAATCGAACCCAGCTCAGCCAGGCTGACTGCATGCAAGGCAAATGCCCTACTGCTGTGCTATCACTTCAGCCAGAAGGAGAGTTAATAATAATAATAATAGTAGTAGTAATAATAATAATAGACCTATCCCTTTAGGGGAAGAATGGTCATACCTTGTTAACACATAGCATGAGCTTGGAGAACGAAGCACCTCCAGGACGATCTTTATTATTTGGTGATGGCGGTTCCAAAGTCTAGAAAGTTCTTGGTGTGGGAAAGAGCTGAACTTATAGAATTGGTTTAAAAACTGGAGCATTGGTGCTCAGCCATCAGTCAGTTTCTACATAAACTTTTTATATTGCCCAACATTTCTTTGGGCCTTGGCTTTCTGAAGTATAGGGTGGTGAGGGCAAGTCTGATTCTCTAGATGAAAGTGCTTCTGTGAGGAAGAAAATCAGGGGATAGTTTATGTGAACAGGCTTTGTAAACTAATAGCATTAGATGTAGACCAGTGGTCCTTGGACTTTATTCTCTCCTAAGAATTACTTTAGAGGGACAAATTCCACAGCTATGGGGTACGGTGTCCAATCTGACATTTCTAGAAGTCTCTGTCATCTGATGCAAACTTCATTTTAAGAAATACCAGTGGACTCTAATCCCTAGTACCTGAAATTCCAGAGTAAAGGAATAGACTTGTGACACATTGGGTCTGTTCTGGGGAGTAGTAAATAGTCATTTGTAAAGTCATTAAGTCAGAAAGGTAGCCTCACCCCTGTGCTAGATATGAGAAACAAACAATAAAAACTTAATGCCTGTTAACGACCTTTATTTATATATGCAGATTAGTGAACAGTGGCAGAAGGAGAGTTACTAATAGGAATAATAATCACTGTCACTGTCACCCCATTGTTCATCTATTTGCTCGAGCGGGCCCAGTAATGTCTCCATTGTGAGACTTGTTACTATGTTTGGCATATTGAATACGTCATGGGGAGCTTGCCAGGCTTTGCCGTGCAGGCAAGATACTCTCGGTAGCTTGCTGAGCTCTCCGAGAGGGGTAGAGAAATTGAACCCAGGTTGGTAGGGTTGGCCGCGTGCAAGGCAAATGCCCTACCGCTGTAATATTTATTATTTATATATAATTTTAATATATTTTTATATTTTTAAAATATATATGTGTGTGTGTATATATATATGTTTTCACTCGACTTTACATTCCAGTGATATGCAAATTTTCTATTACTTTGCCTTCTCCCTCATAAAACGACATTAGTAGCAGCCATCTGGTGGTGGTCATATTTATTTGAGATGGCATTCAAGACACTGAGTACAGTACCTACCGTGGCCTTCAAGAAACAAATGGTGGGGCTAGAGAAATAGTACAGCAGTTCGGTGCTTGCCTTGCACACGGCCAAACCGAGTTTGATCCCTGGTAGGGCATAGTGTCCTATGAGCCCTACTGGGAGTGATTACCTGAGCACAGAGCTAGGAGTAAGTCCTTAACACATTTGAGTGTAGCCCAAAACCAAAAATAATAACAATAAAAATAAAACAAATGGTAACCAAAATTCTTTTGACCTGGGTTTGGGGAATCTACTACAGAAGGATGTTTGTCCAAAGAAATGAGTTTAAGACAGTTTTAACCATTTATTTCCTGATATTTCTTTAACATCTGTTTTCCTATAACAAGTTTGTTTGCTAGGGATCCAGCCCAAAGTGTTATAGGATTAATGGCTTCAAAAGACACCTTGGTAGATTCATGTGACCCCCATTTGCAGTGGAATCCAGGCATTTGGTAGGAAGGAATGATGGATGTGGGGTTTTCCTCTACAAAGCAGGAGTGGCAATCATCCTGCCTGCCTTCTTCAGCTTCATCCGTTGTCATCCTTAATGATCTGCTCAGACATGCAGTGTTTCACCGTCAAACCCGTGATGAGCCTGCCGCCCAACTACAAGGATAAGCCAGTTCCAGAGCAGATTTTAAAGTAAATGCCGTTTTCTGAGGGGGGTCGGGGGGTGGAGTGTTGGAGTGTTTGTTTGATTGTTTTTCCCAAAACATTTAGCTTTCTCAGACACTTGATCTAGAAGCCATGTAAAAAAAAGACTCAGACCCATTATGGTTTGTCAGACCTGTCTGTTGTCTGAGTCTGTTGGGGCTGCCTCTCCCAGACAACTGTGGATTTGGTGGCTAAAACAACAGACAAGTGTTTCTCACAGTTCTGCAGGTGGGGAAGTACTGAGCCAGGCACTGCCAGGTCCCATGTCTCGTGAGAGCCAGTGTCTGGTACATAGATGGCCCCTGCTACGTGTGTCCTCCACTGCAGAGAGGGTGCTGACCACCTTGGTCTCGCCAGGGGGCAGGGGGTGACCTCCTAGTGGCACAGCGGGGCTTGGGTTTCCAGCTGGGGAATGTGAGGAAAGACAAAACACGGAGACCAGAACAACTGTCTCTTCCGTTTTCTGTATTTGGGTTTGATGACTCAAAGGGCTCCGGGAGCTTGCTTGCTTGCTTGCTTGCTTTTTCAGGCAGAGGGTGGGGATTCTGAAGCTTCCTGCTTAGGTCGTTGATCCTCCTTTGTCTTATTTCTGCTCAGAAACATTCCCTGTTTCCTGAGTAGAGGCTGACCTCACCTTGCCTGGTGAGGGGGCGCTTTTCCTGAGATGCTCAGTGTCAGGAGGCTTGTTAGACTGTGATAAAACTGGGAGAATGAGATGAGGCTCAGGAACATAAGCACAGGGGCCTTTTACAATTGTGGAGTCCATTCACAAGCAATACAATTTCGATGAGATATCAAAAAGCCTTCGTTGTTGAGACTTACTGCTTTTGAGTGGGCTTTAAGAGGCTGAGACTGTCTTTCCAGGCGGGTGAGAATGCGCATGTGTTTAAGCATCTCCTGAGGGGGCTGGAGTGATAGCACAGCGGGTAGAGCATTTGTCTTATACGCGGCTGACCCGGGTTTGATTCCCAACATCCCATATGGTCCCCTGAGCACCGACAGGAGCAGTCCTTGAGTGCATGAGCCAGGAGTAACCCCTGTGCATTTCCGGGTGTGGCCCCAAAAGCAAAAAAAAAAAAAATCTCCTGCCTGGAGAGAGAGAAAAAGGGAGGGAATGCCCTTCCATAGAGGTGGGGGAGGGGGAGGGGGGTCCTGGAGGGATACTGGGATCATCGGTGATAGAGAATGGGCACTGGTGAAGGGATGGGTACTCAAGCATTGTATGACTGAAACACAAGCACAAAAATTTGTAAGTCTGTAACTGCATCTCACGGTGATTCACTAATAAAAAATTTAAAAAGAAAAAAAAGAATCTCCTGCCTGTCTCATGCAGCTACTACCGAGCCAACGAAGTGCAGCAGTTCAGCTATTCCCGGCCATTCCGGAAAGGAGAGAAGGATCCCGACAATGAATTTGCTGTGAGTCTTGCCCTTTTGCCCTTTGAACCCAGTGACCCTGCACCTAACCAAGTGGAAATGATGACAGCTTTGAGGAGAGAGACAAATGTGTGGGGACTTAAAACCTGGGGTTTCAGTGGAACCCTGTACTGGGCAGCTGGAAACTGGTCATGCTTTGCTCCTGAGCCCACCGTCAGTGTGATCTTGAGTATTTCACAACTTTCTACCTCAAATGACCCATCAAGAAGGTGGGGCCAGTCGGGGAAGTGGCTGATGCCTCATTGCAGCTCTGATCATCCAGAATTTTTCTTTTTATGGTTCACTCACTAAAGAGGCATGTGAAAATGGGATCTCATTTGACCACAAGGAGGTTTTGCTGTCTCACTGGAGAACTGACAGGCACTTTCTCTTTCCCTTTCTTCGGCCAGACCATGTGGATAGAAAGGACCACGTATACCACAGCATATACCTTTCCTGGGATTCTCAAGTGGTTTGAAGTCAAACAGATTTCCACAGTGAGTCATTTGCAACTGGGACTCAGACAAGTCTTTCTTTCTCCAGATACAGTCGGAGCCTTTGTAAACCCCCGTCTAGTTCTCAGAGCCTGGCCGGCCTCCTCAGGCCAATTTCGTTTTCAAAAAAGAGAAATAAAGGAGGTGCTTGTATGATGAAATTCCTCTGTAAAACTGATGTGACAACAGCACCCCAAAAGGTTACTCAGAATGAAAGAGTCTTCTATGACAAATGAGGCTGGTCTAGACAACAGAAACATTTGGGGAATGCCTCCTTTGAGTTTCCTGTCAGTCACATTCCCCTCTCTTTGAGATTCCCCTTGGTTTGTGCCCAGCATACACATCGCCAGTCACCCTAAATTCTTCAGTCCTCATCACCCCGACAGCTGCCCGTTCAGCCCCCTTAATATTTATTCAACCTGCCTTACTTCTGGTCTCTTCTTTGAGTCTGCAGATATCATTGAAGAAGCTTTCTGCTTTGCCTTCTCAGGTCCATTTTCCTCCCCACCTCAGGAGGGGGGAATCTCAGGGTATAAGCCCCATCGTCCTCACTAGCACCCTCTCCATCTCTGGCCCCAGACGATAAAGCCCATGATATTTTTTTCTTTTGATGAGTTGGGAGGCCACCCCCAGCGAGGCTCAGGGCTTACTCCTGGCTCTGCACTCAGCTATAATTCCTGGTAGCGCGTGGGGGACCAGATGGGATGGAACCCGGGTCAGCCATGTGTGGGCAAGTACCTTACCTTCTGTCCTGTCTCCCTGGCCCAACATTCTGTGATTCTTAGCACACACATCCAAGGTCTTTGCTACTCTCAGCCTTTCCTGCCCCCCCTCCTATGGAAAACACTGGAACTAAACCACTCATTCCATACTGTTCCGCTTCTCTTTGGCAGCGGGGCCATATTCTCTATCCTCACTGCTCTTTCCCCATTTCTTCACTAAATCGGAACCAATGGCACCAAGCCATCTTCGAGTGCCTTTTCTCTGTGCCCTGTGGGAGGCCTTTTGGTAATGACTTACCTACACTCTTTAGTCATCTTAAGACCTGCTCTACTATCTCTCCAGCCCTTGGCGGGTGTTTTATACTTTTTGAGGGGAGGAGGGAGGCTTTTCCCATCCTCTGCTATGAACTCACCAGTGCTCTGTCACAGGAGGAAATTAGCCCTCTGGAGAACGCCATCGAGACCATGGAGCTCACCAACGAGAAGATCAGCAACTGCGTGCAGCAGCACGCCTGGGACCGTTCCCTGTCCGTGCACCCACTCTCCATGCTGCTTAGTGGCATTGTCGACCCTGCCGTCATGGGGGGCTACTCCAACTATGAGAAGGTGGGCCTCGGGTTCCCTAGTTCCGGTGTGTATCTGCCTGTGCACCCCTGTACAGTGGTGAATTGGTTTCTTGACCACTGCTCTGAGAGATTTTTCATTCTGCCCTTTCCCCGTGGGCAAAGGAAATTAATGAAAAGTATAGCACCGGACACAGAGAGGAACCGTCGCAAGATGATCTCTCTCATATGTGGGATATAAAGAAACCTCGTAGGGGAATATCAAATGCCACTGGCAATAGAAATGAAAAGCAGAACTGGTCTTCAGTAGGAAGATTGGCGGTGGGGCAGGAGTGAGGGGGGATAACTTAGGGAATGGAACTCTAGGACAGTGGGGGAGAGGGGAAAGTGCCTGCCACACACACACACAGGCTGGTGGGCTGAAGGGAAACCTTGGACATTGGTGGAGGGTAGGGGGCACTGGTGAAGAGACTGGTGTTGGAACAATATTACACCTGAAGCTCAATCTTGAATAGCTTTGTAACTTTGTAATTCACGGTGATTCAATTTTTTAAAAAAGTTTAAAGAAAAAAGATGGGGTTGGAGAGAGAGTACAGTGGGTCCGGTGCTTGGCTTGCATTCAGCCATTCTGGGTTCCATCCCTGCCATACCCAGTCCCCTAAGTCCTGCCAGGAGTGGCCCACGAATGAGATCCAGAAGTAAGCCCTCAGCACTGCCAGATGTGACACCCCCCCCACACACACACACATACACAAAAAAAGTAAGAAGAAGAAAAGAAAATCAACAGAAAGTTTATTTCAATTTCATACCTTTTCAAGACTGTAGTAATCCAACTTCTTAATAATAATGGTACCTGTCTGATAATGCGTCGCCCCTATAGAGCTGCCCCTCACTTGCTGCTGCCTCTCTCACTCCCCCTCTCCTGAACATAGAGACTTACAGATGGACCCTGGGGTGGAGAATGTTCTGGAAATGAAGTAGCATCTTTAGGAAAGGCAGAGCCACACTCTATATAACAACGTCTAGGAAGCCTCCTCAGCCGGGTGTAACTGGAGATATGTGAGCAGAGGCTGGCCATGCCTCTGAAGTTAAACTAATTCGAGTATTGCGAACTACCATTCTGGGAGATTGTGACAGGAGTCTCACTACATATGAATCCGTTGCTCGGAGTTTGGATGAAACACTGTTTATAAAAGAGGCAGTATATTCAGTAAGTAAAATTAAGTCTAATGACTAGAGACAGGATATTAATTGGTAGGTACATTTCCAGGGGTTAATGAATTTTGGAGCCTTCTTTCTGAAGAGAAATAAGAGTTTTGCTGGTACACCCCAGTGAAGAAGCCTAGAGTGCAAGTGAAAAGGAGATGGGTAGGAAGGGCACTCAGACAGGAAGTGGGCTAATTTTCTTATTTCTCTCCATACACAGTACCCTAGGCAGGTTGGGGCCTTTCAGATTGCTACTTCTCTTCCCCAGTACTGTCTTCCATTGGCCACTCAGTGCTCTTGGGCCAGATGTGTAACCTTTCTTAGCCCCAGACTTTGTACCTGAAAGTCTGTGAGGAGAAACTCTTAACTGGCAGGAGCTTCTTGGCTGAAGTGAGGCAGCCTATATGTGAGAAGCGAATTTACCATGTAGTTGAGGCCTTGCCACAGTTAGTTTTCTTCCTCCTACTACTTGGAGCTGAACGGTGACCCAAGTGTTCACTGCGAGTTCTGCGTTCGAGTTTGTGACAGATCCTGCAGCCGTTTTCCTTTCTTTTCTTTCCCAGCTCTCAGCTTTCGTAGTCACATTATCCTGAACCGCAAACACAGACTCAATAGCAGAGATAGGGAGAGGTGGGGGCATGGTGACTGGACCAGAGGTGACACAGGGACAGTTCTGGAGGCTGGTGGGCACTTTGGCAATGGCAGGGTGTAGTGACTTTGTATGTCAATACCATATACTTGAATACTGAATACTTGTTATTGTTGTTTTGGGTCACACCCGGCAATACTCAGGACTTGTTCCTGGTTCTACACTCAGGGATCACACCTGTTGGGACTCAGGGGACCTTATGTGGGGCCAGGATCGAACCCAGGTTGGCTGCATGCAAGGCAAATGCCCTACCTGCTCTACTATCACTCCAGCCCCACCTAAAAATTTTTGTAATCATGTTACCTAAACTATAACACAGTTTTAAGTTCGGTTATTACACTTTCAGCAACAACAAAAAAAAGTGAAACAGGTGAATTTTCTTTTTCCCATGTTAGGTTTCAATAATAATTTCTGGAAATACAGTTGAATTTAGCATTATTCTTTTTTTAATACTATGTTGCTTTCACTTTGTATTTTTCCTTAGCTAGATGGCACTTATTTGGGGGTGTTTATTCAACTTAAAGTTTTTCAAATTTATTTTATTTTATTTTGCTTTGGGATCACACCGTGTTGCTCAGAACTTACGCCTGGCTCTGTACTCAAGAATCACTCACTCCTAGTAGGGGGGGGGACACACATGGGTGTGTTGGGAGTCAAACCCAGGCTGCTTCTTGCAAGGCAAACACTTTACCCACTGTACTATCTCTCTGGTTCCTGTCACCTAAAGTTTTTAACTCTGAGTTTATACAGAATGTCCCTAAACTCAGATTTATACATGACAATATATCTAAATTACATATCCCTTTATATAAATATGATAGTCTTCTAATTATAATGCGGGGGGGGCAAAGGATATATGACAAATACAAATGTTTAGGACCTTTTGAATAAAATGACGATTTATTTATTTATTTATTTATTTATTTTTGCTTTTTGGGTCACACCTGGTGATGCACAGGGGTTACTCCTGGCTCTGCACTCAGGAATTACCCCTGGCGTTGCTCAGAGGACTATATGGGATGCTGAGAATCGAACCTGGGTTGGCCACGTGCAAGGCAAATGCCCTACCCGCTGTGCTATCGCTCCAGCCCCCACAATTTATACTTTTAATTAATATGTTTGTGGATTTCCAAGCATAAAGAAATGGAATTCTTACTGACCACTGTGACCTATTGCAATGAAGGTGACATAGATGCATTAGTGAGAAGAACACAGGAGTTGTTTGCTATAATTCATCAGGTCTTTCTATTTTGAAGCAGAACTTAGAAAAATGAATTTTAGGGTTCTTTTCTTCAAGTAACCCTACTTTTTTAGAAATTTGAGTTCATTTTCTTATGTATCAATAAGTTTTCTTTAATTCTAAAATATTAAATGCCTATATTTGAGATAGTAGAGCAAGTGTGGTGCTTGCGTTGCACAGAGCCAACCTAAATTCGATCTCTGGTGTCACCTATGGTCCCCCAAGCCCTATTAGGGGTGATGTCTGAGCACAGAGTTAGGAGTTTTACCTGTGCACCATCCAATGTTGCCCCGAAACCAAATAAATAAATAAATAAATACCCCTTTATTTGAAAGGCAGCGACAAATAAAATTTTGCAAATTCTGTCTTCATATTTACGTTGACTGTCCTCTGCGTGGGTAGGGCGTTTGCCTTGCGTGCAGCCGGCCTGGCCAAGCCAGATTCAATTCCTCTGACCCTCTCGGAGAGCCTAGCAAGCTACCAAGAGTATCTCGCCCACACAGCAAAGCTGGGCATGCTACCTGTGACATATTCAGTTCTCATACTTTTTGGCTTTTTTGTGGGTTCACACCCGGCGATCCACAGGGGTTGCTCCTGGCTCTGCACTCAGGAATTACTCCTGGCTGTAGCTCAGGGGACCATATGGAATGTGGGAATTGAACCTGGGTCAGCTGCGTGCAAGGTAAACGCTCTACTCCTCAGAAGCAGCATTTTGAATTCATTTTAAAAGACAGATACTTAGATTTACTTAACATGAGAAAAAATATGAAGGAGCCTATGTAAACTCTGTAGAGCATAAAGCTATCAATCAGCACATCTCTTATTTTCACCCTTTGCAATTTAGTCTCTGTGTACTTAATCTGATGAATAATCCTTAGAAGTACCATTTAACCTTGTGCTAATTCTTTGGGGGGAAATTATTTTAATTAATGATGGTATTTATGGAGAATATATCTTTGCTAAGAGTTGCATGATTCCAGAAAGGCCACAGAATAGTATCTTTTTGAATTGGCCACTGTGACCTAAGAGCTGTCCAAGGATTGGAAGGGATATTTAGTCCTTCCTGGTTTGTCATGATAGAATACAAAGAGTTTTGACACACTTCTTGGCTTCCCTCCTGTCCCTGTTTAGGATCATCTACACAGGTAGGAATCTTTTCTAATCAGCACTCCTCTGTGCTCTGTTTTTTAGGCATTTTTTACAGAGAAATACTTGCAGGAGCATCCTGAAGACCAGGAAAAGATTGAGCTACTGAAACGGCTCATAGCATTGCAGGTAGGCCTCACGGGAAGTGATGGCTGGTAAGCATCTCTGGGGTTTGTGGCAGCCACAGGGCCTGTTGCCAGGATGTTGTCTAGGGCCTAGTTTTCATGCCCACCTTTTTCTTCTTTACATCGTTTCTTTGTATGTTATTTGGAATCCCTGGCTCTCAATTTACTTCTTTGCTTGACACAGTAGCCTAGGAATGATAGCACGTGAAACTGCATCTTGCAGACAGGGAGCTTCTTAGAGTCAGCTTCCAGAGTGTTTCCTGGCCCGTGTTTCCAGCTGAGGGGTGTTGGTGTGTTTGCTTCAGTTTGTCTCACTGCTGCAGTAAGCACTGGGTGAGAATGCAGCTCCAGTGCAGTCTAATGTTGGGACTATCGGTTGCTCGTACACACAAGTGCTGCCAGGTTTAGGGGGGGTTGGTCTGCTGGAGCCAGCTCTCCCCAGCATGGCCCTGTATCCTTGATGTTTGTATTCTCTGCCTCATGGACCCAAGAGCATCCTGCTCCCAAGCTCATCACTGAGAAGTACTGTTTGGACTTGTCAGCACTATATCTACGAGCTCACCTCTCCGTCCCCTTCCCCAACCTTCACATCATGGGTGTTATTTTCCTTAATCATATTTCCATTCTTTCATGCTTTTCCCCCCAGATGCCTTTATTGACAGAGGGGATCCGCATTCATGGGGAGAAGCTGACGGAGCAGCTGAAGCCGTTACATGACCGCTTGTCTTCTTGCTTTAGGGAACTGAAGGATAAAGTAGAAAGGCTCTACGGGGTGATCACACTGGTAGGCTTTTTCTCATTCCTTTTACCTTTGATACTATTGTTGGAGCAATAGCACAGTGGATAAGGCGTTTGCCTTGCACGCGGCCAACCCGGGCCGAGCCAGGTTCGATTCCTCCACCCTTCTCGGAGATCTCAGCAAGTCACCAAGAGTATTGCGTCCGCCTAGCAAAGCCTGGCAAGCTACCCGTGACATATTCAATATGCCAAAAACAGTAATAACAAGTCTCACAATGGAGACGTTACCTGTGCCTGCTTGAGCAAATCGATGAACAATGGGAGAACAGTGCTAAAGTGCTACTATTGTTGCATTTCTCAGATATGAATATAGTAGCATTGCTATAGCTTTTGATAATCATGGGGGCAGAGCACAGACACCAGAGTCTCCAGCCGATGATCTTCAGTCATCGTTGTGCTAGGTGGGGGTTCTCAAACATGAACAACAGCAAGAACTGGAAGAAATGTGAAAACAGGTTGTTAGGCCACGTCCCCAGAATTTCTCATTTACTAGATCTGAGATGAGACCTAAGAATTTGCAGCTTCCAGGTTGGTGTTATATGGGGCCCACACTGAGACCCACTATGCCAGAAGGCGTATTTCTTCTGAATCCCTGATAATTGCTCATCACCTATGTCATCTAATTCTTATGTTCTTCACTAATCAGTTTTTGTTTTGATGAAATTTATACTTTCCAGAAGACATTTGAAGGGAAAATTGTCAGGTATATTTTATATCTTCTAGTTCTTTTTTTGAAATTTTCTTTTCTGACAATTCTAATGATTCTCATTGGTATGACTTTTTTTTTTTCCTTCTGGAAAATTGGGTCAAAGTATGATCGTGCTAATCTTTCTCTCCAACTTTTCTTTTGTTTTGCTTTCTTTAATAATCTGATTTTTGGGTCTCTTGTTCTGAAAAGTTCTTTATTCAAATCAATGTTATAAAATTCTTTTCTTATACTTCTCACCCCCTTCTATACCTACGTTTTCCTACAGACTGTCTCTTTGATCATCTCTTTCAATCATCTGAGTATTCAGTTATGCCTTCCTAGGAATTTACCTCTTCCTTTTGTTCCTGAATTTACTGCCAGGTTATGTTCTAGGAACATTCTGTCACAAGTTCCTAGGTGACAAATTCTGATTTTGACCTAGTGAGTTTAGGTGCTATTCTGGTTATTATTAGTATGCACATTTGATATTGCATATTGGATAATCAGTCCTATTCATGACATTTCTTACGAAAGTAGATCAAAATTCTAGGACTTCCTAAGATTCACCAGAATAAGTTTTGGGTATATAGTTCCAATAAAAGATTTTTTCATTTAATAATGGCCAATAATCATTATTTGTAATGGCTCAACAAGTCTAAATTTAGGGACCAGAGAGATAGTAAGGAGTATGGTACTTATCCTTCTATGTGGCTGCGGTGACCATAGTCCTGATACAAATCCCTGATACCATATATGCATCCCTAAGCACTGCCGCCAGAGATCACTCAGGAGCCCCACCATGTATGACCCCCCAAACCAAAAAGAATCTAAATTAAGAAAGATGGGGGAGGGAAATTGGGGTGGGTGCTATTTTATGGTATATAATGCAAGCTACTGATGATTAAATTTTATTCTAAATATAGAAACAATATCAATTTAGCCTTATGTCTAAAAATGCAAGTATTCCCAGCATTTAACAGTGGTTGCAGCAGAGGCTCCAACCAGTAAGGATGTGACCAGTGTAATGTGCACTCACTGCAGACAGTGGGACCTGCAGTGATTTCTGTGGGCGGAATTCCAGACAACTAACCTTGAGGGACCGTTTGTTCATCAGCCCCCCAACTTGACTGAAAGGAAGCCAAGCCGCACAGGGTCTATGGTGCTCCCCTACATCATGTCCTCTACTCTGCGGAGATTGTCTATCACTTCCGTGACCTCCTCTGTGATTTCCACCTCTTCCAACTCATCAGATACTGCTCCCTCCAGACCAGGCTCTGATGGGTAAGTGGCTGATCTTGAATCAGCAGCAGAGGGTGTGGGCTGATGCCTTGGCAAATGTTTGCTTTTCGTTTCTGAAGTGACGCTTAGTCAATGGAGATACATCAGCCCATAAGGGAAATAACTCAGGTCGCCTGGATTATTAGCTTTTCCTTTCCTCTCATTGCTCTCCCCCATGAGGAGTATAATTATTTACTTAATGATAGCAGTAATTACAGATGGCCCTGAAACTCTCATCTTTTATATTTACCAGAGACAAAAATATGTTCAAAGAGGAGTCTAGAGTACTAGGAGTTTTGTATGACTCAAGAAGGTGCTGGAATGTATGCTTTGTATGCAAGAGGTCTGAGTTTCATCTGAAGCACCACAGGGTTCCCTGAGCACCACTGGGTAGGCCCTGAAAACCAATAAATAAATAAATGATTTAAGAAACTTATGAGTCAGAAGTAAAGCAGCTCATGAATCAAAGTATAAGTGAATTTGTTTGGATCCTGATATACACCAACCACCTTTAAAAATAATCGTGGGAGGGTCCAGAGAGTTAGTACAGCAGGAAAGGCACTTACCTTGCATGAGACCAACCCAGCTTTAATCCACGGTGTCCCATCTGCTTCCCTGAGCTCCACTAGGAGTGATTCCTGCAGGCAGAGCCAGGAGTGACCCCTGAGCATTGCCGGGTAAGGTCCGAAACACAAAAGAAGTTAAAAATGAAGCAATCAGAGGAAAATCAGGAAATTTGAACATTGGCTGAGTATTTGATAAAATTAGGGAAATGGGGTGAGAGTTGGGTAATGAAGATGGTTACTTATAACTATATGGATTGAAATCTGAAATATTCTAGAATGATTATCAAGAAATTACTTCCAAATAACCCAGTGGAGAGTAAGGAATGGGACATGATATATAAGAAATAACATGCTGGCTGGAGAAATGGTATAGCAGATAGGGATCTTGCATATGTTTGACACGGATTCCATGCCCAGCATCCCATATGGTGCCTTGAGCTGCCAGGAGTGATCCCTGAGTGCAGAGTAACCATTGAGCACTACTGGTTGTGGTCCAAAAACAAAGGAAGGAAAGGTGGAAAGGTGGACAAGACATGCTGAGATCATTGCTGAGACTGAGTTATATGTGCTTAGGCATGTATTATATTTTCTCTTCATTTTACATTTGAAATTTTCCATACATATAAAAACTCTTTTATCTCCTCTAAATACTTCTATTCTTGTATTTAATAACTAGTGACTTCAAATGTTAAGAAATTATAATGTATAAGTGTTTCTTATATATAAAGGCATTTGCCCTGCATCTAAAATATGTAGTTGTAATTTACTAATGATGCTATCCGATGCAGCAAAATCTTTTTATTTTTAAATAGGCAACACTGATGAATGTTTTTATTATTGCCCCATTTCATTCCAAAGATTTTTGTTTGTTTGCTTTTTGGGTCACACCCGGCATTGCTCAGGGGTTATTCCTGGCTCTGTGCTCAGCAACTATTCCTGGCAGTACTCGAGGGACCCTTTGAGATGCTGGGGATCAAACCTGGGTCAGCCAGGCAAGGCAAATGCCCTACCCGCTGTACTATCTCTCCAGCCCACATACCAAAGATTTTCATGTTTATGAACTTTAGGAGCAGTTTCACGTTCACAGAAATCTCAAACAGAAAGTGCTGATTTCCCACACATCCCTACTCTATCTGCATATACCAACTCCTCTGTCATCAGGAAGCAGAGTGGCACATGAGCTGCCTCCAATAAGCCTATATTGACAAATCTTTATTACCTATCAATTTGCTTTAGGGTTCAGACTTGGTGCTAAACTTTCTGTGATTTTTGTCAAGGCATTGACCGTCATATATCTAACATACCTAAGAGTAATTTTGTTGCCCTAAAAATTCCATCTATTCATCTCCCCAAACCTTTGTTTTTGTACAACAAAATCTACTAATATTTGATCAAACCAGAGTTTGTTAAATACCTATTTAGAAGCTATAGTTGCCTATACTCATTGTGAAGCTATATCTTTCTCCAGCCACTTAAAAAATTGGAGTCGAGGGCAGAGGGATAGTACAGCCTGTACTACCTTGAATGCAGTCAGCCTGGGTTTGATCCCATTTGGTCCTCTGAGCTTGCCAGAAGTAATCCCTGAGTACATAACTAGGAGTAAGCCCTAAGCATCACTGGGTGTGTCCCAAAAGCCAAAAAATGAAAATAATTGAAGGGAGGGCACATTCCTTCACACACGCGCGCACACACACACACACACACACACACACACACACACACACACACACACCCTCTTCCCCCACTCCCATTAACTTTATCATCTGTGAGTAGGCTGCACATAATCATGCAAAGAGCAAGGAGATTGTCGTCTCTAATTACGTACTATGATCTAAGTTTAGGATATTTGACATTGATGGAGTTCTGTAAGCACAGCCCATAATCCTGCCTTGGCAGTCGTCCCAATAATGCCTTCTTTAGTAATTTCCCAGAGAATCCCACGAAGATCATAAGCAATATTAAGTTGAAATTGTTTCCATAACAATTTCTGTCTTTTTTATGATATTAGCACTTTTTTCTTTTAGATCATGGGCCAAGTACCTTTAGAATTTTTCTTAATTTTGGCTGATTTTTATTGGTACTCAGGATTCAGATTATACTTTTTAGTGTAGTGTGTCTTTTTCAGATCTCATACCCGGAAGCACACATTATATCTATTTCTCCCTTACTGGTGATAACTGATTATGTGGTTAAAGATTTTATTCAGAAAAAAACAATTTTATCTAGTTAATATTCTTTGTAGTTACTATTTTCCCCTTGTAATTAATCAGTAATGTATGGGAAAATATTTTGAGAGTCCTCGTCAAACATTCCCCCCCCCAACCTTCAGATATGGTAGCACTATAGCACTGTCCTCCCGTTGTTCATCAGTTTGCTCGAGCAGGCCCAGTAACGTCTCTGTTTATAATTCTTGAATAGTCCATTTTCACTATGCAACTTTAAAAATCCACCATTGGGCTGGAGATTAAGAGCAGGTCTTATGGTACTTGCACCCGGCTAAGTCTGGTTTGATTCTCAGCACCACATATGTTCCCTTGAGCACCACCAGGAGTCACTCCTGAGCACAGAGCCAGGAATAAGCCCTGAGCACAGCAAGGTATGGCCTACCAAAACAAATGAAATAGGTGCTGGAGCAATAGTATAGCGGGTAGGACATTTGCCTTGTATGTGGCTGAGCTGGGTTCAATTCCCAGCGTCCCATATGGTCCCTGAGTACCACCAGGAGTAGTTCCTAAGTGCAAAGCCAGGAATTACCCCTGTGTATTACCAGTTGTGACTCCAAAAATATATAAATAAATAAATAAAATCATTACAAAAACATTTAAAGAATACTTGGATATGCTAGGTATTATAATAATTATACTTATATAATTATTATATTATAATATAATATAATAATGTTATATTTTGTCACTTTGTCACATCCCTATGAAGTACATTTCAGTTATTATTCCTCAGATAACAAATCTAAAGTATAAAAGGGTTTTCTTCCCAAAGTCATCCACTAAGTAACCATAGGTGGGATCTAAACACAGTGTTTCTTACTCCACAACAACTACTATTTATTATCCTCTACATAGAGTTGCCTTTTACTCTTTTTTTCTATATAAATTCTTTGCATGTAAATTTAATGTTAAGTGGTGGCTGAAAATTCTGGTTATGAGACTGTGTCACAGGTCAGGGTTAGGTCAAGTAGTTCTTTCTAGAGCAATCCTTTCTAGAGTCAATATTGACTGTCAGCTGATCAGAGTTTCTTGATTTTTGTCTTTCTTCTTGGTTGATAGGTCCATTTTGGAGCCACTTTTGGAACGTAGAGCGTCCTCGGGTGCCAGAGTTGACGACCTGACACTTAAAGAGGACAGTGAGAACCGGATCAACAAGTTGAAGAGAAAAGACTGGAATCTGAGCAAGTCCCAGGTCATTGCAGAGAAAGAACCAGAACCTGATCTGATGGTAAAGAGAAAAACGATGCCCTGGAGGGTTACCAATAAATGTGTCCCCAGCAGCCAGGCACGTTGCCATTCATTTCCCAGCTGTGAGTCACCAGCATGGCTGTGAATCCCGCCACACAGAAGCCCGGGGGAGCGACAGATCCCAGAGAGTGCTAAGAAAAGCACACGGAGAGAATCCAAATCCCTAAATCAATATTGCTGCGAGATCTTGCCCCACAATATAAACATGTGGGTTGAGGCTTGGAGTTGTGGTTCTCCCCACCATGTGCCATGAGTCAGTCCAAACATTACCATTTGTCTTACCATAAAAAGCACCTTTCTTTTTTTTTTCTATAAGCCACGTCAAGTATGGCAAGGCCAACTTTCCCTGAGAATCAGAGTGACTCGTTTCTAATCTGGCTAAAAAACACTTTAGTCTGTTCCAGTATGCTAACTGCAGGACAAGATGGCAAGCTCTTGGAATAAAGCCCTCCAATGGGCTTCTGCTCAACAGAGAGGCCTGTTCTTATGTGAAAATGCTGTGCTGTTCTCTCTCTCTCTCTCTCTCTCTCTCTCTCTCTCTCTCTCTCTCTCTCTCTCTCTCTCCTAGAGCCCATCCAAAAAAGCACAAAGACCAAAGAGTCTTCAGTTGATGGACAATCGGCTGACACCATTTCAAGGTTCTCCACCTCCTCAGTCAATACCCCTGAGCCCACCTCCACTCACTCCCAAAGCTACCAGGACCCTCAGTAAGTTTTCCTATATCCCTTCTATTGCAGCCTGAAGTATATATGTGAAGCTGAGCGATTTCTAACTAGATCATCCACAGTGTATAGGAGGCTAGTGTAAAGCTGGTTCAGTTCAGTGGTGGGTTTAGAGTTTGACAGGCACCGTGGGTGGCTGGTCTCATTAAACTTTTCTGTCTTGCGATCCGGAGCACCTCACTGCCCCTTTCCAGTGGTGGAAGGTAAATGAGGTGGATCTGGGCTAGGACCAGACAGGAATCAAATATTTTATGAACTATTACAATAGCACAGCAGTAGGGCATTTGCCTTGTGCGCAGCCGGCCCAGCCAAGCCGGGTTCGATTCCTCTGCCCCTCTCGGAGAGCCCGGCATGCTATCGAGAGTATCTCGCCCACGTGGCAAAGCCTGGCAAGCTCCCCGTGGCATATTCAGTATGCCAAACACAGTAACAATAAGTCTCACGATGGAGACGTTGTTGGGCCTGCTTGAGCAAATCGATGAACAACTGGAGGACAGTGCAGTGCTAGATAAATATCTATGTTTTTATATAGGTCAGGGTCCAAAATAATGACAAGCAATGGACCCCTTTTATATTTTACTTAACGTCTAGCATGGAGAAGTGGTAGTGTGCAGTGCTTGAGAACAAGTTGCAAAGTGCCTATGATACAGACGCATATCAGACAGAAGGACAAATTATAGGAAACAAATGATAGACTCAGTTCACTGAGAATGAAAGCTAATCTGTTAAGGTTTGCTGGAGGAAGTGGCTATTGCACCTTGTAAGTGGTTAAAAAACCAAGACGACTCAGTGACTTTTAAGCAAAATTCAGGAACTGCCTACTCTGGGGCAGGATGATTTTTAGATTATAAACACTTGAGATGGGTGTATCAGACAATCAAGGCATGCCCTACTTTGAGGAAAATATCTTCATCTTTGGTATAATAATGAAGTCTTGAACAGTATAGAAGTCTTGAAAAGTATAGAATTTTTCCCTCACAACTTCTTGTGATGCTTTTTGATTAATGAAAAGTTTTTCCTGGTTTGTCACAAGGGATAAGGGACCTTATCTCAGCATAGCAGTCTAATTCACCAGATTGGTGTCAGTATTGCAAAGAAAGAACAAATCCTGAGATTCCTTGACCCTCCTCTCTGCCTTCATGTGCTTCGTATCCTCTCCAGGCTCTCCATCTCTGCAGACAGATGGAGTGTCAACCACTACTGTCCCACCTCCACCGCCTCCCAAGACCAGCCAGAGGAACTCCACAGAGGTAAGGACAATGCCTGACACCTGGGCCCTTGAGGGCACCCTTTGAGGAATGTAGCCCTGAATTTTCTGAGCTTTGTAGTTGGCAGGTTTTCCCACAGATTTGTCACTTGAATCAGGTTTTGGTTCTTAAAACATATAAGATAGGGGAGTTTTCAATGAGAAGGAAATAGAGGCAAATGGTTTTTTTCTTCTGGTTAAAAAGTAGACCCTTTTCTATACCTTATCCTGGGTAAAAAGTGAGTCCTGATTCTCGTTTGATGAATTGACTCATCTGCATGAGTCATCATTATTCTGGAATGGTTCAGACAACTTCTCCTCTATTCATCCAACAAATATTGAGGGCCCGTCATTTGAATGCCAAGGGCCAAGCGTGAGGGATATGGTTGGGGTATGTCTGATTAACTCAAGAACAAGGGACAATGCAGCAGTCTGACTTCTTTATGAAGATTGTATAGATAAAGTGAAATCAGATAGAAGCTTGGGCAGGATGATGGAAATATAGACAAAAAGTCAGTTGGGAAGAAAACAGACTCATTTCTACTTTCCTGTGCCAACTCCCTCAGATTGCTCCCCCACTGCCTGTCAGAAGAGATGCCAAGGCCCCACCCCCTCCACCTCCAAAAGCTCGGAAATCTGGAGTCCTTTCTTCTGAGCCTGGATCCCAATGAAGGTTCTACTCTTTCTGGAACTTGAAGCAACTTGGACCGCTAAAGCCTGAGAATTGACCTCCATGGGCAATTGTTCCCAAATCTCATTGCACGTGGTGTCCTGCTGACTACCTTTCCTGTTCCCCCTTTGGGGTTAATCAGACAAAAATTCGTTCTATTTGTTTAAAAGATTCTTTTGGAGATCAATACCTACAGACGGCCACATCTACGGAACATGGAGTTCCAGAATAGCTGTATCCCGTGCATTTCTCAAAGCAGAGCTCTTGTCTCACCGTTGTTACATGACAGCTGCCAAGGCAGAGCCACTGACCCTGAAGATGCTCAAAGATCTTCCTCTACGATAGTGATAGTATAAAATCAGTCACCTGTTCCTTGGTGGGATTTCTTGTGCTTCTGAAAAACTGCTCTTGAGATTCACTTTCCTCACCATCCATTGAACATGTTGGAAGAAACTTCGATCACATACATTTTGAAGGTTGAAGTAATATCTTTCTAAGGTCTTTCTGTCTCCCTTGAAGATAAGAATACCTTTGGATGGGAGACTGTCTTCTTCGGGGCATGTGTGTCTATCATGATTGAAAAAAAAGTGCACCCAGTGTGACTTCTGAACTCCTATGTCCTCCCTACCTCCCCCCTCCCCATTTGTGACAAGAAAAAACTGTCTGCCTCCACAGGAGTCACTCGTGTCTAATGCACACCAGTCACTTCTTCCTAGACAAATTCCTCTAACGCTTTCTTGTCCTGTTGCCTCTTTTGAGTGCAAATCACTGGATATACGGAACTCTAAAGCTTAGATTCAAGAGCTCAATTTGCAGATTCCATTTGAAGGGCCCATGGCTCCTCTCTGCTTTTACCCTGGAGAACACAGTGCAATATCTCATTTTGATTATTTATTCCTCTTGATCATGGAGTTAATTTGACGATGTGTGTATGATAGCAATGCCAGTAGTCTTTTCAGAAAAAATATAACGGGGTCTTTTCAATGATCAAATAATACCTATATTGTACATAAATAGCAATACGAAGTTAGAGATATTTTGAGCTGGAAGAGTCTCAAAAAGCTTATACATGAAGCCCTTTGTTTTTTGTAGGTATGAATAGTGAGTCTGAACACAGAAAATTGTACTACATGTTCTTATTAATAATGCAGCTTGCTACTCTAGGCTCCACCAAATCATCCCGATCTAGATCACATTCCCATAACACTTTACAACCTGCTCCTAGTTGGTACAAGAAAGAAAATGTCCCAGATATTTCTTCTTTCTTGCTTTCTTGCTTTCTTGCTTTCTTGCTTTCTTGCTTTCTTTCTTGCTTTTAGGATCACATCCAGCAATGTGCAGAGGTTGCTCCTGTCTCTACTCTCAGGAATTACTCCTGGCTGTGCTCAGGGGACCATATGGGATGCTGGGGATCGAACCCAGGTCAGCTGCATACAAGGCCAATGCCCTACCCACTATACTATCGCTCTAGCCCCTGTCTCAGATATTTCTACACTCTTAGATCAAGCCTGTTTTGTTTTGTTTTTAAATCATGAATCCCGGAGGACAACCTGAGGGTTATCTATTAAGGTTTCCCTCATGAATTCTCACAATCCTCTTTCCTCAAGGAGGGTGATTTCAGCTTAAAGAATTTGGATCAATTTGTCAGCCTCAGTGCGCTTCTTTCAGTACCATCTCTTTGAGGAAAGATATCCCAGCTGCTCACAATGTCAAAAAGCAGCCTCCTCTGAAATATGTCCAGTGTCACTCAAGAAATGAGTAAGCATGTTCTAGAAGTGGTGAGGAGAAGGGGTCCTCATCCATTCAGGAGAACTCCATGGTGACTTAGTGGAAAGAATGTGCGCTGTAGAATGAGTCTCAGCTGGTCTCTGCTCTTCCCTGCTAAACTATACACTTTGCAGATTCTCACAGGTATTTGAAATTCTCTAAGCTTTTATTTCCCCACATTTCAAAAAGGGATTACCACAGGTTGTTGTGAGATTTCATGTCGGCTCAAACAAAATTACAGGTCCTTCCTGTTCTCTGCTAGGCCTAGAGCATTGTAATATCCTCCTCTTTCCCCCCAGGTGATTTAGAATTGAGTGCAGGTCAGTTCTTCACACACCACTCCTCTCTTAGAATCTCTGACATCATCTTGTATGGCTAGAGACACAGTGGTATTAAGAACTGAAGAAGATTCTTGGAGCCAGTACTATATTATAGCAGGAAGGACTCTTGCCTCACATGTGGCTGACCCGGGTTCAGTCCCTGGCATCCCATATAGTCCACTTGCACTGCTACAAGTAATTCCTGAGTGCAGAGTCAGGAGTAACCCCTGATCATTGCCGGGTCCCAAAACAAAAACAAAAGGTTACCTAGTCAGTGTTGACAGAGCCCAGAGCAGCTTCTGAGAAGTTCCTTGGCTGGAGGGGTTCTGAATTTTCCCACCCTGCTTTTCTAGTTGTGTTTAAAAGATGTTGTGTCACCTCCGGGTTGGAAAATAAATCCAACCGTTCAGTTAGTCCTGGCAGAGCAGTAGAAATGCAAGATAGTCTTTGATTAAGCACTGTAGCACTGTCCTCCTGTTGTTCGTCGATTTGCTCGAGCAGGCCCAGTAACGTCTCCATTGTGAGACTTATTGTTACTGTGTTTGGCATATCGAATATGTCATGGGGAGCTTGCCAGGCTTTGCGTGAGGGCAAGATACTCTGTAGCTTGCTGGGCTCTCTGAGAGGGGCGGAGGAATCGGACCCTGCTCGGCAGGGCCGGCTGCGGGCAAGACAAACGCCCTACCACTGTGCTATTGCTCCAGATCAGTGCCCAGATACCTTCCCTTCTTTCATATAACTTTATTTCCCATCTGAGTTCCTTTCCACGTTCTTGAAAATACTAGGATATCTCTGCCTGAACACAAAGCATCCTGGGTAATGTTGTAAAAAATAAATTACAAAGGTCATTGGAAGATGCATCTTCTTGGGAAGCCATTGTGTAGGATAGTTTTACCTGATAAAAGATCGCAAATAAAGTCTGTTCTAAAGCCAAAGAAGAAAACAGCAAAGAAATTCCTGCTAACATTTTATTTTGGAGCCATGGAAGTAAGGGGGAACAAGAACTGATGTTTATGTTCCTTGAAAAGAACTCTGGAGTATTGTAAGGCATTAAAAATCACACCCAAATGGTCACATTTGTGGATATTCGTTTATGAGATTGGTTTAAATCCTTTTCTTCTCTTTCTCTGTCATGGTGACTTGTCTTACTTTAAGAATTTTTTTTTTTTTTGGACAACTGTTTGACCCCTCCGAAACAGTTCAATGTGTTGAATCATCGACCCCAAATACAAAGACTACATGCTACATGATTATGCTACATGATTAGAAAGTTTGTAATGCCTTGGGGCTGGAACAATAGCACAGCGGGTAGGGCATTTGCCTTGCACGCAGCCAACATGGCCGATACAGGTTCGATTCCCAGCATCCCATATGGTCCCCTGAGCACCGCCAGGGGTGATTCCTGAGCGCAGAGCCAGGAGGAACCCCTGTGCATTGCCAGGTGTGACCCAAAAAGCAAAAAAAAAAAAAAAAAGAAAAGAAAGTTTGTAATGTCTGAAGATAGTGAGACCCCTCATTTAGACTGTGGGTCCAGGGACTGTCCCCCCTTCTCCTTCTCACCTTGACTCCAGTGTTGTAGAATCATCTGTGAGAAAATGCTGCCCTAAAGTTTACCTTCAATCTTTTCAAGCTGCAAGAGTCTTCCCCCTTCTTTGTCCTGAGACCAAGAAGTGATTTCTTACTTTAAAATTGATACATGCCTCACATACTGGAAAGTAGACAAGTCTGAGGTATACCGATAGATCAGATTTTACATAAATATACAACAATGCCCCGTGCCCCTCACATCCAACTATGACAACTTCAGCACTCTAGAAGGTTCTCATTTGTAAAAAGTAACTAGGAGATGCTTTGAATTTGTATCCTTCCTCCTCGCACTTCTCAGGTAACAAAAAGAGGAGGAAAAAAACTTTCAAAGACTACCTTTGGGCAAGTAATCTGTTCTGGGCCTCAGTTTCTTCATGTACATGTATATATTTGAGGTGACATGATTGTTAGCACCTTTCTTTTATTTCAAGTGAATGAAAAAGAGAAAGTGAAAATGAAGCTGTGTTTCTGTTTAAAGGCCCTTCGGTCAATGCGTGACTTTACTAGGATTTTAAAATTGAATTGAAAAAGATCCTTTCCTCTTGGGGTGGAATAAAGAGTGGAACCATTAACTTAATTATCTACCAAAGGAGAAAAAGATAGTTTTCCTTTCAGGTTGATAATTTCACACTGATTCTAATAATCCAGCCAAAGCTGATCTTTAGTAAATGCTACACAGATACTTCTTTTAGTCACATTCTATGAGTTGTTCATTCAGAATTCATCAAAAAGCGACATTGTCGTGATTTTGTAAACTGGTTGGATTTCCAACACAGACATATGGGAAAATGTACATCAAAGTAGAAACATTTTGTTCAGATTTGCTGTTATTTATTTTTTAAATTAAAAATGGAAATTATTTTCAAACTTATTGTGTTCAGTTTCTTATTACCCTTACATCAATGAAATGAAATTATTTCTGGACTTTTCCCTCTCGACATCTTCATGACGCAGTGCCTCTGCACTCCTTATGGCCTTATTTCATTGCAGTTCTTACTAGTTTTGAGTTTGCATGCTGCTGGTGGGGCAGGCTGGAAAGGCAGCCACCCTTCAATTATAATACTGCACGGTTTGAAGTCCTGGGCTTATAAGTCCTTCTTGTTTTCTTTTTCTTTTTTATTTTTATTTTTTTAACTTTTTAAATTGAATCACTGTGAGATCTCTACACAGCTGTTCATGGTCAGGTGTCAGTCATACAGTGATCTGACATACATCCCTCTACCAATGTACGTTTCCAACCCAGTGTCCCCAGTTTCCCTCCCATCACCCCCTACCCCTACTCCACACCCTCCATCCTGCCTCTATGACAGACACTTCTTCTCTCTCTCTCTTTCTCTTTCTTTAAAGAAAAATGTTCTGGGGCTTTCAAACATTTGCCAACAGTTGCTTCTTAGAGCAAAATTGCTCCTCTGTGCAGAAGATACTTGTTAAAAATGCAAGTGTTCAGACCCAAGAGACTGATTTTTCAATTTTATTTATTTTTTTTGGCTTACACATGATGATGCTCAGGTGATACTCCTGGCTCTGCACTCAGGAATTACTCCTAGCAGTGCTTGGAGGACCATGTGGGATGCTGGGGATCAAATCCAGGTCGGCCACATGGAAGGCAAATGCCCTCCCTGCTGTACTATTGCTCTGACTCATCCCCGAGACTGAATCAGTAACACTGAAACGTTTTTTGTTTTTGCTTTGTTTTGTTATGTTTTGGGGTTTTTTTGGATCACAGTCGCGATGCTCAGGGGTCACTCCTGGCTCTGCACTCAGGAATCACTCCTGGTGGTGCTTGAGGGACCATATAGGCTGCTGGGAATCAAACCCAGGTTGGCTGCGTGCAAGGCAAACGCCCTACCCGCTGTGCTATCACTCCAACCCCAACACTGGAACATCTTTGGGTCTAGGGTTTCCTTTGGAAACACTGTGTTAGAGAACCTTTTATTGTGAAAATGTATGAGTGCTATAAGGCAGGTAGGCTTTTATTTCTTCCAGTTCTTGGGCCATGGTTGGCAGTGATAAGGCTTCTATGTCATTTGTTAAAATAGTTTCTCTTGAGGCCTATTTTTGGTGGCTATTTTTGTTTGGGGGCTACACCCAGCTATGCTCGGGGTTTACTTCTGGTTCTGTGCTCAAGAGTCACTCGTGCTCTGTACACAGAGATCACAGAGATCTCCGGGTATACCAAATGCAGTACAGGGGATCAGACATCTTGGACTGCCATGCAAGGCAAGCCCATTAACCCTTCCACCTGTAAGCCATTCTTTTGGTTTCTTGATCATTTGAAGACTTGGACCTCATTCAATCTGTCCTGTCCTGTCCTGTGCTCCCATTGTTCATCGATTTGCTCGAGTGGGCCCAGTAACGTCTCCATTGTGAGACTTCTTGTTACTGTGTTTGGCATATTGAATACGTCACAGTTAGCTTGCCAGGCTTTGCCGTGCAGGCGAGATACTCTCGGTAGCTTGCTGAGCTCTCCGAGAGGGGCTGAGGAATCGAAACCAGCTCGGCTGGGCTGGGTGTGCGCAAGGCAAATGCCCTACTGCTGTGCTATCAATCCAGCCCGCTTCGGCAGCACATATACTAAAATTGGAATGATACGGAGATTCAATGTGTCACTCAGTATATTTCTGATCCTTTATTTTGCAGAGCTGGAGACTTAAATCTTTTGGAAGGTTTATTAATGAATTGATGTGTTCTGCAGATATAAGCAATCTTATTTTTTGGATCACACCTGGTGATGCACAGGGGTTACTCCTGGCTTTTCACTCAGAAATTACTCCTGGAAGTGCAGGGGGGACCATATAGGACCAAATGGAGTGCAAGGCAAACACCCTACCCACTGTGCTATCACTCCAACCCAGATTCAAGCAAATATTAAAAAATTTAATGAAACGGTCATTTGAAAATACACAGCATATACTTGTTTGTAGTCACAAACCAGTCTCTGTTAATGATATCATGTAGTTAGCTGGTCTCCCTTCAGATTCCAGTCATGGAGACCCAGCTGGATCCAAACCAAGTTTCCTGAAAATCAGGGAAGTGTATAAGGCACTTGCTTTGCATACAGCCAATCTGGGTTGATTCCTGCACCACGTATGGTCTTCTGAGCTCTCCCAGGATTGATCCCTGAACCCAACCATCCATTCCCCACCAAAAAAGGCTAAACTTGAGAAAGAAAATTTGAGATGTAGGTGATGAATATGCGTATTGCCTTTTTAAAATATATTAACTGAAGGTTGCAAATGATACTGTTATAATTTTTAAGTTACTATGGCAGATGGAAGCCACTTGCTGTCTTATCTATACTGATTAATGAAATATATTGTGAATCACATTACTGCCTAATTTTATTAAAAGGAAGACATTTTTTGATTCCCATTTGTTTAGAGACTCCTCAAATGGCGATACTTAGCAAATCAAGCTTTGAATAGTAGCAAATATTTGTTTTTAAAAGAGGAGAATGTTTTCCCTCACGTAACATTTCTGACCCTTGTTCAAGTGGAATTTTCTTCCTCAGGAATATTTCTGACTCCTGTTCAAATTCCTCAGCACAGGTTTACCTAGGGTTTTGAAAAGGAGGATAAAGGTTCTATCTGAGGTTTTTGTGTTTTTTTTTTTTTTAAGAAAAAAATTATCTGAGTCTTCATCATGTGAATACAGGTACAGTTTGCTGCTGTGACATCAGGTAAGTACCTGGGATTTGCAAATTTTTCTTTTTTGAGTTTTAGACCACCCTGAAGTTATGCTCAGGACTTACTCCCAGTTCTTTGCTCAGGGGTCATTCCTGGTGGTGCTCAGGGGACAATATAGAGGTGCCAGAGATGACTAGGTACAGGGAAGGTGCTTTAACCCCTGTACTGTCTTTCTGACCAAGAAAAATGAGTTTTTCAAATGGTTTTAGAGCCAGCTGGATATGATAAAACTGATTGTGGATATTAGCTTCGTAATTAGGGGCCTAATTGAAATAGATAGTCACCAGTAAAACCAAGTTAGCACATGAACCTGGTTTCCCGTTTCTGGTTCAATTAAGGAAGTGATGGAACTTCCTATTCATTTCCATTGGGAGTGCCTCCTAGTACAATACGAGAGGGTTGCCCATGGAGCCAGACAGAACCAGCAGGTTTCCTCCCAACCTTTTTCTTTTTTCATTTTGACTTTTTTGGGTCACACCTGGTGATGCTCAGGAGTTACTCCTCTACTCCTGGCTCTGCTCTCAGGAATTATTCCTGGTGGTGCTTGGGGGGACCATATGGGATGGCAGGGATTAAACCCAGGTCAGCCACATGCAAAGACAAACACCCTACTCACTGTTCTATCACTCTTGTCCCACAGCCCCCATTTTAAGGGAAAAACAAGCATTTTTACATCGAGGTCATTATGAAAATAATTGAATAGATTTTTATGTAGCCATAAGCCTGACACTGGTCTTGTAGACAGGACTATTTAACCATATGAGTACCTGAGTCTGATCTTTCGTGTGCTCCATACTTTAGCATTTTCAAGAGAGAAACTAAACAGATCAGGCTGGTGAACACTTATTCTTAGACCTTCATCCCAACTCTCAGTGTGCCTCAATTTAAGGGCAACTTCCTTTCCCTCCTTCCCTCCTCTTTCCTCTTCTCCTTGCCCCTTTTCCTTCCCATTCCTCCCCCCTTCCCCCTCCCCCTCCCCTCTCCTTCCTTCCCCTCTCCTCCCCTCCCCCCATTCCTTCCCCTCCCAACCTCTCCCCTTTCTTCCCCTCCCCTCCCCTTCCCTCCCTTACCCTCCTCTGCCCTCCCTTACCCTCCCCTCCCCTGCCCTCCCTTACTCCCTCCCCTCCCCTTCCCTCTCCTTCTCTTCCCCTCCCCTCCCCTCCCCTCCCCTTCCCTTCCCTTCCCTTCCCTTCCCTTCCCTTCCCTTCCCTTCCCTTCCCTTCCCTTCCCTTCCCTTTCTCTTCCCTTCCTTTTCCTTTCCTTTCCTTTCCTTTCCTTTCCTTTCCTTTCCTTTCCTTTCCTTTCCTTTCCTTTCCTTTCCTTTCCTTCCCATCCTTTTCTTTTTCTTCCTATCCCTTCCCTCTTCCCCTTCTTTTCCCCTCTTGCCCATTCCTCCTCCCTCCTCTCTCTTCCCCGTCTCCCTTCCCCATTTCCCCTTTCTCCTTACCCTCCCCTCCGCCTTCCCCTATTCCCTTTTCTTCCCCCCCCCTTCCCCTCCCTCACACCTGGCAAGGCTATGTGCTCAAGGATCACTACTATTGGTATCAAGAGACCATTCCTGTCAGTGCTGGGAATTGAACTGGGGACATGAGAACGCCAGACAAATGGAGAGCCCTCAAAGCAAAGATAAATCTCTCATCCCTTGAAAAACTAGCTGAGTCTGCTTTTTAGGGCCTGACCAGTATGTGATGCTTTGAGGTACAGGGCAGTGGTGGAGAACCACCAGGTTCATGTAACCAGCAATGATGCTGTCTTGCTTAGGTCTCTCCTCTGCCTCCTGCACACTCACATGAGATGCCTCTTTGTGGCTTACAATGTTCCCCCCACACCAACATACAAAAGAATTTGAATCAGAGAAACAATTAGCATTTATGTCACTTTATTCATGACAGCACTTCATGGTGAAGTATATGCAACTTGGCTTAAGGGTTTCTGCCACATACAGTTTATAGATATTAAATGGGTCATCAATTACCATGTCAGTTATATTTGGGACTGATTGAAGCAGAGTTAAATTTTCTTCTGCCCAGCTTCCTCTTCAATCAGGCTTTCCTGAAAAATAGATGAGTAATAAATACACCAAGTTAGTTCTACTAGCTGAATTAAATTAGCTTTTGATATTTTGATTTCTAAAATATTAATATAAAAGGAATAAATTGATTGGCTTTTGAGAACTAGGAGGTGCTTTAGAATAGAATTGATAATATCTTTTAAATTGTTCATAATAAGCATAATATCTACATGAATGGATTACAAATAAGGTATGAGAGGGAGGCAAAAGAAGATTTGATTATTAATCTACTTTTTAATCTGTTAATTCCTTCTTTCTAATGTTACGTAATCATCCTAAATGCTAGAGCCAAAACATTGTAAATGTGGAGCTAGACAGATCGTACAGCAGGTAGGACACTTGCTTTGTATGGGGTCCGGATTCAATCATAACCATATGGTCCCCCAAAACCCACTAGAAGCGATCTCTGCACAGAGACAAGAGTAAGCCCTGGGCCATATTTTCTTTCTTAATTCAATTTAATAAAGGAGAATAAAGATCATCAGCAGGGATACCAAAGGCCTTTCCATCTCTTAGGCTTGATGTTACTATCACTGTCACTCACCAGAGCTCCTTTCAGGTCCCTGAGTGGAGAACGGGGTTTTGCACATTCAAACTGTTGACGTTCTGCAAGTTTATCAACTTCCTTGGCTATCTGGGAAAAAAAATAATGTGATCCTTAGGGGTGGAGATTTTAAAGAAAATTAGGGCTAGAGAGGTAGTATGGGGGTTAAGGCACACAGCCTGCCCGTGTTCATTTCTGGCACCATGTATGGTCCCCTGAGCACCCAGGAGTGAGTACAGAACCAGGAATAAGCCCCGAGCACAGGCAGATTTGATCCCCCAAACCCAACAAAATAAACACAAAAACAACAGCAACTGGTTTTGTTAAGCCACAAACATTTTGGGGGGTATTAACTAGCTAACATGTACAAACTATCATATACTCTTCATGTGAGAATCTCAAGAATTTCCACTCTGTAGGTTTAAAAGTAAGACCTCGGTTTAGTATTGATACTCGTATTATAAATGAATTAATATTAAATCAAATCAGACATATGTTTCAATACATTGTCTCCTTGGGCTTACTAACTCCTCTCTAACAGCTCCCAACTTCTGTGCTTAAATGCCCATAGGAAAGCAAAAGAAATTATGTCATGCATTCTTTTTTTTTTTATTAGTGAAACACCATGAGGTACAGTTATAGACTTACAAATTTTGTGCTTGGGTTTCAGTTATACCATGATATGTCATGCATTCTTGCTAAGGATACACATTTATGTTATGACATCATATTAGTAGCACATTAACAAATGTCAGTTGTAAAAAAAAAGATGGGGTGTGTGTGAGAGTGTGTGTGTGTGTGTGTGTGTGTGTGTGTGTGTTTGTGTGTGTGTAGGTAAGTAGAGGGGATCATAAACAGGTTCCAGAATGTTCTATCCAAGAACCAAAGACTCATCTTAAAGTATAGGTCTCAACTCTGCTTTTAGAACTCCTTGTGACTATCTGTGTACTTAGACTACACTATCCAGTTCACTGTGCTGCGCTGGTTGTTGTATTCTGTTGCAATTGGCTTTTGCTATTTGTTGCACTCATCTCTGAAATCAAAGCATGGATGGTTCTTGATTTTGTGTCTCAGCTCCCCAGATAGCCGCCTGTGAAACTGCCAGGGTGCACACGATCCAATTTCACTAATCAAGGAAGTCACATGCTAATTTGAAGCTTTACAAAACTTACCTCTTGGAAAGAATCAATCAAATCTTCAGTATTTCTCTTTCCTCCAGGGCGTAATCCATAGGACCAGTGTTGGCCGCAGCAGTCCACCACACAGAAAGTCAGCAGGATAAGTCCCACCAGAAGTTTGGGAGTTGGCCTCATCCTAAGGATAATCAAAATAGACCCAGACTGATTGGGCAAAGCAAACTGGGAGACACCTTGGTGAAAAGTCTAATTTTCATATTAGCATTGCAGAGAATGAAAGTGGAAGTCATCCACCTTCACACTTAGACCCTAAAAAACAAACCTTGCATTGCTTAGTCTCTTAGTACTTTCAATTCATATACTCAATACATTTTAGTGCTAACCTCATCGGTTTGTTCTTACAATTGCTCTGGCGATGTGAATCATATGTTCCCTCACATACCAAGCTCACCTTTTTACCTTCCCCTTTACCTCATAGGATTGGTTCTCCACTGTATTATTCCAAAACAAAGAGAGTGCATTGAGCCATCTGCTCGGTTGAGGCTGCACTGTCTCACCAGTTACCTTTTCCTGAGTACCTGTGCTCTAGTCTTCTGCACATCAGTGAGAAAACAGACCCAACACCTCAGAGCACAAAGTCCCACAGGGGCCTCGCATTATCTACTGCATTGTGGAATCCTCACCCATCCCTGAAGAGCATCAAATTAATTTTCATTTGATAGGGAAGAGAATTAAGATGATATAAACACTGGTTGATGAGCTTTTGCAATCCCCCAGACCCCTGCATCTCAAAATGACAACGAAAGCCTAGGTGTATCTTTGGACACCATCACTCCTGGCAGCATTACAGGAAGCAATGCACAGTCTACAGTCAGAGCTAGCAGAACGAAATCGTTTACCTGTTTGGGGGCAAAGAGCCAGACGAATTCCAAGCTTGCTTTGGCGTGTGCTAAGGACTGTGATTTATTTTCTCAGCTTCCCTTTTATAGAAAACTTTTCCAGGACACTGAAGTCTTTCCTGCTGGCAAATTCTACTGCACGTGGCGTTATTATTTTTAAGTAGTAGTTTAAAAAGAAATCTTCATGTAAAATCCTCTAATGGTGTATATAATTGGAACACCCACTGTTGTATCTGTAAAATTTACCTTTTTTTCTTGTCCATTAAAACCTCAGCTAAGAGTTTTCTAGCTGAGGTCGTAATTCAAAGAGATTAAAATCTAGCTAAGTTAGATTCCCTTGAGGAAGCTGACAGCCCTATCCAGAGCTCAAGAAAATAACTGTCTTAGATTAGTGAAGTTAAATGCACACAAAAAAGCTTTTACGAAAAAGCCCAATGTAATAATTATAATAAGTTGAATCAGAATGCCTAGAAGATAATCTCAGCTCTGAAGAGTCCTCATTTGCAACTGGAAAGATTTAGACCAGACCATAAGGTGGTCACCAATTTCAAAAATATGATTGCCGCAAATAATGTAATTATTGCCACTATACCAAACCCATATAAGATCCTAAAGTAGATATAAAAAGCTTAAAAATTCCCTAGTCTTCTACCGATTAGAGCCCTCCTTGACACTTTTTTCTTCAAATTTTATTTTATTAAAGCACCATGCATGAGTTATTTAGTTACAAATTTATTTGTAGTTTGGTTTTTGACGTAGAATGTTCTATCGTCGATCCTGCCACCAGTGTCAACTTCCCTCTACCAGTGTTTCTGGGCCCGAGCCCCTTGACTTTTGAAAATCTTTCTCTACCGTCACAGGCTTGGAAGAAACTGCAGGGATAGCTCAAAGAGAAGGAGAGTATGCTTTGCATGTGGAGTGTCAGGATTGGATTCCTGGTACAGCACGTTCCCTGCACAGTCACAAGCTGACCCCAGAACCAGTCCCAAGCACCATGGTGGGAGTAGACCCTGAACACTACCAGGTGTGGCCCCAAAAAACAAATCAAATGAAAGGCAAGGAGGGGCTGGAGAGATGGCACAGCAGAGTAGGTAGGGCACTTGCGTTCCAAGTGGTTGACCCAGGTTTGATCCCTGGCATCCCGGATGGTCCCGAAGCATCATCGGGAGTGATTCCTGAGTGCAGAACCAATAGTAACAACAGCAACAAAAAGTCAGGGAGATAAGAGTATATTGGAGCAGCCACATGGAAAACAATTAAGAGGTTTTTTGAAATATAAAACACTGTATCTAGCATGTAACCCAGCAATCCAATGTCAGGGCCTTTATTATTATTATTTTTTAAACACTGTGGTTTATAAAGTTGCTCATGATACAGTTGTTGATGTGTTTTCTATATTCAACCACCAATCCCAACACTAAAGGGACCGTCCCTCCACCACTGTCCCCATTTACCAAACCACCCTCCAAGCTTGCCCCCTCAGCAGGCACACAATAGCACTGTAGCACTGTCCTCCCGTTGTTCATCAATTTGCTTGAGTGGACCCAGTAACGTCTCCATTGTGAAACTTGTTACTGTGTTTGGCATATCGAATACATCACGGGTAGCTTGCCAGGCTTTGCCATGCAGGCAAGATACTCTTGATAGTTTGCCAGGCTCTCCAAGAGGAGCGGAGAAATCGAACTCGGGTTGGCCGGGTTGGCCGCATGCAAGGCAAATGCCCTACCCACTGTGCTATCACTCAAAGTACACAATAATTTATTTTATATTGCTTATTGCAACTAAATGGCTAAAGGATTTATCAAAAATGCTTCCAGATCGGAAAATATGTGAAAATTGTTCTGAGGATTTATTAAGCTGTTTGTTGCTGATTGAGCCTATAATTCAGTTTTATTGTTTTGTTTCTTGAGTTTAGTTTGCTGTTTTTCCAAGTAATTTTCCAAGTAATTTGGTGTGCTCCTTCTGGAATTTCCATATCGATAAATTTGGAGATCCAGACACTTTAGGATCTGTGGTCTGGGCCAAAGAGTTGAAAAGACACTAAAGTTATCTGCCTGGACACCAGGATTACCTGAATTTTTTTTCATGGTTTGGTATCTGCAAATGGTGGAGTTGATCCTTTGGCGTGGCTGCACTAGTGAGTTGTTGGGTGTAACTGCTGGGGCTTTTGCAGGGAGGAGGCTTGGCCTGCCTCCCTCCTGAAGGCACCTTTGAGTTCTCAGCTAGTGAGGGAATGAGGTGGGACCAGTATTGTCCATCAATTTTAGCTGCTTGGTTTACATCACTTCAGAGATTTAGATGTGAATCAGTAGAGCCTGGCCCTGGTGAGTCAATATGGCGACAGATGTAGAATGGGGTGGGTGTGACTGCCAGGGCCTGGGACTGGGTCTGTATCTCAAAGAATGGTAACAGGATATCTGAGAGATACTGGCATAAGCTCACTGCAGTATTAGTCACAATAGCTAAGATATGGGCACAACCTAAGCGTTCATCAAAAAAAATGAATTATGATATGAATATACAAGGAATATTATTTAGTCTGTTAACATGGAATACTATTGGAGAAAGAAGGAAATCCTGCTGTTTTGTGGTAACATGTAGACCTTGAGGACTATGCTAAATGAAATAAGTAAAAAAAATTCATGCTTGGTTTCACTTATATGTGGAATAGTTTTTAAAATCTCACACGCACAAAGAGCAGGAAAATGGCTTCCAGGGCAGAGAATAGAGTCAATTGAAAGAGATTGATAAGAGGACATAAAATTTAAGTTATAAGGTAAGTAAGGGCTAATAATTAAGTGTATAAAGTGGTGGCTATGGTTGATAACATTGCATTGTGTAATTGAAACTTGCTGAGAGAGTAGAATTCAAGTTTTGTTACAAGGGTTATAAATATATGAATAATGTATTTATTGGGCTGGAGCCATAGTACAGCGGGTAGGGCATTTGCCTGGCATGCAGCCAACCTGGCTGACCCAAGTTTGATTCCTCCGCCTCTCTCGGAGAGCCCGGCAAGCTACTGAGAGTATGCTGCCGGCAAAGCCTGGCAAGCTACCCATGACATATTCAATATGCCAAACACAGTAACAACAAATCTCACAATGTTACTGGGCCCTCTCAAGCAAATTGATGAAAAATGGGAAGACAGTGACAGTGACAATGTATTTATTAACTAGATTGATAGAAATCTTTTCAGTCTATATGTGTATCAAATCATCTCATTGACATTTTAATTATCTTACATTTTTTGTCAGTTGCACCTTAGTAAAGCTGAAAAAGTGGACCATTGGAATACATTTAAAATATATATTGTTGTGTCAGGGCCTTACCCGGCTGTGCTCAGGGTTTACTCCTGACTCTGCTCAGTTGATCACTCCTAGTGGTGCTAGGAATAGAACATGGGTCGGCTGCATGGAACGCAAGGGACTTACCCCCTGTACTATCTCTCCAGCACATAATATACCAAGAGCAAGACAACTTATAGCAGACTTAGGTGACAATCGAGTTCATTTCTGTAAATTCTTAGTAAATTAAATTCGCAAAACACTGGGCTAAGAGTATAGAAAATGCAGCAGTGAGAAATCATTCCATGATGTATCAAGAACAGCCTCATTCATTTGTTAGCCCTACAAAGTGGATTTTAAATTATCCAGATGGGGCCAGAGTAATAATACAGCAGATAGGCACTCACTTCGCATGCAATCAATCAAGGTTTGATCCCCAACACCCCATATGGTACCTGAGCAAACCAGGAATGATTTCTAGGGCAGAACCAGAATAATCCCTGAGCATCACAGATGTGACCCAAAAACCTAAATAAATAAAATTATCCAGATGTTTTATTTATTTATTTATTTATAATTGAATCACCATGAGATAGAGAATTACAAAGCTGTTCATGATTGGGTTTCAGTCATAGAACGCTCCAACACCCATCTCTCTACCACTGTAATTTTCCAGCACCAGTATCCCCCTCCCCTCCCGCCAAACTACTACCCCCATCCCAGCCTGCCTCTATGGCAGGTAATTCTATTCTCCTCTCTCTCTCTCTCTCTCTCTCTCTCTTCTCCCCCTCTCCCTCTCCCTCTCCCTCTCTCTCCTTCTTCCCTCCTCTCTCCTTCTCTCTCTCTCTCTCTCCCTCCCTCTTTCTCCCTTCCCTGTCTCTCTCTCTCTGTCTCTGTCTCACATCCAGATGTTTTAGACAAGTACTTTCACACAGTTTGCGCAGTACAAGTAAACATTTGAAAATTAATCGTTATTTGTTAGAACTATGAAAATACTATCATCCCCCTGATTTATGCCTGGAACATCACTCATGATCTTACTTAAAAATATTAGCTTGTCCCAGGATGTGATCTGATGCGATCAGCCCTGATCTGATAGATACATGAAGACCTGAATTTTATTCCTAGTGCCGCTCAACATGGCAGGGCATGATATTGCCACCAGTAGCAGAAGAATGATTATTAAGTGGATAAATATCTTGGCTTTATTTAATAAGTAAATATTTGAATGAATGAACACTAAATAACAATTCTTCAACCAGATTAGGTCAAAGATGACTGTTTCATTATCAGATAAATTTTATCTGATAAAATTAACAAAACAAACATTGTCCTCCCATTGTTCATCAATTTACTCGAGCGGTCCCAGTAATGTCTCCATTATTTGAAACTTGTTCTTACTGTGTTTGGCATGTTGAATACGTCACGGGTAGCTTGCCAGGCTTTGCTGTGCGGGCGAGATACTCTAGGTAGCTTGCCGGGCTCTCTGAGAGGGGCAGAGGAATTGAACCTGGCTCGGTAGCACTGGCTGTGCACAAGGCAAATGCCCTACTACTGTGCTATCGCTCCAGCCCAGTCTTTAAGAAAATTTGGTTGTCAGTCAAACTTATATTTGCTAAGTAAGTGGCTAAAAGTTAATGGATATTTATTTGTTCATTTAAGAGCCGTGATTACAACTTTCTCCCCATTGAATGCCAAATCAATCCACCATTGCCCAGAGACCTTAGAAATAATGACATTTGCAAAGATTCACTTTTTAATTACTTCATTGATTTCATTTAGACACTGAGTTAAGTGCCATTCTGACATGAGTGGAATCTCATCTCACTATATTACAAAGGTAAGCAGAGACTGTTTTTCAACAAGATACCACTATATTTGAACAGTGTTCTTGTAAACTGTCCGATCGATTTTTCTGTTTGCTGAAAGAGATGTGCTTCTAACAGTGTGGGTTAAGCAGATGTCATCTCTGTTTTGGACTGCTGAAACAGTAATTGACATCTGACCCTTGGGCCACTTGGATAGTGGAGGGTAAAGGAACTTACCTCCCACTGACCAACCCCGGGTCTGTCCCCAGCATCTCCTGAATGGAGCTAGGAATGAATGGCCACCCAAATTGCCAGGTGTGGCTCAAGAACCAGAACGTTCCCTACCCTAGAGAGACCTCTGATCCTTATTGTCTGTTACTTCAAATATGCCCTGAACACCACAGCTATGGCCTGAAAAACTAAAAGAATTGTGTTTAAATAACTGAATTTTATAGTTACATATTTTTCCTAAGTTTGGAAAGTTTCTACACTTTAAAGTATGACTTTATAGGGTAAGCAGCTTAATTCTCAGCATAAAAAAGTAATGACCTCAACACAGTTAAAGTGTTCCAAAGTTTATTGAGCTTTCAGACACAGGCAAACCTCTTTTCTCCTAATGTAAAATCTCAGCAGGAAGAACCTGGTGGACGCAGACCCCTGCTGACAGGGCTGAAAGGGCTGAGAGTCAATCTGAGATAAGGTGCTTACAGGGATAACAGAACTACTTTTCTTTGCAGACTTGTAAGTTTTTAATTTTAGAGATAATACTTCCTCGAAAATTTAATCAAATGTTAACACTTTTTATATGTTAAAAATGACTTAATGTTGATTTGAGGGGAAAGTCTTACAGTATAAACTAATTTATAAAACAAAACAACTGGAAAAATATTCCAAATATCAATTTATTAATTCACATAAGTGAATTTTCAGTGTTTCTGATGAACTTCTATGAAATTATAGTTGAAAGACTAGCCTATATTACTGCATAACATTTATTGATCTGTAGTCAAGTAGACTAGTACTGATTATCAACAGAAAGACCTGTGGTAAAAGAAATTAAAGAATTTTTTTTATGTTGGAGTACTGCTATTTATTCAGCCACTGATTAGCTGATTGAATTGTGCATGAACTCCACCTTACATTTTTTTTTCATTTTTTATAATTTTATTTATTGGATCACTGTGAGAGCAGTTACAAAGCTTTCAGGTCTAAGTCTTGGTCATATAATGAAACACCCGTACCTTCACCAGTGCCCATTGTCCACCCCCAACAACCCCAGTATACCCCCACCCCACACCCTCCCCCTACCTGTGGGGCAGATGATTTCCACATTACTCTCTCTCTACTTTGATCACATTCAATATTTTGACAGCAGACCCACCATTATTATTTGATATTTTACCCCAACACTCAAATCTGCTGAAAAGGCAACAGTAGACAATTTGTTTTCTATTGCTGGTTATGAATAACATATGATGTTGCATGGCTGCAGTAGTGGCCGTGTGATTTTGAGATTCCAAAATTTTAACACTTAAATCTGGAGGGATTTCTGGCAAAACCTGCTGGGTTCCGAGATTTGCTCCTGAGTCTCTGGGATCGTGGCCATTAAGCAGCTTGATCAGGAGCCAGAGAGGCTGTTTGTGGGTGATGACTTGGGGTCTCGTTGGGGTGGGGAGGACAGGACTGGCTCCACCCCGATCCCGTGAGGCCCAACAAGTTTTGTCACTGTGGGCCCAAGCCTGACTGTCCAATGATCTCTGGAGGATGGCGGCCACCGAGCCACCAAGGAGGAGCAGGCGGAGGGACAGCACCCTTTCCCCCCTGAGGTGGCCCTGCGACAGTAACCTACTGCGGGGTCTGGACACATTTCTGCCAAATGCCACTGGGTATCAAGATTTGTTTCTGAGTGAGTCTCTGGGATCATGGCCGTTAAGCAGCTTGATCAGGAGCCAGAGAGGCCGTTTGTGGGGGATGACTTGGGGTCTCGTTGGGACGGGGAGGACAGAACCGGCTCCACCCCCATCCCGTGAAGCCCAACACGTTTTATTACTGCAGGCACGAGCCTGACTGTCCAATGGCTTCTGGATGATGATGGCCACCAAGCTGCCAAGGGGGAGCAGGCAGAGTGACAACATCCTTTCCCCCCTGGGGTGGCCCACCAACAGCAACCTACTGTGGGGTCCGGACACATTTCTGTCAAAAGCCACTGGGTTTCGAGATTTGTTTCTGAGTCTCGGGGATCATGGCCGTCAGGAACCAGAGAGGCTGTTAGTGGGCGATGACTTGGGGTCTAGGGGTGAAGAGGACAGGACCGGCTCCACCCCCATCCCGTGAGGCCCTGCGTCTCGTCACTGCAGACCCAAACCTAACTGTCCAGTAGCCTCTGGAGGATGGTGGCCACCGGGCCGCCAGGGGCAACAGGCCAAGGCACGAAACCTATTCCCACCTGGGTTGGCCCAGCACTAGTAACCTACTGCAGGGACCGGATGCGTTTCTGCCAAAAGCTGCTGGGTTTCGAGATTTGTTTCTGAGTCTCTGGGATCATGGCCATTTTGCAGTTCAATCAGGAACCAGAGAGGCCATGCCTCCAATTATATAGCTGAGCCGGAGGTGGTTTGTGGGTGTGTTTCCCACATACCTAACTTTTGGCCGTTTACTTTCTTGGTAAACTTTGCCCCAAGTTTTTGGGGTCTGGCCAAAGGCACAGCAGCAATTTTGGGGTATCTGGAAGTCTGAAGGCGCCATCAGGCTGCTGATGCAATTTAAAGAAATTTTTATCATAGTTTAGCAAGAGTTAAAATGTTAATGTTCATGCTTTGGCTGTGTGACCTTCCACCAACCTTTTTTTTCTTTGGTTCTTCCTCTTCCTCCCCCTCTCCCAGTTCTGTATTCCAAGACCAAGGGTCTTTCATCATTTGGTCTTACTATTCCCCTTCATTTATCATATTCCACACGAGTGAGATCATCTGGTGTTTGTCCTTCTCCCTCTGACTTGTTTTGCTTAACTCTTTACCCTTCTATTCCATCCAAATTGCAGCAAACTGCAAGATTTCATCTTTCCTTATACTTAGCACTGAAGCCTGTGAACTCAGGTGTGTGACATGTTTGGTGGCTGAGAGCTGCTCCCCCAGGCCTGCCCAGCAAAGGAACATGGAGACAGGGATCAAAGATAGATGGCAAAAAAATGACCTGTTTCTGGCAGAGCTGTTAACATATTTATAGAACATCTGAAGAGGTTTGCGGTATAGAACTGTAGGATGGTGTGACTGATCATGTACAGAGGTGAAGCAGAGACAATTCTCTTGTGCAGATTAACTTCAGGAGACACTCTGTCTCCCAGGCGCGATATGGAGAAATTTGCCTGAGGCGATAAACATTATATTGCTTTTCTCTTTCCCTTGCTACCTGCATATATTAAACAACTTGGTTTACTTCTCATTAATACATGCAGTTATTTGGATAAACACAGTAAGAGATATAGATTCCAAAACTTAAGTTTTCTGGATTTATGAGAAAAGCTCCCAGACGAAGTCCTCGGGTCAGTTCAGCTAGCCCTTCCCCATGGGGGTCCTGTTTCTTAAGTCATAACGGCTTGCATCAAGATCATGCATTTTTTATGCTTTCTAGACAGTCCCATTTTGATGCGGGTAGCTTTGCCACTTGCCTTGGGTCCATCCAAGTCCCACAGCAGGATCCTTTTTGGGGGTGTTAGGAAGTACTATGTAACCGAAGCCTGAGTCAAGTAATTATGATGGATGCCCAGGAGTAGATCTATTTCAGAATCAACCAACTTCCAAATACTAGGAGCACAGCATCAATGGTTTTTCTGTGTTTAAGCAAAGAACATCACTCTATAGTAAAATATGAAAAGGTTAGAGGGGAAATAGAAAAGTAATTCACTACAAATACGAAAGTCCAACATGAACCGGAAGGCTTGATTTAAAAGTAACCAAGCCTGACTTGGGGAATCTAGTAACTAACACAAAGGAAACGTTAAAGATAAACTTGGGCATTAGGGGTGCTCATTAAGAGCACCATAAGCTTCTCTGGTGGGGAGGAGAAGGGGCAATTCACGGATGAAGCCTAAAACACTTAGGATGAATATCCAACAGAAGCCCTTTTATAATTTAGAACTTCAAAGTATTAAACTTTTCTAGTTCCCTCCCACAATTTATTTCTAAGGGCTCCCAGTCAGGTGCAGGGCCTGGTGGCTATTCCTAATGGTATGAGTCTGAAGATTTCAGGCTAGAACAGGGGAGGTAGCCCTGCTTAGGTCTGGGGGTACTGAGGGCCACCAAGTCACAAATGGTTGTACTTGAGGGGGCACCATGCAATACTTTAAATTATTGAAGATGAAAAGCATGTACTCCAACACTCTGTACTATTTCCCCATTCCTCAACAATTGTCTATTTACTTCTGTGTATAATGTTTCATTACCAGGGTAAATGCAAATTTTCTCATTTTCAACCCCCACCTCCATTTCCAAACTTTTTAAAATTCTCTCCAAGTTTTCAGACAAGACTAGTTGGAACGACCCAGAGGAATAGAGGCTTAGAAGCATGGCTGCCTTGTAAGCATACAAATGGTCTTGAGATCAAATCTTCAATATCTCACATGCTCAGAACATGATCCTACTGGCTCTGCAGTCTGAAGCCTGTCAGACCATTTCACACTGTACATAGCTAGGTATATAAAAGGGGTGTGGCCTTTATGGAAGACTACATCTGAAAAGATGTGTCAGTACCATGGTCAGGAAGTACAACCCCTGGCAAGCACATGTGTGAACACCATGGTGACCCTTGGTCAGTGACACAACCATAACTTGCTTGCTTCAATTAAGTCCTTTTCTTGGGTCAGAGAGATAGTACAGGGCTTAATGGACTTGCCTTTGCATCCCATCTACCTGATTTGAATCCTTGGCATCACATTTTGTTCCCCAACTACTGCCAGAAGTTGTTCCTGAGCAGAGCACAAATAATTCCTGAACACCATAGATATGGCCCAATCCTGCCCGTCCCCCTCCCCCCCGGCCAAAGTGTGCCCTTAGCAAGCACTGCAACTTAATGTGTAATCCCGAGCTAAAAATGAGTACCACAGCCAAGTGTGGTCACTATAATATCATCATCAACAACAACTATAACAGAAGGGTGAAGGAGAGGGGAATGTCATTAAAAATAAATAAAAAGATTATGTGGGGATGGGGGGTAGGGAATATATTTAACCAGTCTAGTTAAATATATTCAGCTAAAGAGTTAGACAAATTAAATTACTGAAAGGAAGTCTTTCCTTTCACTCAGAGATTGTGAAAATTTTTTGCTAAATGAACTTGATGGACCTTAAGAAGGGGCTGACAAAATACTCATGCTTAAGGGCTGGAGCAACAGTACAGCGGGTAGGACGTTTGTCTTGCATGAGGCTGACCTGGGTTATATCCCCAGCATCCCATATGGTCCCCTGAGGACCGCCTGGAGTAATTCCTGAGAGCAGAGCCAGGAGTAACCCGTGTGCATTGCAAGGTGTGACCCAAAAGCAAAAAATAAAGTAAAATAAAATACTCGTGCTTAAAAGAATAAATTCACTTTAATTACATGATTTGTGATATGCTTTATTTCCTTTCCACCTAGAAATTTCAGGGCTGGTCATTAACACTTAAAGCAATATAAGAAATGCTTTTATTACATTTCATGTTGTTCATTAATATAGCATACATTAGATCCAAAATCTGCAGTTTCTAAGCACACCACCTTTTGATCCTTCAGATCTTCCTGCAGTTTTAGGTTGTGTCTTCAGAGGTACTCTTTAAGTAGATGAGTAACGCATTCTATAATTACTGAAAATATAGTACAGAGTGAAATGATTTAAATATAATTTAGGCACATATTGATTATGAAAATAGATATCTCTCAATACAATACTTTCTGTCTTGATAAAAATAATAAAGCAAAGAAAATAATTATTTTTCTGAAGTTGCTTTCCTTTATGTGTAAAGGTTGATCTCATCCTACTATGCATATGTAGCCTTTACTGTAAGGAAAGCTTTGCATATGTATATATATAGAAGAAAAAGCCACATAAATACTGAAGACATGTCATCCTCCCAAAGGAGACAGAGTGATTTTAATGATTCATTGCCTCAAACCGATGAGTCGGTAGAATTGAACCCATTTGGACACAGCTTATATCCCTGCTCTTGGGGTAGACGTCAGGACACCAGTTACTAGTCAGGAAGTACAAACCCCTATCTCTGCTACCGCAGAGAGATAATAACTCAAAAAAATAAGACTACGATGTACTTTAAAAAAAAAGTATATTAAAGGAACCTCAGGTGTTGACTGTTTGTTACTACATCTCAGGCCAAATGTCTTTATTTTGTATTTGAAGAGTTTTTTGGTGGTTATGCCCAAACTGTCAGCCGAAAAAAATTCTCTTCATTCCCACTGTATGATGTTAGTTGCAATTATGATGATTTCTAAAAGTCTACCCTGCCACATTCACTCCTACTTTTATCAGTCTGAAGTGGGTTATGATTTAGTATCTATCACTAAGCTGGCCTTTTAAAAAATGACTTGGCATTTGAGTTAAATGAAATTAATAACACACCTGGGTTTTTGATTTTGAAATATCTTTCTCTACTTGTTTTAAATATGGGAGGAAACAAGGCTAGTAAATAGATAAACTGGTGTTGAGTGGAGCCTGCTTAGAAGTCCTAAGGAATGCTGATTTAAAGATGCAACTAAAGGGAAAACTCTTCCTTCACATGGAGAGTTCCACTCCCCTTTCTGCTGACAATGATGTATTTCCGTTCACTGTTTCAATCAGTACAAGCAGAGGACTTCTTTAATTTAGCTACTGCTTTATTCTAAAAAATAACCTTTATAAAAAAAGAACCTGAAAAGAAAAGTCTGATCTCACCATTGTCACATGGTGTGACAGGCCTTTACAGGAGAGGTGGTGTCACTAAAGCTATTTATCAACCTGAACAACTTTTTCCAAATCTCCTAAGGTGTGACAATTTAAATACCCACACTGCATTTAGAGACTCAATAAATAGAAATGCATATATTGTGCTTTTCATAAATTAAAATCCTCAAATGCATTTCAAACCAGGATTATTACACTTCCACATCATCTGTATTTGAAAGCAATTATAATATAGAGAACTCCTGGTCACAAAGCCAGGGAAATCCCCCATCGCACTCACAAGGCAGCCACATGAACTAGCTTCTCTACAACTATTGCGTGCTTCGCTGTTAGGATTATAATGTGGGGAGGAAAGTCACTTTCCCCCCTTAGGCACCATTCAGAACAATATAATCCTCTAAATGGTTTTTGGATTCCCTTACAGTATTGTTTCTTCTAGATGACAGAGTGGGAGAAGCAATGGAAGTGATGAGGAGGGCATTTTCCATGCTGGTGTCTTTCCCCAGCCCTCACACTCTCATCTGACGCTTTGCGACATATGCAGTGGCGTCAGCATCTCCTCGAAGATCGCTCCTTTCACGTTGGAGCCTCTCAGGTTGGCTTCCTGCAGATCACACCCAGACAGGTCACAGTTCTACAAGATAAAAACAATACTCAGTGACTGAAAAAGAAATTTGTCTCTCTTCTCACTCTTAACCCCTTAGAACGACAGACACCAGCAGCAGCCGGCTACAGTCAACTTGGTTAGTCTTTATAGTAAGCTGGGTAGAGGACAGTGGCTGTTAGTTAGCCACCAAGCTAGTTAGGTAACTAAAAGCAAAAGGGGAAAGTCACTGTACTTGATAGAAAATTAAAAGTAAATAACTGTGCTTCTAATAGGTTTATACATTCAAGCTTATGCTGGATCTCCTCCCCCCTCCTCTTATCAGTTTAATACAGGCTGCTACCCTGCTGCTGAGAATTATAAAGAGCACCATTTTTGGTTTTTGAGTCACACCTGGCGATAGTTAGGGGTTACTCCTGGCTCTGTACTCTGGAATTACTCCTGGTGGTGCTCAGGGGACCATATGGGATGCTGGGGATTCGATGACCATTTGATGCTGGGGACTGAGTCTGGTTCGGCTGTGTGCAAGGCAAACTCCCTACGTGCTATACTCTCTAGCCCCAAGAACTAATTTTGTGTGCGTGCGTGTGTGTGTTTGTGTGTGTGTGTGTGTATGTATGTGTGTGCGTGCATCTATGTGTGTGCGTGCATGCATTTATGCATATGTGCTCATGTGCAGAAGGGGATCCTCAAGTATACTCAAGGACAATGGGGCTACTCCTGGAGATACCCAGCCACCAGCCTGATAGTTCAGTGCTAGGGCCTGAGGATGTGGCACTGCAGTGCTCCTTGGATGGCGTTTGGTGCTTCTGCAGCTACATACAACGATGATAGGGACCTTAAGGGGACAGGCTTGAGCTGGGGCTTCCTCAACCCTGTGCAAGCACCCAAAGTAGAAACATTTTAAAATCAACAGCAATTCGAACTCTGACAACCTCTTCTCTAAGATCAGCCTAGGCCAGATTTTCTAGCATAACTGTACTGCTCAGAATAATAGCAACTCACACAGCTATTTACATTTAAATGAATTAAAACTAAATTTAAAAAAATCTATTTCTCAAATTGCACTATCCACATTTCAAGCGTGTCACGGCTGTATGTGTTTGGATCACCATGTGAACAACTTGGAACATGCCCATCGCTGCAGCAAATGCTGATGTTGACCTAACAGCAGCTGGCAAGTCTGCAAGCTAAATTCACAGATCAACACAACACATGGAATACAATTCTTAGGGAAAAGAAATGATTAGGTTTTTTGATAATCTCAAATTGAGATAGAGGGGCTGGAGCAATAGTATAGCAGGTAGGGAATTCACCTTGCACATGACTGACCAGGGCTCAATCCCAGGCATCCTTATATAGTCCCCTGAGAGTGATCTCTGAGTGCAGAGCCAGACATAAGCCCTGAGCACTGTGTGTGTGTGTCTGTTGGGGATGGGGGGGGGGGGGGAACAAAAAATGTTGAGATTCAAGGAGAATATGATGCTGATTTTGGATACTCTTTCCTTGATTCTCATTTCAAACCCGGATATCATTCTAAATTTTCCAAGTAATTCTGAAAATAATTTGGCTCCATTTAATTCCATTTAGAATTAAAAAAAACAAACAAACCCACAATAGCTAGGAAGATAGCTTAAAGAGCTGGAGCACATGCAAAGCATATGGAAGATCCTGGACTAATCCCAAGAACTCCATGGTCCCCTAAGCACAACGGGAGTATCCCCTGAACACACCACTCAGTGTGGCCCAAACACAAAACCTAAAGTTAAAAAAAAAAAAAAAAGAAAGGGCCGGGGTTGTTATTCAATAGTAAAGCTAATACCTTACATGCACGAGACCGGGGTCAATCCCCAGCACTGCAAAACAACAAGCAAAACATTAAAAAAAAAAAAGTTTAATAGAGCTATCTACTTGACAAACAAGGAAAAGAAGAGAAGGAATCAACTTAAGCTAACTCTCTGAACTGATGGAACTTCAAATCTGAAATGACATCTATGATTTCAGTAACTGAACCCTATTCTGGATTTCACATTTTTTTAAACAAGTAACTGAGAGAAAAACATCCCTCCAGCTGTGCAGGCATGATTCTGAGAGTTTTTATCAGCCAACTATTTTGTTTTGGGGCGTTGTTCAGGGAACCATATGCAGTACTGGGGATTGAGCTGGAGTCTCATAGGCGCAGTAAGCACCTCATGCCCTGGACTGTCTGTCTTTCCAGCTCTACTGTATGTTTTTAAAGAAACTTTGCATGAGACACTGGTGACTGTCAACTCATGAGAACTCACTGAAGACTGAGTGATGACTTACCTCTAAATCAGTTCCTGCCAGAGTAGCTCCTCTAAGATTACAGTTCTTCAACTTTGCATTTTTCAAGGTAGCAACTCTCAGGTTAATTCCTGTCATTTGACTTCCTTCCATATCCACACCTTTCAGATTAGCACCTAGAGTGAACAGATTTTACTTGAACTTAAGAATATTTATAGTTCTCTACCGTCAAAAACCAGCAAGATGACTTCAAGGGGGTGAATACTTTTGCTTTAGGAAATGGTTATAAGAAGTATACATTTGAGTCTCTCAACCTATATATATATATGTATATATATATATATATATGTATGTACGTACATATATAAAGATTTAGATTTGCAGTGAAATGTATCTTAGTCATATGCTAACCATTACTGAGTACTTGGTCTCTGGAGCTTTATATATAAAGCATTCACTGTTAAGAATTTGTTTGCTTATTTTACAAATTAAGAATGTTTTAGGTGCTGGACAGACAGAACAGAAGGTAAGGCACTTGCCTTGGCACAGAGCCTGGAATAAGCCCTGAAAACCAATGGTTGTGGTGCAATTCCTGTGTCCTTTCCAAAAAAAGAATGTTTTAGTCTGTATATATATTTGGGAAGCAAAGATGGGAGCTGGGTGACACCCAGGAGTGTTTAGGGACTATTCTTAGCTCTGTGCTCTGCAGCTCCAAAGACCATATGAAAAGTCAACATCACACCAGGGTTTGATTAAAGGCTGGATATTACCAAGTACTCAATATTGGTTAGCATATGACTAAGATACATTTCACTGCAAATTCTCCAAGCATGATGACATTAGAAATCTAGCCCCTTTATAATTACCATGTCTACCTATAATAATTACTTTGCTGGACATTTTACTTTATGGAACATTTTCAACTTAGACAAAGTAATTACAGATAGACACTCACCTTCTAAATTGGCTTTAATGCCAGAAGGATCTTCAAAATTACACAGTTTCAGGGAGGCCCCTTCTGCATTAGAACACACCATCTTGACTCCCTGGAGATTTGCATACTGACAAAAAAAAAAGCCCAGGTTTTAAGGTTTGTTTGGAAATGAAAACATTAGTTCAAACAGTAAAGAAAAAAATAGAAAAATGGGGTAAATCCCCAATCAAATATACTCATAATTACTTCCTGATTGTAACAGACTTCCGCATTTAAACCTAACTAGAACTAATAACTTTCAAAGAAAAAAGAAATACAAGTATAGCACAGAAGCACAGATAGGTAAAACAATGAGAAAGAACCAAGATAACTAAGAGAGATTTTCTGTGCTTGAAAACATAACGAGAGAAGTTAATGCATGTAAATTAATGTGTGTGGGGGGAATCTTTCCATAATGCCCTCAGGTAAAACAGATGCATATGTTATCAACATGTCCATGTTATGTACTGCTCTATATTTAATACTGTACTATGGATTCTCACAAAGATGCAAATATGAGAATTTACTCAGTAAAGTTTTTTTATCTTCAATTACAGAAAAATTTCACCAAATATTTATGAAATAATGAAAGTTCAGAACTCAGTTATGAAGTAAATTGTAGCTGTACTGCAGCTACAATAACTATATAAGTTACTATATGAAGGGACAATGTGCTTTGATTAAAAACAGCTTATTTTAATCAGTTCTGCCACAAATTGTAAATGATAAGACTATTAAGATTGCTTTAAAATTGTTGTGTTTCCATAAGAGATAAATGAGTTCATTATATCATCCCATTCTGTATAGATCTGATATTGTCCAAATGAAAAAGTCATCATTAAGTAAAGAGATAAGGTAAAGAAAACACATGTTTTAGATTATAGCTCCAACATTATGAACAAATTAGCTTTAGGAGTTTGGGCAAGTTTCCTGGATTAAGTTTCTGTGGGTAAAACGCCAGGTGAGAGCCAATGATCATCAAGGTAGGTCTGTTCCAGCTTATATATTCTGTATGTATTACACTGAAAATATAAAATAGATACAATCGTTAAATTATTATGCCAGAGTCTATGCAGCTGGCTGAATTCAATAATAATACGTAGTAGAAATACTCTAAAGCATGCTGACTGAACAGAAAAGTGTGCTACAGATACACAGATACGGATTACTCAACAGTTACAGAAACTGAGATCACACTGGTTTATAGCAGATCTAAATGGTGTCTAAGGCAAAGACAGACAGACAGACAGAGACAGAGACAGAGACAGAGGCAGAGACAGAGACAGACAGACAGACAGACACACACACACACACACACACACACGAAGAAAGCAACAGAAAGCAACAGGAATACTAATGTTGAGACTAATGCACACCTAGTTTATTTTAAAATGTGTCTGCATAATACCCTAGAATATTAACACTTTTCCAAGAATGAGAAACATTAACCCAAGAATGAGGTTAAATAGAAAAACCTGAAGGTCTTTTCAGCTTTACCCTGACAATTCAGTCATGGCCTTGCTCTTCAAGCCCGTGCTCTCCCTTGAGCATGTATCTGGCTTGCTTGTCTCTATTTCTTTGCTTAGTTCCACTCGGGAGAAATGTGGATTCTCTCTTGAACACACACTTCTCTCTCCCTTCACATCTTTCCAAATAAATTTAAAAAAAATTATCTTGCTTTCCCCCAAATAAAGAAGTCCTGATAAAATATACCAGTATACTATATTGAATGTTTTAGTACTCTTCTGTTGCTAAACCTTTTAGGTCTTGGTTGAAATGAAGGATTTCAAAGTTGTAAAACTAACCAATTTCATTTTCAGAGCTTTGTTTTATCAGGAACTTATTATGTTTTCGAGCAAATGCTCCAATTATGGGATAGAGTAAGTTTCTGTTCTTTGAAACTGCTCAACAGACTGAACATTTAATTTTGTCTTGTAGCCAAAAATGATTCTTACATCAAGCACTGATCCAGAGAGATCAGCTCGTTCAAGATTTGCACAGCAGAGATTAGCATGTGCAAGATTGCAGCGACTTAAATTGGCCATTTTGAAGTTAATGTATCGGAGGTCCAAACGAGAAAGATCAGCACCACTGAAGTTTAAACCCTAAAATTAAAAACACAAATTGTTATAGTATTTAAACCATCTGCTTATATTAAATCTAATTACTATAGCCAACCATCAAGATTTTTAGAAGCAATTGGAAGTTCAGTCACTTGGAGTTTATTACAAAATGTTACAAATGAATTACAGAAACATAAAATAAGTGGTCTTAGTGGTTTTTAGTGAGATAAACTCTACTTATACATAACATTAGGATGCAGCCTTGTTATAACTCTTTTTTATGTGAAGAAGCTTCAGAGAAAGAGGTCTTTTAATTATTACCTGGTTAATAAGTATTATCTTAGTTTAATCCAATTGGACCGAAATTAGTTGATTAACTCAATAGTTCAGTTTTATTTTTAAAGTATTATGGTTTTAAAAATCTTTAATGCTATAATAAAGTGTCTGCCACTGACTAGTTTCATATATTACAACTGTACAATTGACTTTTAATTTTAATCGCTGCAATTTCCATGCATTACTTGCAAAATTTTCTACCTAGGACATAATTAGATAATAAAAAGACTATCACATTTCTTTCTTTGTCAACCAATCTTTTTTTTTGGGGGGGAGGAGGGGGCAGGGAGGCGTATCTGGCAGTGCTCAGGGCTTACTCCTGGGTCTGCATTCAAGGATCACTCCTGGTGGCGCTCAGGAGACCATCATGGGATGCTGGAGATTGAACCCAGGTCAGTTGCATGCAAGACAAATTGCCCTACCCACTGTACAATCGCTCCTACCCCCTACCAACCATTCTGAGATTAAATAAATGTTATGATCCATAATTAAATAATACTGCATGAAAAGGGGAAATAAAAAGGAAAAGAAAGTACATAAAAGATGACTTACAAATCTTCTGAGAAAAATAACTCATAAAAAAAATCTGCTTTAATTACCTGGCAACGCAATTCTGACTTGGTTGGAGTAGCTAGCAGAAATCTGACAAATTCCTTTCGAGATATTGGTGAATGATCCTCAGGTGGTTGAGAATTCTGGAAAATGATATTAGGAAATTAATAGCACACTTTGGGAGTTGATTACAATAAATATAACAGTAGCTATTGGAAAAAGAACCTTACCTTTATTGCTACTTCTAGATGTTCAATCAATGAGTCAATACCAAAAAATCTGGCTTCTTCTAATACTCCTATCATAATAAAAATGATTTGACTTTTATAAAATGTTATTTTAATATTTATAGTATTCTTTATGTTAAATTTTCACAATGAAACGAAAATTCAATAATTATCAATATAGGAGAAAAACAAGGTTCAGAACACACATAAAGATATTTATGAAACAAAATATATTGAACCAAAGAAAAAGACCAAATATCAGAATAGAACCCTTCTTTATTTAAAAATCAGGTTTTATACTTGAAATAGGACATAGCCAAGAAAACTTAGCATCGTATACTCCTATGATAAGTGACAGTGATTTGGTTTTGAGTCTCAGGTATTTGGAGGCTTATGATCTTTTCCGGGAAAACCCAATTCCTGCTCCAGTATTCTAATTGCAAAACTAAGGTCATCTGATGCTCAACACATCACTTAGACAGCTGCCATGGGACAGAATGGATTCATCTCTGGGTTACTTAATGATGCCTGCCACATTTCTATAACTTTACCTGGGAGCCACCAATCATAAAAGGATTCTAGTGGGGTCTCCTCTCATTCTGCTAACATCTGAGCAAATCAGAACCTTTCAAGGAATGTAGCTAGATTTTTCCCTAACTTATTTTTCAAACAAAATGCTTAAAAACATGCCAAAAAATACCTTAAGAATACAGAAGACCCAGTTTGTATCTCTTGTAGAAAATTCAGGAAAGGAAGAAATACTTAGTGTACTTCTGTTATCACCAGTTAAAACCTGAATTTAAATCTGGGCTCTGTTAGGGACGCAGTTTAAATCCTGACACTCTAGCACCACATGGGGTCCCCTTGAGCACAGACAAGGAAGTAAGACTGACCAACTCCTAAGTACCCAAAGAAAATCCCAGCTCTGTCACTGCCTTTTTTTTTTTTTTTTGGTCTTAGAGAAGCTACTTGGCTCTCTTGTTTCAGGATGGAGAAACAGTACAGGAAGCAAAGCACTTGGCCTTGCAATGGCAGCCCCTGGTTTGATTCCTGGCACTACATATAATTGCCTGAGCACCAGCAGAGGTCACTCCTGAACGGAGAGCTGAGAATGGCCCCTGAACTCTGCTGGATCTGACTCAAAGACCTTTCTCTACTTACACACCCAAGTTTTTTTTTTTTTCTTTTTGGGTCACACCTGGCGATGCACAGGGATTACTTCTGGCTCTGCACTCAGGAGTTACTCCTGGCGGTGCTCAGGGGACCATATGGGATGCTGGGAATCGAACCCGAGTCGGCTGTGTGCAAGGCAAACGCCCTACCCGCTATGCTATCTCTCCAGCCCCCCCAAGTTGTTTTTATTTGTTTTTGGCAGGGGGTGTGGGGCACACCATGCTGTGCTCAGGACTTACACCTGGCTTTCTGCTCAGGGGTCACTCCTGGCAGGCTTGGGAGCCCATATGGGTTGCTGAGGATCAAAACCAGGTTAGCTGCATGCAAAGCAAGCACCTTAGCCACTGTACTATTGCTCTAGACCAACCAAATCTGTCTTGCTTTTGTATTTGCAAAATGGGTATCTTATTACTTTGCTCACAAGATATCTTAAGTATTAATAGAGATAATGTATCTAATGTATCCATATTATCTGGCATCCCTGAGGTCCTCAAAAAAAGATTGTAATTATTAAATTGCACATTTTCTGAAGTATCATTTTCTCTTTTTATAGCATCAAACTGGGATTTAGAAAATTCACATGAACCTAGGGTAATAAATATTGAAGTATTAGAAAGGTTCTCTAAGTAGCATAAATATATTGAGCTGAGTTAGCAAAGAGATGGGGAAATGATACAAGGGAAAAGGGTTTTGAAGACAAATGAAAAAGAAAAATATGGTTAATGGAACAAGTGAAGGTCACTAAAAGTAGAAACAAAAAATAATGAAAGTAAAAAAAAATCCACTGATGAAAGCACATATTAAGGAAGTATGTATTTTCAAATTAATTGAGAGGATGATAAATTATTGAAGGTGAATTTATTTACTTTTTCTTCCTTTTCTTGCGGGGGAGGCACACTGGTGATGCATAAGAGTTACTCCTAGCTCTGCACTCAGAAATCACTCCTGTCAGTGCTCAGGGGACCATATAGGATGCCAGGATCGAACCCTGGCCGACTGCGTGCAAGACAAGCGCCCTACCCTCTGTATTCTCTCTCTCTGCCCCAGTTGGTTCTTTTAAAGCATATAATTACTTGGAGCAAGTTGTGGACAGGTCAAGGATTTGGAAAGAAATGTAGTAATGAAAAACAATGCTTAGAGCAGGGGTGATAGTACAATGGGTAGGGTACTTGCCTTGTGCATGACTGACCAAAAACCAAAATCAAAACAATCAACTCCCTCCTCCCAACACTTCTCCTCCCCCCCGGCCCCCCTCCCCCCAGTGTTAAAGCCGGAGAGATGGTATAGTGGTGCTTTTCTTGCAGGAGGTCAAACTGGCACCCCATAATGGTCCCCTGAGCCCTGCCAGGAGTGATCCCTGAGTGTCCTAACCACACCCTCTCTCCCCTCAAAAGTAAAAGCTATGCTTTACAATATGAAACTGATAGCGAACTTTGCTTGTGAAACAACTGAATAAGCAAGAACAACAACTGTGAAGCTTTAGGAAAGAAAACCAGCACCACCTAGGTGATGACCTAAATTGCTTCAGACAGCATGGGCATATGTAGATCAGATATTATTTCCCAGGCAGGGGGATACAAAATGCAACCAATGATCTGAGGAAAGATTCAAAGACAAAACAAAGAACCAGACATCCAAAGCTTAGGTTTAAAACACAGAAAAAAAGTGAAAAAGAATCATTTGAGTGAGGAGTTGCAGTGACAGAAGTAACTGAAAAGGATCTGTATAAAGTGCATCACTGGCTATTTTTATAATTAGTATAGTTGAAGATTGAAAAAAAATTAAAAGAGAATTCAGAACAACAGTGAGCTGAAGGCAACAGAAATTCAGTTATGAGCTATTATGGTGCTACACAAACAAATGAACCAATGTCTTTTTTTTTTCTGCAATAGGTAAGCTTTAAAGAAAATAAAAATTTAATAGAGCAATAATAAAAACTGATTGAGTGTTTTGTATTTTGCTTGTAGAGACTGTAAGCTGGTAGCTTCAGGCTTATTTTAGCATGTTTGGTATGGAGTATTATCCAAAAAGAGATTTTATATACATTTCTGGATTCCCAGCTTTTGAAATCACAACTTTGGTATCATAAATCCAAGTCCGAAGATGCCAAAATTCTGTGGAAGCCGAGGAAGCAGTTGTACTCAAGACTGTCAATCTCCTACCACTTGAAGGCCATTGGCTCATCTTTGAATATGCAACCCCTGCTTTATATAGACATTAATCTACATCACCTTCATGAACTTTCACAAAGATTATTCTGACATAGACTGGTGAGGGGACTCAGACACTTTTCCCCAGTAAATCTACTAAGTTGTAGACTTGAGACTCTAGTCCACTTTTAAGAATTCAAAGAACAATTTCTCCACTCAACCACTCAACTTCTCAGTATAATGGGGAGGTTCATAATTTTGAAGTCAAGTAAAAATTCAACTAAAACAAAACAAAAAAATCAAAATTCTTTAAGATCTCTTTTTGTTAGACCAAATCTACAAACACTTAGTTTAAAAAGTAAAAACCGACTTGAACTGTACGAAAATAATATTATGCTACTAAGAAAGTGCAAACAAGAACCTGAGCCTTCTAAGTATGTGAGGAATTATATTGAGAACTCACCCAATAAATTAATGCCGTCATTCACAATGAGTTGCCCATGACGTAAGTAGTTCAAAATGGGTTCAAAGTATTCGGGACTTCGGTCAATTAGGAAAGCTCCTCTATGATCTTGCTTATTTCCCCAAACACCTGTGTTACCCATTAAAAAAATGAAGAAAGTCCCCACCCCAAAATCAAAAAACAAAGTTAGAAATTTGAGAGAGAAAAACCGACCAACAAGGCAGCAAGTTTTTACTAGTGCATAAAGTACTGATATCAGTAAAAGGGTAACAGTTTACAGTCAACACACGTAAATCAGATGACAGAAAATGTGAAAACAGTATTTTGCACTCACCTTTATCCTTAAACATGTGGGCCAGCATACTGTCGGGTTCTTTATTCACTAAAGTGCTCCTAAGAATTCAGGGAAAAAAATTGATTTCTCCATTTGTCTTTATAAACAAACATATTTAAAGTCAAGAGTATACTTGATCCCAGCTGCTCTTGCAAAAAGATGCATGCTATGACCTGGGAGGAGTAATGCTGGGAAACAAAAACGGGCGGTAAGTTGCCTTTTATCAAATGCCTTTCTAATCTGGCACTTCCTTTGCATAAACATTGAGTTTCTTCTCATTTCAATATTAATCTAGCAAGCTCTTATAACACAACATTCTTGATCCAAGTTCACATTTTTCTTATCCCTCTAACATACACAGTGGTATTCTACATATTTCAATTGTTTTCATTTGTGTTCTATGTGTCTATTAGTATCTAAAAAGCATCTAAAAACTGAACTCATGCTTTACATGTGTTCTCTGCAAAGACTTGTTAACTGTGCTTCCATTCTAGCTTTTACAAAAAACTTGAAAAATGGTTTTAGATCACATACTAGATTTAAGTGGTATTTAAGAATCTTTTAAGAGAATCGGCAAACTGAAGAAAAAGAAAAAATGATACATAATGTCCTTCAACACACACACACACACACACACATACACACACACGCATGCACCTACCGTGTAGTCGTGAAGTACCTCCCTCCAACATTCAATGTCAGCCAGTCTGTGTGAGATCCTGATAACCCTTCAGGTGGTTTAGAATCTGTCTGTGGATCTAGAAATGATACATAGACAATGATAAAAACATTAAGATTAGGGGTTTGGGGATGATGACAATAGCATAAACCAAACACACATTAAAAAAAAAATAGCAAGGCTTGCTCTTCAAGCCCATGTTCCTCCTTGAATACATATCCTGCTTGCTTGTCTATGCTTCTTTGCTTATTTTCACTCTGAAGAAGTCCATGTTCTTTCCTGAATACATATTTAACCTTTTTCTCTCCTCTCACAACTTTCTAAGCAACTTTTTTATTTTCAATTTTAAAAAAAGTGATTAGAACAAAGCCCATATCATAGATAGCATATAAAACATAACTAGGTGATAAGGTATTCCTGGCAACAGCAAAGCAAAAAGGGTAGGAAGGCATCAGCACGTTTAAAGGACAAAGCTGAAAGAAATGGGATTATCTGATGAATCTCAGATTCTCAAGTAATTTAGAAATATGTTCTCCAGCTCTGCTCAGGTCTGGGCGAGAGAGATGATATAGCGGGTCTTACACTTGCCTAGCACGCAGCTGACTGGGGTTTGATCCCTGGTGAGGAGTGATCCCTGGGCACAGAGCCAGGAGTTAAAAAAAAAAAAAGAAGAGGAAGAAATCTAAGCAAGTCTCAGGGAATAGCAAAATGAAGTGGGGAGAAGCGTGACCTATTCAATGGAGAAAAGGCAAAGAGCTTGCAGTAAGAGCTGAGTAGTGGGATCAGGGATGAGGCTCAATGAGAGAGCACATGCTTCCCGTTTATATTTTTAATATTTTAATATGAATCATACCCATTGGTGCTGGGGTGGGGAAATAAAGAGCTTGGGACTGAGCTCAGGGTCTCCCACATGCTAGGCATGTGCTCCACCACTTAAGCCATACATTGGTCTCTAAAGTCAGTGTACTTTAAAGAGAGAAAAACTTTTTAAGTGATCTGTAATAACTAATCCCTTATGAAAGATCAGTTTTAAAAATCTTTTTTTTTTAATTTTTGGGTCACACACAGTGATGCTCAGGGGTTACTCCTGCACTGCACTCAGGAATTACTCCTGGCAGTGCTCTGAGGACCATATGGGATGCCAGGGATCGAACCTGGGTTGGCCACATGCAAGGTAAATGCCCTATCTGCTGTATTATCACTCCAGCCCCCAGATTTAAAAAATCTTTAATTAAAAAAATTGTTGCTTTTTGGGGGGGCACACCTAGCTGTTATCAGAGCTTACTCCTGGCTCTGTGCTCAGGGATCACTTTAGGTGGGCTCCAAAACCATGTGGGGCGCTGGCGGTCGAGTGTAAGTTTGGCTGCGTGTAAAGAAAGAGCCCAAACCTCTGTACTATCACTTATGCCCCAAAGATCAGATTTTTAAAAGACACCAACATTTTATGGCAGAATTAACTAAAGAATCAACTAAAGTAACATACTTGAGATATTTAAACAAAAGGTGAGTCAATGATTTTTTAATTTTTTCCTTTTTGGGCCTCCCTGGCTGGTAACTCAGGACCTGTTTTGCTAAGGACCTCCAGGCTGCATCAGCAATGCTCAGAGGAACAAGTGCCCTTAGGAATCAAACCTAGTTGCGTGCATACTAACTAGGCATGGCCCTCACCACTGTCATCAAGGTAACTGGCAAACAATACACTATAATTCAATATAATAAAATCTTTTGATTTGACATTTAGCCAAATGACCAAGTAGGTAAACCACAAATTGTTTGCATGCAGATGTCAGAGAATGTAATGTTCACAAGTTCTTTTTGAGGACTGCTAAAGAACAAGTTTCAGACAGCCAATGAAGGCATCAATGGCAGACTGGAGGTAAGCTTAAACACAGTTGAGAAAGCACAATACAGAGGTTTTAAGTAAGAGACTATAATATATAATAACATCTAGATATTCTGACAATGGATAAAATAAAGCCATTTCTTTTGTCTGTTTTGGTGCCACACTGTTTAGTTCTCTGGAGCTATTCCCAGTTCAGTGCTTGAGAGTTGCAGTGCTCAGGGGATGATGAAGTATTCTGAACTGAATGCAGGGTTCCCTCATGCAAAGTCTGTTCTGAGATAGTCCGAGCTATGGTTATATCAATAGTTATTTTTACTTTTATTTGTTTACATTTTGTTTCAGTTTTGGGACCATGTTGGGTGAGACTCAGGGATCCATGCAATGCAGGGGACTGAGTCCAGGCCTGCTGCATCCATGCACTCCAGCCCATTGAACTACCATTCTGTCTGGCTCCTATTTTCCTTTCTTTTTTTTTCAGGGAGAAAGAAATGAACATACATCAAAAGGGCAAAAAAAAAATGAATTATCATTAGTAACAATATTGCTATTAAAGGTACTGGAATTGTTACTTTCACACTTTTTGTAGAAGAGGAAGTAAATTTGTAATTAGGTGAAATTGTAATTCTATCTTTCTCTATGTCCCTAAAACCCAGGATTACTAATTTGGAGAAAAGTATATGTGTTACTTAGAAGAGCTTAAATATAAGCCTTAGAATCCTGATTATAAACTAGAATTATTGGTATAAACCCTTTACCTATTCATCTATGTATAATTGTACACGTGATACAGAAGTTTGTACCATAAAATATATTACATATAAATTTTACCTCTATGTAATTTATATTTTGAACTCTGTCCAACATAAAATTTTGTAACCAAGGTAAACCTAGTAGCAAGCATTCTTAGCATCCAAATTGTGTCCTGAAGTGACAATTTCCACTAAAAGAAACCAAAACTATATGGAAAAACCACTGCTCTAGATGCAGGACAGATAAAAGTATTTATGTTTGTTATTTCATATATTTAGCAATTTGTAACTATGACTAATGGAGTTACATTGAAAGAACTTAAAGAGGTGTCCACTGACCAGAGATCTTCAAAGCGCCGAAAGTGCAGCGATGAAAACATACCAAATATGTCTTAATATTTTGTTTGTTTTGGGTTTTTGTTGTTGCTGTTTTGGGGCCACACCTGATGATGCTCAGGAATTACTCCTGGCGGTACTCAGGGGATCATATGAGATGTCAGGGATGGAACCCAGGTTGACCGTTTGCAACGCAAGTGCCCAACCTGCTGTACTATTGCTCCAGTCTCCATACCAAATATTTTTTAATTCTAAGAATTCAATCTGAAAAAAAAAAAAATCCTTACAAATTTTTTAGTTGCTATGCATGCAATGCATATATGTACATATGCAGTGAAACAGTTAAGCATGATCACTATCTGCTGACAACTCTGTAAGTGGATGAATGAAGATGAAATGGAGGAGAGATGAGAACAGATTTTTTTCCTCAGGATTTAAGCTTTTTTTGTTTGTTTGTTTATGGTTCACACCTAGTGATGCTCAGGGGTTACTTCTGGCTGCAATCAGGAGTCACTCCTGGCAGTGCTGGGGACCATATGGGATGCTGGGGATGGAAGTTGGGTGAGCCATGTGCAAGACAAGCACCCTCCTTGCTGTAGGATGGCTCCAGACCTAATCGTTTAATTTTAATGAGCCCATGTAAAATATTGATCATTTTATTCTGGCAGACAAAATTGCTTTTAAAGGAAGTCACTTACCAATAAATGGTTCTCCTTCACATACAAACAAAACATCATCATCCCTGGAGAGATCAAAAATTTAAAAATCACCATAAAAGTATATAAATTAGATTACCTATATACCAACTAGAGGCCAGAATATACTCATGTTATAAAACATAGGTGCTTCTATCAATTTATACTGCAAAACAGCTAAGTTCCTACTTCTTTGTTTAACCTCCGGATCTGTTTGTGGATTTAATTAAAGAAAGATTCTGCACATAAAAGAACTTTTGGATGGAAAAACAACAAGTAATAAACTTAATTAGTGCCAATTTTTAGAAATTTCTTATTCTTCAGCACTTCTGATTTCTGCTAAATTACCAGCTGTTCTGTGCTGTGGAAATGAAAATATTTTTTCATGTTAAATCTATGACAAATATAATTCTTAGGTAACCATGCTACAAACATAACCCACAATGTGATCATATGACCAGTGAGGGTAAATAATTGAAAGAATCCACAGTTTGGATGACCTGTGTATATCCTCCCTACTTCAATACATCTTACCATTAGTATATACTAATCAAATCAGAGATCGTACTGACAGCCACCAAGCTATTAAACAGGATTGATATTTTCCAGTTTATACAGTTACGCCTAGGGTAACTATATAAGCTCAGGTGCTGAGAATGTGGTGCTGAGAATTGAACCTGGTTTAGCCATATGCAAGGCAGATGCCCCCTACCTGCTGAACTATCACTCTGGTCATATCTTTTCTAGTTTAGAAAACTTCAGTTATGATCTCTGTTGTTGAGTTTTGTAATTTCTTATGAATTATCGTAGGAAGATACTGGCTTTGTCTTATGAGCAGAGTCTGCATTTATAAGGGAAAAATTAGATTAACTGATGCAGAACTAGGTTAATTTATTATTCAACAATGTGATTCAACTATCTAAGAAACTGAAAGATACCGGGAGATAAGTATTGAAACACTAAAAAATTATCCTAATTAAGTTAGATTTTGAAAGAAGTTTTGGATCTTTTCTGCTTTTATGCCAGTTTACATTTAATGATTAGCACAAAAATTTGTTTTCTTCTCATTAATGAAAATGAACTACTAAATTGATGGTCCACATAAATCTCTTAATTTCTAAAATGCTTAGTATCCTTATTTATAAATGATGGGACTATAAGTGGTTTTTTTTCATCTTCAAGAGTATATTATATTAAAAATCATTCTGATAAGGGTTTAAATAAGATTTAATTTACAGCATTGTTATCTTCACACCATCAATTATGAAAACTAGTGGTTTTCCAATCAAAAGAGGTATCTTGGGCAATGTAATTACTGACAAAGTATATTACTGTTAAAACGTAATTGAGAGAGCCAGCCCTGCATTTGTATTCCTTTGTAATCTTTGTTAAATTTCTTTCTGTTCCAAAATTCGATGATCCAATAAGGATGGAATGAGATGAACTAGACACTTGTTTTAAAGGAATAAATCTGCCTGGGATATTTAAAAAAAATATTTGAAGGTGAAGGTTACCTGATCAAAGCAATATCATCAATCAGTCCACCTTTCCCATTGTACACGCTGGTGGCTTTTATACCGAGTTTACTGCTGGCTACCGAAAGCAAATCAGATAAAGTTCCATATACAGCAACCACCTGTAAATAAACCAGATTAATTTGAAATTATGTAATGAATGCATCACAATTTCACAGACCCCATATTATCAAACAACTAAAAATCAGTTGTGACATAAGATTTCCAGAGTTTCTAAAAGTCTCCTTTTCTATGATTCACAGTTTTGTATAACTCAATTATTGGAATTCAAAATTAGATTTATAAGAAATCATCTCTGACATTAACAATTTATATATACTCTGAAGGTATTAATGATTAGGAAAGATGACAATTACACATAACCCTTCACAGAAAGCAACAGACAGGTTTTGAGTTGAATTATCACTTTTTTATTGTGAGTTTCTATGTTGCGGCTAAATCTACCAAAATTAAGTTCGTGCTTTGTTTTATTCTGTTCTTTGAAACATTAGCTAGTAGAACTTTCTGTGATGGTGGAAATACTCCATATTTGTGCTCTTTAGTAACCATGAACTAAGGAGGCTACTGGACACTTGTATGCCATCTATGCTCAGTGATTTCCTTTAAAATGGTTGTGCTAATAATCTTTATAATTTTTCTATGTATGAAGTATGTTTCAGAGTTTTCCTTAAAGAGCAAGCCTTTATAAGATTCTTACTTAATGTTTACAGATTAACAGAGGAAAGTCCAAACAGATTTTTCACTTTTTTCCAACTCTAGTAATACAATGGGTCCAAATCCAGAGACTTAATTTCAGCAAATTAAAGTCAAAAGATGGTACCTGATAAACGGTAGCTGAATGAATAAATAAGGTATACCAAATGCTGTATGGTTTGTACAGATTGTTGAATGTTTTGAAGTGCAAGACCTTACTCCAGGCTCTGTGCTCATGGGTCATTCCTGGCAGTGCTCAGAGGACCATATGCAGAGCTAGGCAATAAACGCATGTAAGACAAGGGCTCCTGGACCCTGTATACCCTGGCCCATATGCCAACATTTTAGAACATTCAAATATTTGACTGTGCACCCCAAATGGTAGAACATGTTGAAATATTTGACTTATTTACAAACTGCATACTGTTTATAAACTGTCAGAAAGAACTTTTTCCATGATCTAACAACTTGCATTGTTAAGACTTTCAGCTGCCAGTAAGAATTTCCTCAACATCATTAAATTTAGTGAAATTCTACCAAACATAAGATTGACTTTAATCTTTGGTGTTTTTTGGTCACATCCAGCAGTGCTCAGTTATCATTCCTGACAGGGTTTGGGGAATGTATGTGGTGCTGGAGACAGCAGTGTACAAGGCAAGCGCTTACCTGCTGCATTAGCTCTCCAGCCCCCAATCTTAAAAGTAATAAAGAAAAAATACACCGTGAAACTGATTTTCATGTACTGGAAAATATTTTTAAATGTCTTGCTAATTGGGATGAGCGCATCCTATTATTAGCTAATATTTCAAAGAACAATAGATACTTAGAAGCTTATTGTTAATAGCAGTTTTAATAGGATCTCCAATACATCTTTAAAATCTGGCATGTCTTTAAAATGCTGGCTTAGGATGCAGCTCAGCAATAGGAAGTATTCCTCATATACATGAGGCTCTGGCATAAAAGGGGAAGAGTGAGAAAAAGGGGGAAAGGTGGGAAAGAAAAGAGGGATGGTTACTTCAAACACTGATGGGAGTAGGAAGAATTACAATAGAATGAAGTCCAATAATAATTTAAAACTAATGATAAAATATGAAAAAAAATCAACAAATATTTCTATATATTTTTATTTTCTTTCAGATTTAGTAAGATCCATTCTCATTCTAACACCCCGTTTATACTGTGAAAAGAGACCCTTGGTCATTTCTGTTTTTGTAATTGCAAATTAGTAATCTGCAGCTTTTTGAAAGAATCTTTCCAAGCCACTGAGTATTTTAGTGAAGGTTAATTTAAAGTGAGAAATACGGTCTGGAGAGAGAGAGGAATGCAAGACTAGAGAGTTGCAGTCATTGGCCTTTCTTGAGGCCAAAACAGCTTCAAGTCCTACAACCTCAAGGTTCCACAGCATCACAGGGAGCAACCCTCCAGGCCCTGGAGAACTACGCCTTCCTCCCCCACCCCACCTGCTACACAACTGGATAATACAAATCTTAACCTGACACTTGTAAGTTTTGATATACCACAATATACCAGAGTGGCCCAACCAGTGATGAACTCAATTTCAAACTTTTTTACACTTAAAGTCTTCCCTTATCAAGCAAGACCAGGTAACACAGCAAGCAAGTCGATGTATCTCTGGTTTTCCAGATTAGCGAAGTCATTTTTAGGTATTTCAAGCAACTCACACACACGCCATAACATTTCTTTAAATTCTGCTGGATTCAGTGATATATCATCTCACTCTGAAAAATATCACTTTAGGGACTACATAACCCTCTTTTAATAGCAAAACACTACTCACATATTTATTCCATACACAGAAAAGTCATAGTGAGCAATGAGACCCCCCTCCCTCCAACCTGCCTCTGGCAGTGACCGTTTCCCGTATACCAGGCTTTCCAGCCCACAGTCTGGCAATGACTGAACAAGTTTTATTGAAGGGAAACTTATTCGAAAATAATATTCATCATTCCTACAAAGCAAAAACAGTGAAATAAGAAGATAATGAAGGGGGCACAATCCTCTACTGGGTAGATGGAAGATCAAATGCTATCACAGTAAGAGCTTACTTTCAGGATTTTTTCATGAACTTCATGTTATGTTCATACCATCATGGCTAAACAGTCAATTTGTTTTAATTATTCGGGGAGGTGGGCCACACCCACTGGTGCTCAGGCCTTATTACGGGCTCAGGGATAACTCCTGGTGGAACATGGCAGACCATATGGATGTGGAGAGTGGGGGATAGAACCCCAGTGAGCTGTGTGCCAGGCAAGTGCCCCATCTGCTGTACTATCTCTCTGGTCCCGATTTTCATTTATTTATTTATTTATTTATTGAATAAGCAGTGCTCAGGACTTACTCCTAAGTGCACTTAGGTATCATTTCTGGCCATGCTCAGGGAACCATGGACCGAACACGGGCTGGCTATGTGCAAGACAAACACATTAGCTGCTAGACTACTGCTCCACCCCAAGTCATTTTATATACATAAAAATGCAGGCTGCAATGTACTATTTTGTTCTTTTATCAGGTAAAAGTAATTACAACTTTGTTAATGAGCTGCAGGGGGAGAAACAACTTTTGTCACAGAATGTCCTTCAGTTGGATTGTAAGGAATCTTAAATATTGAATCAGAGTATGCTTCAGTTTGGGTTTATGATTTTTTTTCTAAGATGAGAACATATTTATCTTCAGTAACTTATGATGATTTCCCCGGCAACTTTCTAAGATTCTTGAGCAGAAGAGTTTAAAGCTTTTTTTAAAAAAAAAAAAAGTTAAATAATCCGGCAAAGGAAGGGGAAATGGTTCAAAGTCATGGAGTGTGCATGCCTGGCGACTGTGAGGGCCGAAGTTTGACACCTGTCTCCTGTATCTACTCCAGGAGGAGCCTGGTGGCATCGGTGGCCCCGGTCAGTGAGCTGTTGGAGCGCAGAGAGCATCAGGCTAGCACCTCTGGGGACTCACTGCTGGGTGTGGCACTCAGGAAACGACCCAACCCTGGAAAAAAACTAGTGCAACCAATCTTTATCAAGAACAAAATTCAGGGGTTCCAGCCGAGCTTAATAGCATAATTACATATTTAACGGCTGGTTCTAAATAACTTCCTGGAGTATACAACAGAAAATGGGTCAAAAGGTCCAGCAGGGGTCTGTGTTTGAGAATGCATTAGAAAATGGAAACTTGCAAACTTGAGTCTAAGGCAGTTCTCGGTTAATGCGATCAGTTTCTAAGATCAGAAGCGCACAAAATCAGAGCCAAATTACACTGTGCTTGGAACTTTTAGAGCACGTTTACTCAGAACTGCAGAGGAGCTGAAACGTGCTTTTTTTTTTCCCCTTCCATGGCACGATAATGCTAGTTAAACATTTACATCTCCCAAACAGGCAGAAAGCAAAGTATTCTGCAAATAACACGAGGCCAGTTTACCTTTACCTCAAGACTCTCGGCCTTCGTTATTTCTAGATTTCCTTCAGCCGCACTGTGACTACCCTGCTTTGTACAGTCACATTTTCCAAAGCGGCCGAGCAACTTTTCAGGGGTGGGGCAAGAGGCTGAGCAGAAACAGGATTCCTTTCGGCTGGCTGCAGTGGAGGAAAAAAATGTTCACTACCACACCCTCCGCAAAGGCCTACCCCAGCAAGGAGCAGCGCGGGGTCAAACCCATCCAGATGCACTCAGTGCCTGAGTTTTCGTTGCAAGCCAGCCTCCCATGAAGGCAACATCACAAAGCTCCTTGGCGGGACCTGGGGCCCCGAAAAGGCGGCAGCTCAAAGGAAACGTGGATTATTTGTCAGTTTTCTAGTCGAGTGAGGATTAAGGGTATTGCCTGTGCTCACGGACTAAGAGTTGAACTCCTTGATTTGATCTTTTTTTTTTTTTTTAACCTGTCCAACCTTGCCCGCCTTAGTTGCTACCACCAACTTTCCCGAGGGGAGCATTACTCAGCACGTACACGAAGGGTGGTGGTGGTGGTTGGGGGTGGGGGGGTCACCGGCACCCTCTCGTGCAGGGTTGGGTGGATGGTCAGGGAAGAGGAGGAGGAGGAGGTGGCAGGAGGAACCTGAGCACCCGGCGCCTGGGTGTCAGCGACCCTCCCCGGGTCCCCTGCCCTCCGTGCTCCCAGACCCACACGTGGAGACCCAGCAGGAAGCCACCGGCCCCGGCAGACCGGCGCGGGTCCCCTGGCAGAGGGGGAGTTTCAAGGGCAAGCTCCGGCTGGCAACTCCGGGGGCTGGGAGGAGGCCACCGGGCCCCGCCGGGCACCTCCTTGGACGCCCCGCACCCCGGAGCACGCCCACCTCCCAGCCCCTCTCCCCAACTTCAGCCCTCTGCCCGGGGCGCCCGCTCCGCACCCCGCAGCCGGGCCCGCCTCGCCTCCTCCCGACCCGCCCCCTCCCCTTACCTTTCCATTCTTAGGGCTGCCGTTAAGGAACAGGGTCACCCGCCTCATCGCGCTGCCCCCACCGGGTCCTGAGTGAGCCGCCACCCTCCCACCTGGCTCTCCTCCCACCTTTCTCTTCTCCCGCCCGTCCCCTCCCTCCACCCACTCGGACTCTCCTCCCTTCGCCACCTTCCTTCTTTTAACAGACACACACAAGCACGCAGAGACTGTCCCACACCCCGAGCTTGGCCGGTCGCTCTTTCCCACCCCGCCCCTGCGCTCCGCAGCCCGTGAGGGCCCTTCCCCCATCTCCGCCAGACGGACTCTCAGCTGCACCAATCCAGCCGCAGGACCCGTCGCGCCTCAGCCAATCACCGGCGGGGATAGGGTGGGCTCATACCGACCCCGCCCAGTTGGTGGGCGGGAAGAGAAACTGCGGTCTTACAGACGGGAAGGTTGGTCAGCCAATCAGAGGAGAGCCTGCCGCCAGACGGCCGCTCAGGGCGTTACTGAGCAGGCGCAAACTCTAGTCCAGGTAGCGCTTATCTGCATACGGAGGTGGAGTCTGAGGGAAGGAGGTGGAGCGCTCGAAGTAAAGCCACACGACTCCGGGCCAGGCCGTCGTAACCCCTCCCCAACTAGCTCCGCCCACAGAGGAAAGGGCGGACATCGGGACAGCTGATTGGGTGAGAGCCTGCCCGGAGTTCTGTCAGGATTGGTCCAATCATTCTTTTCGAAGTTTCCAACAGCCAATCGGAAAGGTCGAAAGCAGAAGTGGAGGTTTAGCAAGAGACTTCTTCCGCGGGATTCTCACGGAAAGTAGTCCCTGCGGGAACGAGGTTAGAAGCTGGTCTTTAGTGTCAGTGTGTCCCCGACAGGTACAAGTGGCTTTTTATTCGGGTCCACGAAGCACCATTTGTTCTGAGACGGCGAGGCAGAGACCTGCAGGAGTTTGCACGTGCGACGGGAGGCGGCGAAGGGATTCGCAGAGTCACGCCGGGCCGGGGAGGAGGCGGGGCCGCGATTTGAATCGAGCGGCGGGCGCCGAGGGACGCGTCGCTGAGAGGGTCTGGGTGAAGTGGGTCCCGGGCTTCCTGGGCCGGCGACTGCCACCCGGACCGAGTCCACCCGGGACGCCTGGTTTGGTATTAGTTGCTTTTTTTTTTTTTCCGAGCGAACCTTCGGAACCTAAAAAAAAAAAAACCCCAAACCGAACGAGATCTAGACGACAACACTTGTCTGCGGTCGGAAGTTGAGGGGGGCAAAAAAAAAAAAAAGCGAAATATTCAGCGGAGAACAGCAAAGTGCGGGACTGAGAGGTAGGACGACTGCCGTGGTTTGGTTTTCAGATTTGATCCCGAAGAGCTGTTGGACGTGTTCCTCAGAAGTATGTTTTTCTGCCCCCCCCCCCCCCCCCCCCCCGCCCCGGAGTTACTGGTCCAACCGATCACCCCGCGAGCGTTTCCAGCTTGACTTTTCTGGGGCCCGGCACACTTTGGCTGACAGGTTTTGGAAATGTCCAAAACTGAGTTTTTAAGCAGGGTGCCCACCTGCCTGCAAATGTTCGTTAAGCTGGAAAACCCAGGCTTCCAGTCCGGCATCCACCTTGTTTGTCTCAGAGTTGTCTTAACGTTTCTTTCTCTAATTTTAGCTGCGGAAGTACTTTCAAGTGGATAAATCAAAGGTCTGTATTCAGGCCTTCCCAGCTAAATGTTCTAAAGGGTTCAGTTCTGAAGGAGAATCTTGACCCAGTCACAGTATATCCCCGCCCTATCCATTCATCTAATCAGGAGGACCGGTTATTTTTCTTATTCTTTTTTTTTTTTTTTTTTTTTACTTCAGATGGAGACCAGTTCAAAAGACAAGGCCTGTGAAGTCCAGGAATCTGCTGTGAATGCTGGTTTGTAGCGATCTCTTGCCTTCTTGTGAAATTTAAGGTTTTGGTTATTTGTCCTGAATGTCTGACCCCACCCCCGCAACACGTTGTGTTTCAGAAAAAGTCTCCTTGAATTTGGGAATTGGGGAGTTTTTAACAACTCAGAAAGATACCGCTGAAGTGACTCTTAATCCTTGCGTACCAGAGGCTTTTAAATCGCCCATGAATTTTTCCTCAGTCACCGTTGAGCAATTGGGAATCACGCCTGAAAGCTTTGTTAAGAGCCCTGCAGGTAAGAGAAGTTGCCTTACTAGTGCAGTGCTTCTGGTAAGAAGTTTACAAACACATTAGGGGCCGGAGTGCTAGGACCGCGGGTAGGGCCTTGAACACAGCAGACCCAGGTTCAGTTCCTGGCATCCCATATGTTCTCCCAACCACTGCCAGGAGTAATTCCTGAGTGCAGAGCCAGAAGTAACCCCTGAGCATCACTGGGTGTGACCCAAAAAGCAAAAATTAAAAAAAAAAACACATTAAAGCACTGGGGAGATGGTATAGGGAATAGTTTAGGTACTTAATTTGTACTCAGGGTCTCCACCTACCTTGGGCAAGGTGAGGAGTGATCCCTGAGCACAGCAGAGTGTGAGCCTAACACTCCCCCTCCTCAAATAAGATAATTCAAATTTCTTGTTTACTCTCACTGCTCATATGTTACTATTGAAACTGATCAGGGAATTCCATGTGCATCACAGATGGAGCAAAAAAGGGAGATATCAAAATGTAATGATGTCTTTACTCAACAACTGTTTGATGAATGCCTTCTACTTGCCCAGTATTGCTCTTAGAGTGTGCATTAAATCAGTGGATAAAACTTCCCCTTCCAACTGATTGTATATGCATTATTTTGCCCATGAGTTTCTGTTCAGACTCCTTTACTACATGTATACAAGGTTCTCTCTCTGCTACGTGTCTGGTATTCTGGACATAATTTTTAATGCTTGATTTCAATTTAAAAGAAGGTTTCGTTTCAGAAAAGGCATCTTACCTTAAAAAATCAAGACGACGCTCCACAGTTGGTGCTCGGGGTTCTCCTGAAACAAACCATCTTATTCGCTTTATTGCTCAGCAGCGGAATTTGAAGAGTGCAGAGAAATCTCCTTTGGTACAGAATTCCCCTCTCCAGGTATGTTTTCTTCTAGCTGCTGTCATAATTCTTTTAGGAAAGTTGTTTAACTAATTCATGTGTGATTTTACTATAAATTGAATAGTCACTTTTTTTATGGAACTTTTTTTTTTCCTGGGCCTCACCCTTCAGTGCTGAGGGCTTACTCCTGGTTCTGCTTTGGGGTCACTCCTGGCGGGGCTCAGGGAACCATATGCAATGCCAAGGATTGCTTCTGGGTCAGCCACATGCAAGGCAAGCACCCAAACCACTGTACTATCTCTTCAATCCATAACATCATTTTTACTTGAAGGAATTTCTGATACATATCAGTGTTAGTCTAACTTGGGAATAGTGTCTCAAAAATTAAGTGTGTATGGACCCTTTTCCAAAAAAGTAAGAATAGAGCCCCTATTTGAGCCAGTGCTTTCATTTCTTGGTGCTTAACCCCCAAACTTAGAAACGCTAATTCGAAGAGATAAAGGCACACCTATGTTCAATGTAGTGCCTAGTACAGTAACCAGGATATGGAAACAACCCAACTGTTCAACAAAAAAAATAAATGGGTAAAGAAGTTGTGGCCTCAGGACCTGCACAGCAGCTGCAAAGCAGAGGCTTGAGTTATCACTATAATTGCCTCGTGAGTTGCAACTATAATGATAAGCTGCAGTTCTTAGACAATATTTATAAAATCTGCTGGAGGATCAAGATGGGCTTTAAGATTCTCTGGAAAAATTAATGTCTGAGGAAGTGGTGTTGGTGGCTTTCTGACTGCTATAAGGCAAATAGGCAATGTGGCAGCCCTGCCTGAGATTGTCCATAGATCTGTTGGGCTTCCTGATGTTCATTCAGGTCATGGGTTTGCTCCTGGCGATATGGCAGCCTTTGATTTGAACAACCCGAAGCAGTGGTGTCCTCAGGGGTGTCGGATTTGATATTCACTGTGGTGTTCACTTACTAAGAACCAATTTCAATGAGAATGAAGGTCAGCCTGTGAAGGAGTAACTTGCCCAGGCCATATCTGACCATGGTTCTGTTGGTGTGGGATCAAAAGATGTCATCCCCATGAATGCCATAAACTTAAAGGAGGCCTTGGAGATGGATGTGCATTGCTTCTTGTCAGGAGACCGTTTCTGGGCTGAGGACAAGGAGCACTGTGAGGAGTATGGGAGGTTGCTGCAGACCTACCTCAACAAGGTCTCTGCCAGGGTCACAGAAAGAGGCTCATTAAGGACTGTGGGTGTAGGCAGCCACTATGCAGAAATTCCGATGGTGGATGAAATTTTCAATAAATATGGTGCCAAGAAAATGGGCATCAACCATAAGGGACAGTGTATGTGTATGATGATTCACAGTGGAAGCCAAGGTACCAGGTAGCCAGAGATGCCCTGCTACCTCTGGAGAAAGCTCTGAAGAAAGACAAGAGTATAGCCAATGCCCACCAGTTGGCCCTTGCACAGATTGCTTTACCAAAGAGTCAGGGTTATCTGAAAGGAATAGTAGAGGCAGGAAATTACTCCTGGGTCAGCCACTCTTCTATGACCTTTGTAACCTGCCAAGCTTTTGCCAAGGTTGTTAACACAATCCCTCATGACTTGAACCTGAATGTGATCTACGTTTCTCACAATCTTGCCGGAGTGGAGTAGTGTGTGGTGGACAGGAAGGAGCAGATATTGTTGGTACACAGGAAGGGATCCACCCATTCTTTCCTCCTCACCAATCTTCATCACTGTCGATTGCCAATTCACGGGACAACCAGTGCTCATTGGGGGCACCATGGGAACCTTGTAGTTATGTCCCTACTGGCATTGGATAGGGTATGACTGAGGCCTTTGGAACAACCTGCCATGGAGGAGGCTGCACATTATCCCGAACAAAATCTCAGTGTGATTTAAATTTCCAGGATGTCTCAGGCAAGTTGGCAAATATGGGAATTGCCATCCTTGTTGCCTTCCCCAAACTGCTTTTGGAAGAGGTTCCTAAGCCCTGTAAGAAAGTGACCGATGTTGCGATCACTGGCCATGATGCTAGAATCAGCAAGAAGGCCCTTCAACAGAGACTGATTTCTGTGGTCAAAGGATAGAGGAGCCCTGA